TTTGCACTACACCGACCGGCATTGTAGGTAGTGTATGTATACACCGTGAGACCCGTCGAACACGTTTCCTAACCCGACCTACGATGGACATTGTCTGTGGTGCCGCGGCACAGGAAGTGGACGGTTGCATGGTGCATACGTACGGATTCGCTCAGCTCAGCTGACCTTGCATTCTCGTCGGTACAGTTCCAATTTGAGAATACGACGTCCTGTGCTCCCCTTTGTAATCCGTATGTAGGTATGTATGTATTATCCATCGTCCCCACGATTAGCATGGCATTTCCGCGACATATCTTATACATACCTAATCCCTATTAATTCACGCACGATACATACATACATCAGGTAAGTAGTGAGGCATGTCTGTTAAGTGTCCAAGCGTACATATGGGGATAGGTACCAGTGTTGCATCTGGACCACCAAACCACATGGCAATGGCACCTCGGCACTTAACCCTGCCCTGCCCTGCCCTGCCCTGCCCTGCCCTGCCCTACCAGCCTACGTACTATCGAAGCTAGGGGATGTGGTCCGGCCAAGCAGATATTAGATACACTAACAACCAGGCATGCTACCTCCTACGTACATGGCACTATCGTCTATTTCCCAAGCCCCATCGATAAAAGACGTAAATAAGATAATATTGCTTCCAACAGACCTATGTAATGCCTCATATTTCTCCCTCTCCCTTAACTTAGCTATGCATATATAGTCGCCATTTACATACTATAGCAAACCTCCCACATCCGATCCTGCGTTTCCGTGGTGATAGTTCCTGCAGTAGCGGCCGGGGAACCGGGATCGCCCACGCTGCCTGAGCTTAGTGAAGGAATCAAATTGTTTCCCTTGCTACTGGCTTCTTCCGTCGGGTTTCGGTCTCACTGTGGATTCCTATGGTGCTTCAAAAGGGGCCGTCTATACCTACTGTAGAAACCTGTCAGCTCCTGTTATATAACTCCCCATATATTATATCTTTTACTAATGCAGCGCTCGTCTATGTTCAGCTAATTCCAGCTAAAGGATCATAGATTTATGCTACAGGGGTTATTTTTGATAACGTTATTTCAGCTGAGCAGCAATTCTGACCAACTACCCACGCCAAGACAACGTAATACAATACTATCCGTGAGGTCTCGGAATGGGACATGATAGGTGCGCATCCAACATACATCCCCCTTTAAATCACCCAGAACGGGTATCTCATAGGCCAATCAAATATTCGCTGAAGGAGCAGTTTCTACTCGCAGGAAATTCGTGGCCTATTCGCCATACATAGTCGTCGACTACATGCTGCGGACATACCTCATACATATGTATGTCAGCTTCCCAGAGCGCCATCGACCAGCGAAGGGGAGAGATTTCTGTCACCTCGTACAGGGGTAACGATAATCGACAGGGCCGCCACGCGCGTTAGGGGGGGAGGCTCGGACTGAGACCTGCTCATCAACGGGATCCGAACCACCGGGACCGCATCGGTAGCAGCCGACGATCAGTTTTCGCAGAAAGGAACTGATCGCTAAATTAATAGACCAACCGTAGAAGCGGCAAGAGACCCGACACTGTCCCGTGCATATAGAACACCGGCATTGAATCCAAGTAGTCCAGGTACCCGCGAATCATAGGCGAACGATCCTTGATACCGGTGCAGAATAGGTATGTATTTGTGTATGCAAATGCGCCCTATCTGCACGGGCTGCCGATCAGAAGAGCTGTGCCCTAAGTCACATATCTTTCCTTCTTAAGCAGTGAGGCCTCTCCTAGTTTTCGTGGGCATATTACATATAGACGGATGCTTTTTTTCTGGGTTTTCCTTTTTTGTCCCTATCTCCGTTGTCCTCGCCGACCTGTGCAACTGCTCTGCTATGCCTCTACGTAGGGTAGGGCCGAGTAGCGATTCTAGCCTCAAGCCCGCGGCGATGATATGACGTCGGCTGCGCAATATTACTGGCCTTCCAGCCCGCACTTAACAGTAATGAAACGCACCCGTATGCAGCTGACGGCGCAGCTCCCAAAACCAGAGTATTGGGATTACGCGTGCTCGGGTTGCGACCCCTATTAGCGGCCTTTGCATCCTGACATCTTACCTTGTGCCGGTTAGGAGTCCCGAGCGAAATCCACTTGGCGATCACTAAGGTCGAGGTATCCGCATCCCGTCCTCGCCAAAACGTGGTAAACCCACCTGAGCCGAGGCATCCGACAGCGTGGAAGTGGATTTTTCCCTATGTGCCGACTGGTATCGTTACGCTAACCATGGCACATATACTATTAAGTGTTCATTAGCTCCGTGGCTTCCAAGGTAGACAAACACTGGTGCCAATTGTTCTACAGCTTCGGTGCTGTATAGCTAGTATACCATGTGGGCATCGTGCTAACGCATCGTCATAGTAAACTTGTCAGCGTTAGACTAAGGTCCAGACGGGCCGTTCCATCAAATGCCAACCCGCTTCTCTCTTTTCTTTTCCGTCGATATCCGTATCGCGTAGAGACTTATTCCGCGTCCGCGCCTGTGCGATAAGTGATTCCGTAGATATGTTTAAGACCGTAAAGCCACCGATATTCAAACCCGGAAGCGTTCTTGGCCGCAATATAAGCGTGTGGAAACTTCCGAAACACCGCCACATACTGCTGTCCCGGCGCCGGATAATGATCTTGGAAATATGTGATTTGTAAGGATATTGGACTTGGTGTGAAGATTTCTCGGTGCATGCGCGTTTCGGCACATGTGACCGAATACAGTAGGGGAAAAGGAGGCTGAGCTCAGGGGTAAAATACTTACAGTGACTCAGCCAAGGCATGACCGATAGCAAGGTGCTTAAACCCGCCGCAGCTGAACCTGAGCATAACATAGAACAGGCCGGAGGTAAAGGGGGTTTCAGATAAGGGCGCATGTAGTGCCAAATATCGGGCTCCTCAGCTTGTGGTTGAAAATCCGGGGTATTAGGTATTACGGGGAAGGATCACAAATCCTCCAAGACGGCGGGCCCTTGATACGGTGAGACACGCATAACTAGATTTCGTCCATACATTATTCCCAGTACCTGCAGTTGAATGTGAGGATAAGTATTGGCCATCCTTTACTGCGGGATATCACCGGGTGTTACTGTTCGTGAAGTTAGCCGGTCGGGATCCGGTTGTGATCCGATTGCAATATTGGGGATATGGTTCTAGAATCTTCGAGCATGATCGCTTTGTCTACATTCTAAGCGATGTGTATGTATGTAGAGCGCCGTGGTTTTGTGTTTACAGAGAATAGAATGGAAGAAATGGAATATCTATGTAAGTAGAGTTTGGAAGAATCTAGAGTTGGACTAAGTTATAGCTATGTAGTTACCAGGTAGGTACCTGTTATCTTTTTGAAACAAGATAGAGTTTAGATCTAGTTAAAATACCTGGCAACAAGGCAGTGACTACATCATATGAATCATATTAGCGCGTCAGGGGACCACGTACCTATATATGTGCATAAGTTGGGGTTTAAGCTCTGAGACCAGCTCCTGCCCAATTCAACGATGTCAAATTGATCTCTCAAATCATTTTAGATTTGATGATTACGAGGTCTTCTCCCAAAACTATTTACAGGAAATCAAGTACATATCAGAATACCGACAACTAGAACAATTAATACAATAGTTATACTGAAAGTATCAATGTCAACTCAAATGACTGTTGAGCTACCGTGACTATTTATCTACATATATATGTGTAGACACCTGACTAATGAATAAGAACATGAACATGGCTTTACCCCTCGGATACACCAAAAACCCATGCTACTACGTTACGTGATGAGACCCGAGTAGAAGTTAAAAGTGATCCCCTGCATGAACACGTAACCCCAAGGGTCTTATCGATTTACCTTACATAGCTGCTGTCTAACTCGCATGGTGTAACTTGTCCGTCACAATTAGAGATTGATAAGTGTTGACAGGTATCTGCCAGCGAAATATGCTTCTAAGAGCGCGGGGAATACGAGACACTATACATACAGACATAGTGTAAAAAGAGCATCTCCTATGGTTGGGAGGATATATTAATTATCAATTGAGTCAACGGAGCTCGTACAACAAATCGCAGATCTGCTACGTGGGGTGAGATGCGAGCTTCGTTAACGTCCTTGAGATATTTGGGACCTTGGGTTGCGTACCTAACGACATCTCGTGGTTTGTAGATGAAATGGTTTGATGGATAAGCGCGGCTCAGGAGATAGAACACAGACGCTAGCCGCAACGAGCCGCGAGATGTGATTATGTAACCTGGTTTGTTCTGAGGTCCGGACCTTTGACGTCAATGGGTGGACTTTTCTAAGCACAATTCTAGGTAGCTCCAGTGAATGTAGGTATTCCCCACAGGGTCACAGCCCACCTGCATAACGAATGCCCTTTCCCCAGTTCCGTTTACTGCAGTGTACACAGTAGCAGTAGAGTTAAGCAAACCTTAGGTCACCTAAACCCAGCAAACTTGTCTACCAGTAACTTGCCTAGTACACCACCAATCCAGACAAGTACCAAACTCAACTAAATTTGGTGCTTCCGCTCCTATTCCTGTTTGGTCACGGTCCTCGAAAAACACCTATAACATCGTTCGACTTCTTCGTCACCTGAACAGCATCAAGCACCAAAAGGTCCAGCTTCAGCCTTTACAAGCTGTAAAAGTGCTTGTTCTACCTATACATTGCGCCCCCATCGGGCGTTTGTGCCATGATCACCTCCGAGTCATAGTCCTAATTGGCATATTTGACGATTAGACCGCCACCTGCATCCTGTAGTCTGCATCTTTTACCGACTTCTTACCTAACTTCATCTCCACCCGCCTTCTATCTCGTGCATCTCGTGCCCTAATTATACACTACATACGACCTGCTTGGCTGGAGATTTGGTGGCTTGGCCAAGTTACCTAACCTAGGTCGCCGTTTGTAACCTCAACGTCCAGTGACCCGGCCACTTTTATTTACTATTTCATACCTCAACGTCAACTTCAAGTCAAGTTCGTTTCCTGTTGTCGACATGGCACCCGATCTTAATTCTCTTCCACCATCCTCTCCATCCGCACGACCACGTATCATGACCTCTTCAAACGGTAGCGGAGACTCTGCCATACGCGGAGAGTCAGCATCACCTTCTCCTCGATCCGCATCTATTTCACTACAAGCAGCTGCAACAATGAATGCCGGCTTACAGCATGAACCTATGAGACGTAAGTTTTTTGTCCCCCTAGTTAATACTTAACCTCTTAAACCTACAACTGTACAACTGTGCTCATCCTCATCTTACAGGCTCCTCGAGCAGCTCTCTATCGCGAAACCGACAATCACCACAGATGGGTCGACGACGCTCTACGGTTTTAATGAACCTACAACTCAACGATCCTTCTCTCCCGGGACCAGGTGAAATGGTGACGGAGGGTGGAAACGGCGGACACAGCGCCACAAGCCCCCAGCCGATCTCTGCGTCACCCCTCCTCACCGGAGGCGATCCCCACCACAACAGAGCCCCAAGCTTGGGAGAGTTACATCAAGAGCTCGAGGCGGAACAGGAAGCACAAGTGGTAAGCGCTGCTATAATGTCCAATGATAAATGATAAGCATCAGTTAGCTGATTTGAATTATGTAGAACCGGCTGTTACAGATGATCCGCCAGCAACAACTCCAACTACAGCAACTTCAGGCAGCCCAAGGTCAAAGCCAAACGAGCGTAGCCGCCGAAGATGCGACCCCTACGTCAGAGAGATCCAGTTCCATGGTGCTTCCGAATGTACCTACTCAACCACCCTTCCCCGCACCGTCTACTTCGGTTCCCCGTTCCCCGGTCCTATCGCATCCGCGTTCTTCCTTTGACATGGCTCGCGATGCTCTCCACCGCAGATCCAGAACACCCAGCCGCGGCGCGCCTTCTCCTAGGTTAAGATCGACGTCTATCAGTGCAGAAAGTGGAGAGCCGCTCCTTTCTGGAGTTCGCGACGAGAGTGCCTATTACCAAGCTGAGACGCAGTCTTTAGTTCGTGAGAACCAGATGCTGCGGCATAGAATTCGGGAACTTGGTAAGATACACCACTCAATCTCATAACCACCTTACTTATCGCTAAACTGTGTATAGAACGCCAACTTAGCGAAGCTCATGCTGGTGCGTCACTAACACGAGAGCCAACGCATCATTCACATCTCACACAGTCTACTTCAGTATCCGAGGAATATGCCGCAGCGGGCTCATCATCTGCTGTTCCTGCTGCTGCGTCTACTAGCACTGCCCAACCTGTCGCGGCCTCGGAAGCTATTAAGGACGAGTGAGGAAACCCTGAACTATGTTTTGTAAACTCGGATATTGTCTTGCGGCGTTCGGTTATTCAACTATCCATAAATGGTCGTGTCGAGCTATTTTCTGCGTTCCTTTCGGGCAAATATTGGGCGTTGGGTGGAGGGTGTGAGAAAAGGGCATCAGGGAAGAGGGATACGACTTAACGAAACATGGCATATTACAATTGTTTCCGATATGGTCCCTTAGTACATGGCGGACTCATGGCATCGATGATTTTCTTTCTCCCAGATCGGATTTCGGTATGTGTACATGTTTCCAGTACTCATAGACTCTGATGAAATGTGATGCGAATCACGGGACTTCGTACTCGATGTTTCAAGTTAAAGAGTTCAGACGATGTGCTAGATCAAGTGAGTGATTGCGTTTGCTTGAATTGGTATTGATATTTCCATTGCGAGTTGATTCTATGCAGGAGGACTATTGTGTATTTAATGCGGATGAGGCTTGATGAGAAAGAGTGGTTGGAGTGTCATAAGTAAGATTATACGAAGTAGTTATAACTACTACGAAGAGTGGATTGAATTATAAACTCGTCTAACGGGATAATTCAAGCGGAGCTTAAATCAAATGATTTCTACTTATATACTCTTGATTGGTTTGGTGAAAAGGCTTTACTCCATTAATTGTTAATATAGTAGTTGACTAAGTAAAGTTAATAACTTGAAAGACTTTTGCTTAATAAAAGCGAATTAACTTAAATCAAAGTTATAAAAGATTTGAAATATCCAATTAACATTGCTTTTTCGTTAAACAAGTCTTATGGATTAACCTAGGTTAAGTATTTGTTCATGAGTGCTTACCACATAACTATAAGTAAAGATTACATTACGAAGCTACCTTACCTTTTACCAATGCAAGTCGATAGATAAGTTCGATAAGAGCTCCGGTCCGGCGGTTTAGAATATGATATCATCCCCTTTGATTCTGATTATAACCTTGGGTACTTTTAACGGGATCCTTAGGTAGCTCCGTTCTCACGATCCTAGGTTATTCGATTAATTTTCTGCCTGCGAGACGGAAGCGAATATGTTCTCAGGAGTGGCCCGGCGGCAGTTCCAGTCGCATCACTTACGCGGCCTAGCACGCTCGTTCTCTAGTACCGCACCGGTGAGGACGGATTTTACGCATGTTGTAAGTCGGATTTATTTATTTATTGGCTCTTGTAACTGGTTGGGATATTTATTTATACGTTTGTGTCGTTTTGCTTGTATATATCACACATACGTTAGGTATACATACATACATTATGCACACGCACCAGAACCTCAACAACAACAGCTCACACCCCTCCCCCCAAAACACAGGTCATAGGCGGCGGCGCCGTCGGCCTCGCCATCGCGCGAGCCCTAGCCTCCCACTCCTCCTCCAATAACAACAACAGCAACAGCACGCTCCTCCTAGAACGGCACCCGCACACCGGCACAGAAACCTCCTCGCGCAACAGCGAAGTCATCCACGCAGGCCTGTACTACGGATCCCAATCGCTCAAAACGCGCCTGTGCATCCGCGGCCGCGAGGCCCTGTACTCGTTCTGCGCGCGCTACGGCGTCCCGCACGCGCGCGTCGGGAAATGGGTCGTGGCGCAGGACGAGGCGCAGGTGGAGGCGCTGAGGGCGATACACGAGGCGTGTAGTAGCAGAACAGGGGGGGAGGAGGGGGAGTTGGGCGGCGTGCCGACGAGGTGGGTGGGCCGCGAGGAGGCGCGCAGGTTGGAGCCCGAGGTGCGCGCTTTGGGCGGCGTGCTGGAGAGTCCGGAGACGGGGATCGTGGATTCGCATGCGTTGATGACGGCGCTGCTGGGGCAGTTCGAGGAGAGCGGGGGCGTGCTGGCTGTTAATTCGGCGGTGGTCGGGGTCGAGGGTCTGGGGGCAGGGGCGAGGCCCGGTAGTGATGGATGGCGGATTACCGTTCGCGACGCGGCTACCGGTGACGAATCGAGCATTACCGCCTCGACCATCATCAACAGCGCTGGGCTCGGCGCCGCCGATATCCACAACATGATTGCGCCGCCGGACAAGCGCGTCCGGCTGTACTACGCCAAGGGGAACTACTTCAGCTACGGCGCGTCTGCGCCCAAAGTCCGCCGGCTGATATACCCGGTAACCGCGCCGGGCGCGGGCGGGCTAGGCACGCACCTGACGCTGGACCTGGCGGGGCGGATGCGCTTCGGGCCCGACGTAGAATGGGTCGAGTCGCCGAGCGACCTAGCCGTCAACGCGGCGCGTCTGCCGGCCGCCGTCGCCGAGATAAAGAAGTATCTCCCGTCCGTCGACGAGAGCGCCCTGGCGCCGGACTACGCGGGCATACGGCCCAAGTTAGCGCCGGCGGGTGCCGTGGCGACGGGCGGAGGGGGGTTTGTGGATTTTTATATCAGGAAGGAGGATGGGTTTGAGGGGTGGGTGAATCTGCTGGGGATAGAGAGTCCGGGGTTGACTAGTTGTCTGGCGATTGGGGAGATGGTGAGGGATATGCTGTATGGGAGTGGGAAGGTAGAGGGATCGGCGGCGTTGGGGACGTAAATAGGGGTGGGTAAGTGTGCACGTATCTGGGTACCTATGTAAGGCTTCTACTTGGTCATCATGGCGATTTGAATATGTCAGTCAGATGGAAAGCGAGTTGAAAGGAGCGCTATAACTTGATACAATAACACAAGCACAAATCTAAGATACAAGAACTAGCTAGTTCAAATCCCAGTAAGGACATGCCAAATACAATTCGGTAGAGCGATGTGGCTACATCTAATTTCAGAGGAATCAGCGCAATATAATGTATGTACATCTCGACCAACAAGAAACGTCCGTGATGGCGGAGCCTTCGATCAGCCAACTCACAAGCCGAGCAACTCAAGCCATCCCCCTTTGAACATCTTTCTTCCACCTTCGTCTCCGGCACAATTCCAACGACGAAACTAGCTTTTTCGTGGAAATAATAAGGCGAGCAATACATAATATCCACGCCTACCCTCTAATGGGGGTTACTGCCGATTGCCCTGAACGGCCGGGAAAATAAAAAGGCAACAGAACGCAACAAACAAACAAAACAGACAACAAGGTTCACCACGTCCGGACTAGTGAAGAATGTAAGACGCCTTTACCCTCCCTTATGCACGCATGAGTATATATAATACCACCCCCAACGCCGTCGAGATCCCCCTTGCCGAAAATAAAAGGGTACTGTTCATAGCTTACAGACGAATGTCGTGACTTCGTGGCCTAGCGAAGCTGAATATCCGGGAATACTTTTCGGCCATAGATATTTACGCGGAATTCGTATATTCCGTCTTCTGCTGCAACATATCTAGGGACGGACTCGTCAGCATGTACATTCGCCTTCGTAGGACAAGGGTGGTTATTTCACTTACAATACTTGGCCATCTTCGCTCCATGTCAAACCTGCCGTGTCATCCGGGTTCTGCGTGTGGTCGCGGCTACCCATTCTAATCCTGCTGAAGAGCGAGTCGTTGCCCCATACGTCAGCAATGACTGGGATACCGCGACGGGCCCTGTTGGTCTCGGTCCGAGCATTATCGGTAAGCCCACCGGTCCATCCGCTTATGCTCGCCAGGTTCTCAAGGTCGGGCCATCCGGAGCCGGATCCCCCAACATACCACGGATCGCGTGAGGTTGCCGAGCTGTCATTGCCGGCTTCGCTGTACTGGTTCTGCGACCTCATCGTTTGCGAGATGGTATCGAAGTTCTGGGCTAGTGTACGCATAATGGACGTGCGACTTCGACCCAAGTCCCGCGGGATGGAACTTCCTCTCTCACGCTCCGGTTCGGGGGCTGCCTGGGTGGCGCTCGAACGATGTTGATCGCGGATCTCGCGCATGCGTTCGCGTTCGATGAATCTCGTCAGCGCTTCGCGCTGCTCAACATCCGTATTAGTGCGATTCAAACCAAGCTGATCACTGTATAAGTAACGGGCGATGGGATTTCTGACGTTCGCACGCCTGGTCCTGCCGTTCTGGACACTTACACGATCTGCCCAACCTGTGGATCTCAATGCATTTCGTTCGGCGGCTCGTTGATTTCGGTGTTCCATAAAATGTTGCTCCAATTGCTCTCCTCGATCCCGCAATTCCCGTCGACGACGCTGAGCTTGGAAGGCCTCTAGAATTGAGATCTCATCCGCGCTGAAAGGCTGATTGACTCGTGACGTGGGATCTGAAGTTTCCGGATCTGGTAGGGGCCGTCGATCGGATGCGGCTCTGTTCCAACGGTCCATCGCCCCTAGCGGAGATGATTCAGCATTGCGCTCGTTATCAGCATTACGATCGCCTTCGGGAGTCTGCTCGCTGCGCGGGTCGAGAAGGCGTGGATCGATAGTACTGCTATCATTAAGTGAGAAATGATTAAATCCTTCATGATTATCAATGGGGATAATATGCCGTCGTTTGAAGTTTGAGCGCGCATCTGCTACCCCAATCCGACCTCGATGTTCTGACCACGCCAAGAGATCGAACGGCCCCGGCGAAAAGGCCATGTCTCTAACAGCACCGTATTCCCCAGGTGCCCGAGCAGAATTAAAATATGCGATTAAGGGTTCTGAATCGGGATCCTTGAGCTTGACGGCATCGAAAATAGATATGGTGCCATATTGGGTGCCTACTGCCAAGTACTTCCCCGAGGAAGAAAAGCAAGCTGCGAAGCTCCCACGACAATCCGTAGCGTCATCTTTCCACTGGCCCTTAAGTCGTATTTTCGGCAGTAATACCCATCTAGAGGATTGTCGAGTAACTCGTCGTGAAATTCCCTCGTAATTTTTGTCGAATTGTTCCCGCGCGTGTACGTAGAGGTAGGCGTCGTCACAGACTGCAGCTAAGAGGGACCCATCGGGGGAAATTACACCGCGGTTGACACAATCGGGATAGTTTAACACGTCTTTGTGCAAGTCGGGTTCGTAGAGGCTTACGATGGTAATGCTCTTGTCGTTGTTTGCCACAACAGCTACCGGGGACTCGTATTGTCCAGGGGCTGGTGCGCCCGCATCTTTAGGAGGGTGCCAGATGGTTATGCAGTTGACACGCTCGATACCGATTTTATAGCTAGAAGCTGACCACGTCTTGTTGGTGCCATTGATTCGTTCCACAACAGACAGCATATCGCGTTCAAGCTGATATATAGTACCTTCAGTCATGCTAGAGGACTCAAGCGAGGTCAGTCTGGAGCGAACATCTCTACTGAGGGTATCGGCCTGTGCATCGCTGTTACCCGACTCTCGTATGACCACAAATTCTCCATTTTCGCCTCCGCAGCAGATCCAGCCCTTACTAGCAACCAGACAGCGGGGGTGGAAGCTAATGACTTTGATGGTTTCGCATTCGCGGGTAGAAGTATCGAGCCGTTGGATATGGGTATTGTTGACACCAGCCGGGAAGTAGATGACGCCCTGCTGCTCTGCACTGACCAATGATCGGAGCTGCCAATGACTACAAACGGGGTAGGGGATTAGTTAGGTTACAGGTAGTTTGCGGGGAGATATGTAGGGATAAGTAGGGATAAATAGGTACCTAGGTAGCCCAGATAGAGGTATAGGTAGTAGGCTAGATAGGCTGTGAGACTTACATTGGCGAGACACTGGTGCGATAGTGCTTGCGACCTTCTTTAAGAAGCAGGTTCTCAGTAGGCCAGAGACTAGAGACGACTGACAATCAGCGGGGTGTCGCCATTTCTATTTGGATGCGCGCATCAGCACGCGGCAGCAAATCCTACCTGGCCTCCTCGTCTACGGCCATGGTGCCAATGGCAGGATGTTAATACCGTAATAATGGCTCATCAAGTCGTATTGATCATGGAAACGCGTCGCAGGACAGTCAAGTGACACGTAAAGGGGGAGATGCGCCGATCGTAGAATATTTGGGTCGTGGCGGACTGGCAGACTGGTCGACTACCTAGTCGGAGAGTAGATCTAGTAACAAGATGTAGCAACGCCGTGGGGGATGGAGCTGAGTAAAAGTGAAATCAGAGAGTGAGATCACAATAAGTCCTAGTTAGTAGCAAACGGGGTTTAAACGTTTGATGCAAGGTTTGTTATAGTGGTGAATGGTGAATGAAGCACTAGCTTTCGGGGTCCTTATCCTAAAAGGGAATGTGAGTGAGCATGAGGTGTGCTTTTTGGTGTGCTTTTTATTTTATTTTATTTTTACTAAACCACGAATGCGGGTTGCGTTAAGATATTGAGGAAGTGGTTTGAATGACCACGGGACAAAGGCAGAAGTTAGTTACCCTTGCAGCCCTTGAGAAGGCAGGAAGGCTCCTCAGATGACGTTCAGATTCGCACCAAGCAACCAGCACCAAGCAGCTACTGCCGCCGACAATCAACGGCAACCGGGCAAGAACGCCTAACATTACCTAGGTGTAGGTACCTTGGTATATATGTACCTATGTACCCTGTAGCGACCCGGAATTATACAGTACGAAGAATATCGATATGTACAGTATTTAACCTACATACAATACAGGTACCTATTAGTGTATTAATGCCCTAATGTAATACAACTGCATATGCCATACTTAGGTACACTAGGATAGGTATAAGTATAAGTGCGATGTAAAATATATACTGCTGTGCAATAGTAAGCTTGTCCTATAGGAGTTATTTCTATATATTTCCATATAAGTGACTATTTGCGCAATTATCTGGGTGCTGTACGGAAGTCCCCATTAAAAGTTTTGTCCATAGGCTAGCCCCTCTCAGCTTTGACAGGGTTTGGCAACAGCTATATACCATCGAGCGTATGTACCATTTATATTATACTACTTTTGCTTATACACAATAACTCGAAATTCCCTCTTTAAACAATAAAAATCAAATAAGCGTATAAAGCAGCTTTTGGTTTTATAATAAATTTAATTTTAATGTTTTTATTAGTATAATAAAGCTTAAATTGGATATGTTATAAAAGGTAAATCTTTGTATACATTTATCATTTTGGCTGCCGCATGGTGTCAGGTCCCGGACAGCTGCATCAAAAGCTGAGAGGGGCTAGCCTATGGACAAAACTTTTGATGGGGACTTCCGTATGAATTCCTTATCGAACCAGTAGCGTGCCTATTGCTAAGCTCTTTTAGATTCGAGCTACTACATAATACTAAAGGCACTCTTACATCATCGCCATCTTTGTAGTGTTACATATCTCTACTTGGACTTTGGATTAATCAATTCGAGTTTGTTATTGTGCGTAATCTTAAGTATATGTAAAGAATACACAGATAATTATCGGAATAGCATACTTAAGACACCATATGCTGACATTGACAAAGTAGTTAAAAAGTTTTTAATGTTTGTTCAACGTCTTAAAATTTTAAGCTTTAGGAAATTCTAGAATATTACCTAAGCGCGGCTCTAGTCCATAAGATTTCATGATTTCGCCGCCGGTGCAGGCAGTACGGTAGGTACGGTAGGTACATATGCGGTACATATGCGGGTACATATCGGTTATTGGTTCACGTCACCTCCTCTTAAAAATTTCATCGAATTGTGATTGGACCCCCACGTTATTGCCGAGGTACACCGCCCGCGAGGAAGCTCTCAGAAATCTTCTCTCTTCCACATCCCAAGTCGCCGAAGAAAATTTATAGCAATCGTCTCCACCAATCTGCCATCTTCTATCCTCATTCTGTCCTCATACATAATAATAAATACGCCGACGAACCACCTGTATACTACTACCCTCTCTTCCTCTTCTTCCAATTGCGATATTTTTTCTCATTCCTCATATCTCCCTCCTCTCCGCCCAAAGCCATCATGATGTTGGCCTCAAGATTCTCCAGAGCTGTAAGTCCAAACCAATACCCCACAATTTCCGAAATATTTGCACACAACACGCGTGACTGACTGCGATTCGATTCAACAGCTTCCCCGAGCAACTCCCGTAGCTGCGCGATGGGCTGCCCCTCTGCGAAAGCCGTTGGGAGCTAGCTTCGCTCGATATGAGTCGACGGAAGGAAAGGTTCAAGGTACCGTCATCGGTATCGATCTTGGTAAGTTCATAAACCCCCCACTGCTATGTGTGTCTGAGGAGTTTTACTAACATAATTTCTAAAGGTACCACAAACTCGGCGGTTGCTGTTATGGAGGGCAAGCAGCCCAGGATAATTGAGAACGCTGAAGGTGAGATACCCTTGTCGGCGCATATCTTTGCGACAGTATACTGACTATCAGTCAAGGTGCCCGAACAACACCCTCTGTTGTTGCTTTCGCACCAGACGGCGAACGATTAGTTGGTGTCGCTGCTAAGCGACAGGCCGTCGTCAACCCTGAAAACACTCTCTTTGCTACTAAGCGATTAATCGGACGAAAGTTCACTGATCCTGAGGTACAAAGAGATATCAAGGAAGTTCCCTATAAGATTGTTCAGCACACCAATGGCGATGCTTGGGTCGAGGCCCGAGGCCAGAGATACTCTCCGTCGCAGATTGGTGGCTTCATTCTTCAAAAAATGAAGGAAACCGCTGAATCCTACCTAGGCAAGCCTGCCAAGAACGCTGTCGTCACCGTGCCCGCTTACTTCAACGACTCCCAGCGTCAAGCCACCAAGGATGCTGGTCAGATTGCTGGTCTTAACGTCCTCCGAGTTGTCAACGAACCTACCGCTGCTGCCCTGGCTTACGGTCTAGAAAAGGAGGCCGACAAAATTGTTGCTGTGTACGATCTTGGCGGTGGTACTTTCGATATCTCGGTTTTGGAGATCCAGAACGGTGTATTCGAGGTCAAGTCCACAAACGGTGACACTCACTTGGGTGGTGAAGATTTCGATATTCACCTAGTCCGTCACATCGTCCAGCAGTTCAAGAACGACTCTGGTATTGACTTGTCCAATGACCGAATGGCCATCCAGCGGATCCGAGAAGCTGCTGAGAAGGCCAAGATTGAGCTGTCTTCGTCTCTCCAGACCGATATCAGCCTACCTTTCATTACTGCCGATGCTTCCGGTCCTAAACACATTAACATGAAGATGACTCGATCCCAGCTTGAGAGCATGATGGAGCCCCTAATCAAGAGGACCATCGAACCCGTCCGTAAGGCTCTTAAGGACGCTGGCCTGCAGGCCAAGGAAATCCAGGAGGTCATCCTTGTCGGTGGTATGACTCGTATGCCCAAGGTTGCCGAGTCGGTCAAGAGCATCTTCGGCCGTGATCCTGCCAAGTCTGTCAACCCTGATGAGGCTGTTGCCATTGGTGCTGCTATCCAGGGTGCCGTTCTGTCTGGTGAGGTCAAGGATCTGCTGCTTCTGGATGTCACTCCTCTTTCCCTTGGTATCGAGACCCTTGGTGGTGTGTTCACCCGATTAATCAACCGAAACACCACTATCCCCACCAAGAAGTCCCAGGTCTTCTCTACTGCCGCCGACTTCCAGACTGCTGTCGAGATCAAGGTGTACCAGGGCGAGCGTGAATTAGTCAAGGACAACAAGCTTCTTGGTAACTTCCAGCTGGTTGGCATCCCCCCGGCGCACCGCGGTGTTCCTCAGATCGAGGTCACATTCGACATTGACGCCGACTCTATTGTCCACGTTCACGCCAAGGACAAGAGCACCAACAAGGACCAGTCCATCACCATCGCCTCCGGCTCTGGCCTGTCCGACTCTGAGATCGAGCGCATGGTCCAGGACTCTGAGAAGTACGCCGAGGAAGACAAGGAGCGCAAGGCCGCTATCGAGTCTGCCAACCGTGCCGACAGCGTCCTCAACGACACCGAGAAGGCCCTCAACGAGTATGCCGACAGGCTTGACAAGACCGAGGCCGACGGAATCCGGGAGAAGATCACTTCTCTGCGGGAACTCGTGAGCAAGAACCAGTCCGGTGAGGGTACCGCTACCGCCGCCGAGATCAAGGAGAAGACCGATGAGCTGCAGATGGCTAGCTTGAACCTCTTCGACAAGATGCACAAGGCCCGCGAGTCCGGCGAGTCCGGCAGCTCCGAGGCTGGCTCTTCGGAGGCTAAGCCCGAGGATGAGAAGAAGCCTTAAATACCCCATCGTAGGCGAAGCATTCTCGGTTTATACTAATTACCCTCGAGGCTGAAACTATACGAGCTTTTTAGCGCTCTACTCCTGTACATTAACCTGTACTCATATTTACCGCCCTCAAAAAGTTTCCGCCTGTCGTTACATTATCCTCTACTACCCCCCTACTACTACCTACCTACTTACTCATCGGCGGTGTCTCCATGAATTTGCGGGCGGGAGCGGCGTTCTGAGATCTGGGGAAAGCTATACTTTTTTTACTACTTTTTTACCTCCACGCTGAAGATATGTCTAATGTTTTCACGTCGGTTTCAGGTGATACGAAGGGCATTACATGGGCAGGCGGGCTCCGGGTGGAGCACTGTATATAGGACGTTACGACACGACTAAGGACAAAATAATAAAATAGCATCCCCTCTCATTTAATTTAATTTGATTTGATGAATTTTCTTGTGTTATGTACATTATAGATGTGATTATATTGGACTACCTATGACATGGTAGTCTGGGCATATTCTGGTGTAAATGGTTACTTGGTTCCGTAGATTTATGTCAGCATTATGTTATGTAGCCACGCCGCAGAAGCCCTGGCTTTGACGTCTTGTGTCGGGATCCATCTGATTAACTAGCGTAACGAGATCGGATGGCCGCTCGGCTAAGGTAAGAAACATGCCGCCTAATTATAAGGATACGTAGTGTTAGTATTGGTAATTTAATTTAACCATTCCTTCTTATTACCGGTGGGACGAAGAAGAAAAAGAAAATAAGGATCAAGAGGGACGAGTAAAAGTAGATGATATGAGATGAGCTACAAGGGGATATATATATAAAGAGGAAACAAATAAATAAATAGGCCGGCCGAGATAGGTTAGGTAGGTTAGGTAGGTTAGGTAGTTGGGGGTAGGTAAAACTCGCCTTCGATATGCCACGCGACATGGCAATGCAGCGCCCAGAGCCCCGGGTTATCGGCGGCGAAGCGCAGGACGACGTGGTTGAAGGACGGCACGGTGACGGTGTCGCGGCGCATGGGGTTCGCGAGGTTCCAGGTGGTGGTGGAATTGGTGCTGCTGCTGCTGCCGAAGAGACCCTTGCCCCAGCCGACGATTTGGAAGGTGTGGCCTGTGGTGATGGGGGTACGTGTTAGGTCAGGTAGTGTAGGTACTTTTTCTTTTTCTTTTTTTGTCTCTGGGGGGGTATGTTAGGTTAGATTAGGGACATACCGCTGTTGAAGGTTAGTTAGTTAGTTACCTAGGTGTATAGGAGGAGGGGAAAGGGGAGGGGGGCTTACTGCATGTGCCAGGGGTGCTCCATCGCGTCGAGCGAGTTGATGACGATCTGAGCGCCTTGGTTGGCGTCTGGGATTAGTAGGACCTGCTGGTCGAGTCCGAAGTCCCAGCTGTTATACGAGTTTGCCCTGTCGGGCGTAAATTGCTGGTCTAGGGCTTTCCAGAGGGTGGCGTTGTCGGGGAGGGGTAGGTAGGATGTCTATTCGTAGGTTAGTTATTAGTTATATAGGTAGGTAGGTATGTTGGTTAGATATCCGTTGGTTGGGCTTTTATAGGAGTTGTAGAGGAAGAGGGAAGGGAAGTAAGTAGTCGAGTGGGTATGATGGGAGATGCAGATAGGGTAGGGAGATAGGTAGGTAGGTAGATAGGTAGATATAGAGAACTGACTTTGTTGACGAAAATACGATTGATCTCCTGCGCCTGGCGGAACGCATACTCGATATAATGCGTATTTGCCTCGCTTACGTCCACCGCGGGCTGCCTTCGCATCGGCTTTGCCATATCGAACGGCATGTCGTCGCATCCCTCCCACACGTCTCCCCTGAGCATATTATTCTCGACGCCGTACGGGTTCGACGTATTTCCAGCAACCCCAATGGGCTCAAGTACTGGGCCCTCGTCCCGATCCCCTACCTCCTGCTGCTCGCTATCTTCGAAATACGATATTATCCCCTTAGCACCGTACCCCGCTGCCTCGAGCCCCGAACTATTATACGGCGCGTACGGCAGAAAACACGTCTTGGGCAGCGAAGCACGGACGTAGTAGCTGCCGGGCTCTTGGTCTGCGGTTAGGATCACAGAGGCGCGCTGTCCGAGGTTCAAGTATACGCCACGTGCAGAAATAGGTTCTATTTCGACGCCGTCTAGCTCGACGATGGATATCGTGTGGTTGTCGATGCTGAACCAGTACGATAGGAACGAGGAGGCGTTGATTAGCCGTAAGCGTACGGTCTTTCCGCGGCGTACTTTCGTTGTGTAGAGTCGCCCGCCCGTGCAGGTATTCTCGAAGGGCTGGTCTGCAGATGGTGTGTAGGTAGTCGAGGTAACGGAGCAGTTGTATGTGTTCTGCCCGTTGAGCAGGACGTTATCAGCCAGAGGCTCGACGCCTGATTCCCAGTCGACCCATTTCGACGTTGAGTTGAGGTAGCTTGTTAGTATCTACGTCAGTCCGAGTAACCGAGGCTCGTGGTTAGCAGCCAGCTCTGGAATAGACCAAACAAATATCAAGGGGGTTGTCTTACAACGTATCCGTAGGTGTGATATACATCCGACACAAACAGGAGCTTCTCGTCGTCCGTCTTAGGTACCAGTTCCCCCGGATCGCGTATAATCTATATCTCAGTTAGACAACGGCCATGTCCACAAGGACTCGATCCCTAACAATTGCCCCATAAGCACCGTCGCTATACTGCACCGAAGAATGCGCATGCCACCAGAACGTGCCCCTCTGGTCCATCACCCGGAACTCGTACGTAAACCCCTGACCGGCCGGGATCCCGCACTGCGAGACGCCCGCGACGCCGTCCATCCACGGTGTACCGATCTGGTTCATGCCGTGCCAGTGTATCGACGTGCTGCTATTCGTCATGTGGTTATTAACCCTAACGCGAATCGTATCTCCTACATTCGCCTCTATCAGCGGCCCCGGAGACTGCCCATTAACCAAGACCATCGGTTTCCGGAACCCGTCCGGCGCGGCCAGCGCCACCGACACATTAAACTCAAACTCGCGAACCCGAGGCTCGCTCGAAACGGCGAAGTTTGTATCTAGCTCGAGCTCTCGTCTGTTAACAAGTCTGTCTATAGAGACGAGGTCGAGGTTCTCGGGGATACCGTAGCGGATGGTGTAATTAGACAGCGGGGGCAACGGTGTAGTATAGAGGGCTCTATATCGGGCACAACCGAGCCCAAGACCCAGACCTAGCGCCAACGCTACGGCGGTAAAGCAGACGAGGGCCCAGATGAAGAGACGTAGGGAGACAGTGCGCCGCGACTGGCTCTCGGTAATGAAAACGGGTAGTTCGCTGGTGCTCGCCCATATCTTGGACGGTCGTGAGGGATAGCCCAGTCGCAGGCTGTTTTCGTAGTCGGGCGTCATTGGCCCACTGGTATTTCTTGCAAAGAGGTGATCTAACATGACGAGCCACGACGAGAGAATCAAAAATGTCGCCAAATTCGGGGGGTTCTAGGAGTTATCTAGGATATCTAGGGACTGTGATAATGGCAAGGGATGTAGGGATTCAACACTAGGAATGCACTATCGCAAACCGCCCTTTAGTAAGATTAGTGCACTACCCCTTCGTTAACCCCTGGGGAGACAGTCACAGAAATGAATACGTAGCAAGGAGATATGAGATTTAATCCAATGTCTTATATGAATTGCTGACTTATGGTCCACTTCACGTAGGCATTCGAGGATAACAGGCTGGTCTGAACTATCTTCCAAACCCGAACCATCCTTTCTTCTGCGGCTGTGCCGGCTGTTCCAGCTTCTGCTCGGGCTCGGGGGCGGCAGCCGGGGCCTTTCCAGGGTAATCTATGTAATTCCAAGCAACATCGAAGAATAAAGGCTTCACCGGAATAGGATTCACCTTGGGCGGGAACTCGACGAGATTTTCCAAGTTGACACCCTCCGCTGGGTACTCGAATAGGCGTTGCACAAGCGGAGCTCTTGCGCTTGGCGGCGTCGCATTCGTCGTCTTTTGCCGTAGATTATCTATTTCAACAATCGCTCGGCATTTTTGAAGCTCCCCCTTTAAGAGGTTGTGAAGGAATTGGATATCGGCTGGTCGGATCTCTATGTTACGGGGCGAGGATTCAGAAGAAGAAGAAGAAGCTTCCTGCTTGGAGAAAAACGCAGCTGACTGCTCACACTCGTCAAATGCGTGTTTAGTGAGAACTAAAGCATTGCGCGATTGGTTGGTCAGCGAGTGCGACCTCGCAATAGAGAGAGATCTATATTATCTGTAAGTATTGGCACGGAAACAAGAGTATAAGAGCTGTAGATACTGACTTGAGGGCATGGAAATATTTAGCAGTTGCGCTTAATTGCTCTGATAGGTCTCTGTCAGCCGCAACGCCAGGTAATTCTTTAATCGACTCAATGCTCTGCAGTGTAGAATCATAAAGTACAACTTTGTCTTTGAGCCGAGATATCTTCCTGCCGGGTGGCTCTATTTTAGGCTTTCGAGAGCTGGCGTCTTTCTTGGATTTCCGAGTAGTTGTAGGAGCCGAGTCTAGCAAGGCTCCGTCGTGCTCTCCACTCAAGACCCGATTGCGACCGATTCTCCAGCTGATGACCTGGTAGTTAACCGCGGTACGAGTTATCTGTAGACTTTGTATTCGAGCGTCGTCCTGGGATACGCCCTCTTCCTTGAGTTCGTCGATAGCGTGTTTAGTGGCATCTACGGCATCCTGGCTGGCTATGAGCACTTCATCGTACGCAGCAGCCATCTCTTTTGGTAATATAACGTCGGAAGATGCCAATTTCTCCGTCAATCGTGCGGTTGCTGTATCTATCGAGGCCAGCGCGACCGCGATAGCTGCATCCTCAATCTTGACTTCTCGGGACCTCCATGTGATGGTTTGAGGAGCGTTCGGGGCACCGACTTGGCCCTTTTGAGCATCAGAATCGCTCTTGTTAAGTAGATCCGGGGCTAATTTATTTATTTGCTCGACCAAGGCAGAGTCAGAAGAGGGGAAGGCCCTTCTGGCGATTGTCGGTATCGTCTGGATCCTTGAAATTTTGGTCTGATAGGCCGCATATCGAATAGAAGGGTCGATGGTATCCGACAGCAAGTCTTTAAAGATGTCCCCTTTCATAGATGTGGCTAGTGCTGTGTATATGATGCGAGCGGTCGCATAGCTCTGTAGACATAGTTCCCAGCTCTGTTTTTCGAATTGAGTGGCGCCTCGTATCATAGAAGCATACGCGCGTGCTTCTAAGATGTCAGTGTCGCTGGCGCCTGTCACAGAGCTTTCGGATAATATTTGTACGAGATGTTCGGCGGCGCGGGCACCTTTAACAAGTCTCGATATGATATGGGAGCGGGTTCTGCCTGTAATGCCTTTGGTATCGGTGGAGTGAACGGCCTTGAACCTCTGGCCATGTGCCCAAGCACGCTCGGCCGTCAACAATTGCAGATGAAGGTACCTCGTTCCCGTCAGCGATATTTAAAATAATGACAACAGGCAAGATTGCGCATACTCGTGGTTCTCTGCCAGATTTTCGGCCGTGATGAGCTCTTTCTTAGTAAACTTGCCACGATTCTTAGTAGCAATATTCAACCTCTTCCGACATTTGTGTAGCTTCTTGACCAGCTGCTTATGATAAGTAGTATAGTCGCCATATAAAAGAGCCTGGTTTCTAGCTGAAACCACAAAATTTGTGATATCCATGCTATGTATACCAAGAATTTCGAGGCAACGACCACCAAATTAATGTATAATGCGGTGTTGAGGGTTGAAATCCAATGTACTTCGTACGTCTTTGGTGGATTTGATGTGGTGGGGTTTTTTTTGGGCTGGGCCAGCTTTCAATCTCTCAATTTCCCAATCTCCAATGCTCAAAATTTGGGTTGACGTGGGGTCAGATTGAGTTAGCTTTAGGTTAGGTACCTTAGATAAGTAGCAAGTACCTACTAAGGTTCTGGCTCAAGTGGGGCAGATTAGCGATAAACCTTGAAAAAAATACGCCAAAAATCGAAGTTGGGTCCTATCTTCTCCGAGGTGGTGGAATTTTTAAACCGAGACTACTTTTTTTGTCGTGACCTAACCCAGACATGATGCTCAGTCTCTACTATTCATCCTTAGCTATTCTCTTTATACCTATGAACTAGAGACAGATGCTATATAAGTCTAGTCTGATTAGGCTACAGTATGAGATATTGTATAGTAAGTCCCAATAATTTCTTCAAATTCATATCCTAAAGAATTTGCGCCAGAATATATATACTCTTTAACTATACATACTCACGTCCATGCAACTACAGTTTCGAGGATGTCTTGAAGCATTATAACCTGGTACCTCGTCCAATCTTTTCGACTTGCCGACTGTTTTGTTGTTGTGTTAGGCGGGTACTACTATAGACCATACCCTCCCGATGCTGGAGAAGACGGCAGCCAGTTTGGAACCATGCGGTCTCCATCGAGTAGTTCCCGGTGCCACTCAGTCCTTTCGGACTACGAGACAGCTTCGAAACGCCTTCTGGCAGCATGGAGCTGCTGGCATAGAGCTTACTGCCGCCTGGCAAGCTTTGATGCATGGTACTTTTAATCTTACCATGGGCTCCGCACCCGAAGAGAACAACGGCTCCGTCCTGAGCGCTTCAGCTTTCCTTCTCGATTTTCTATATCCAAGCGGCGCCATGAATCTGATGCGCCGCTTGACTCCAGCTGCCCCCATCTCCGGTCGTCCTGATAGCTTCCGTTATAGGCAGCGTTTTGGGGGGACCATGCCTCGCCTATTTACGTCATCGCTTTCTAAGCGCCAGGTTCGCCATTCCGGATCCGAAGCCACGGCTAGCCCGAAAGTAAACGAACCCGATAGCAGCGTATCGGTTAACACAGACGACGTCACCTACAAAGACAGCGAGGCGACAGAATCAGGCAAAATTCGGGGTGTAGCTATCGAGGATATGGATGAAGAGAGTGACGCCCAAGTTCATGAGAGACAGACACAGTCTGATGTCATCGCGGAAGACCTTAACGATATCGATATAGACGGCGACCATATTACGATTCTTGAGGACTTGCTGAAGAAGAGCGACTTCGAAGATGCCGACCGTGTTTGGCATAACTATAAGGCCTTAGATGAGCTGTCGCAAACCATTTACACACAACAAGTGCTACTTTTTCTCTCAAAAAGTGACCGATTATCTGCATCGTGGAAAGTTTCGGAGCTATTCCACCAAATACCTCCATGGCAATGGACGAACGAGATCTTCCTCGCGGGCGTTACGGCCGAAATTAGCCTGCAGAACGCTAATCGGGCGCTTGAAATATTCACCAAAGGGCTAGATCACACTGCCCTCGATCTCCCCCCCTTTATCGATTCCCTTGATTTGCTGCTTGCAACTGCGTTACGGTCCTCGGGGCTGGAGCTATTAAAGGATTTATGGAAACTATATCCTAAGATGACAACACGATGGGGCTTTGAAGACATTTCGTCGCACTTAAAAAATGCAGCACCTCCTGCTCACCTCGCCGTATTAACGGATATGCAAAAGTACTACCCTGACATGACCGGGAGATGGAATTTTGAGGGTATAACGTCACAGTTAAAACATGTTGCTCTCGTACCTGGCCTTGCTGAAAAAGCCTTCGACTTCGCGGCTGTCGGTCGGCAAATGCTTCGAGAACTTGACAGCGCCGAGTTTAGTTTGGAGGCACTAGATTCACTCCAGAGGATTCTAGTCCGCAGGGCTCTTTTATCGTGTACTGACGCTCAAGTTATCCCTCTACTTAGCATAACGAAAGACCCTCTAGCTTTCGAGGAATTTTTACGAACGGTAGTCTCGAGGGGCAAGGAACAGCTCGGCATTGAGGTATATCGTGTCTATCGTGATTTACCTGGGAGCATGCCGAGCCATCCCGTTCTTCACGAGATTTTCAAGGTCTATAAAAACCTAACCATGCCGATGTCAGTGAGGTACGCTGGGATAGAAATGCTATGGGGTGATTGGCATAGGTTTCATACCGTTCCTTCTTTCAGGGCATTTCAAAAATACATGGCTTTCTATGCGTCTCAAGGGGACACAGAAACCGTCTACAGGATCTGGCGTAAGTTCATCAAGGCGTACATCGACGATCCTAAACTTTCTGCCCTTCAAGCCGACGATGTATTTTCACACCTCATGCAGGTGCATGCCGTCCGAGGCGAAGTCATTGAAACGCAGCAAATCTTTGATGATATCCCCGGGAGGTTCCATTTAGAGCATAGTGTACACCATTGGAACATCCTTCTCAACGCTTATGTCAAGGTAGGTGATTACGATAGAGCGATATCTACCTTCGAAAACCTGGTGGCAGCGGGGAAATGGGACCGTTATAGCTACGGGACGATGATGCAAATGGCGGGTGATAGAGGCGATCTGGGTTTCACAATTGACCTATATCGCCAACTATTGAGTTTTGGTGTGCAAGCGGACGCGGCCATTCTTGGGGCCATCGTTGATGCGTACTGCCGGAACGACCACATGCAATCTGCTGAGGACGTATGCGTTCGCGCCGCGAGTAAAGGGATTGTTGATACCCAGATGTGGAACAAGCTCATTTACTACCACGCCATTCGCCGAGATCTTGCTGCCATCAACAGACTTCTTAGTCTTATGGCCGAGAAGGAAATCCCTTACAATTATTACACCTACCAGCAGTTACTTATAGGTCTCTCTATATGTCGACAATCTCTTCATGCTCTAAATCTCCTGGCGGCAGCTTTGAGGGATAATATTTTCACAGTTACCGCCGAGCACTTTCATATTGTCATGGGTGCCCTACTCGTGACTGGAGAGCCTGGGGCGGTCCTACGGCTCGACAAGATGATGCAGGACTATGGGTTTCCCAGCTCATCCGAGAGTCTGTTCCTATTAACACAAACGCTTGGGCAATTTAGGAGTCTACCACCGTTTCAACGGGCACGTTTAACTCCAACGGAGTGGCTTGGCGAATCGTTCCGTTCATTTTACAGAATATACGGTCTAAACCGCCGAAAGAAATTAGACAAGCTAATACCTGGACGTATGCACAGCAAGGCGGGCGAGCTGCTGCAGCAGAATACCGAGAAGTCCCATTTTAGTACTATGGTTTCCATGCTAACCGAGCTCAAAGACTTCGCTGGGGCTCGGGAGCTTGTCGACCTTTACCGTTACATTTTCCAAGGGGAGGAAGACGTAGACGGAGTTTTGCCCGTGACGATGCTCAACTCCCTCATGCGCGCAGATTTCCTAGAAGCGCGTTATGATCGTGTTACAACGACCTGGGAGCTGCTCTTGGAGACCGCAAAGCAGGAAGCACGGTCAGCCGATTACGTCGAAGAGCTTCCTCACACGCCAAAAGTCTCGGCCAAATATCGATACATACTATCAAGTGGTCTCATGATCATGCAGAAGCTGCTACTCGAAAAAGGAGATGCCGCCGGCATCCGGAATCTAGTCCGGGAAGTTCGCGAAGCAGGGTTTGAGCTAGACAGCCAAAACTGGAACTTTTATATACAAGCGCTTGTTCAATTAAAGGAGTATAAGGAAGCATTCACCACCTGCGAAGAGATGTTAATGCCGAACTGGACTGGATGGTTTCTGGTGCGCCATAGAGAGAGCGTGAAAAACAAGCTACCGCTAGACCTCCGGCGAAAAGGGTCAAGCCCGCGACATCTCCGGCCCGTCGCTACGACGTTGTATCGCCTCACGCGAGGCTACATGGAGTTAGATAGGCTCAGCGTTTGGTCCTCGGAGTTTGCCTCGACGCTCCACGAGATAGAGAAGGAATGCATACAGGTAATCCGAGCTATCAAGTCGATGATACGTCTGCGTTCGCGCCACGAGCTAGAAATCATGGGCGACGAGGACTCCTTCGACATCGATTCTATCGGTGCTGACGTAGACGGAGATGTCTGGCCGGAAATAGATGAGGAGTGAAGAAGCTTCTCCTCAGGATGGATATATGTAAACGTGTAACTCTTGAATCTGTGCAATGACTACCTAGGTATATATACCATACTCACTCTATAGATGATAGACTTACTTATTAATGAATGACGTTGATGCCTTTGGTAGAATGCATATCTTATACATAAATCATTGCTATGCAGAGTATATCTCGACGTACGCTTACCTAATAAAAAGGACCCCTGGCTAGTCGCCATACTTCCCACTCTTGACCACACGAAGGGCGCGCCGAGGTGATAAACCGGCCATAACAACCTAGGTACCTAATATACGCAAAGTAGGTCTTTATATATACCACACACATACTTACCTAGCTTACATCCGCGAGAAATAAACGAACTATACATTTCTTGTGTATAAATACCTAAACTACCTAGAACGAGCTGATCAGATACAAGGGGTTTTGTTTAGAATGGAATGCTAATTAGCAAAAATAAGAATACCAGCGCCGTCCGTATTTACGTCTCAGCCCTTCCGACTTCTTTCGCACGGATATATCGAAATCGACCCCGGGCCGTTATTATTAGTATTATCAATATAGCGTCGGTAGGTAGGACGAACATGGCGCTTCTTCCGTTCCCGCAGCCGTCGGAGTTGTTGCCGGTGGGGTTTGTGATGGCCCGGTGTGCGCCGGAGGATACGCTGGGGATGACTTCTGTTTGGTGAGTCGTGTGTTTTAACTCGTCGAAGTTGATGATATGCATGCATGCTGGTTTATCTTACTAATTAGATTATACAGTGAGTTTATTTATATTTAAGTCTGTCTTCATAGCCTAAGTCTGGGCTTTAAGCGATCTTAGATACTAGATACCTGCCTACTCTTAGTCCGTATAGACCAGAGAGTATCTATCTACCTACCTACCTACCTATCTACCTACCTACCTCCTCACCTCAAACCAAGGGACAACTTCTGCACACCCAGAAAATTAGGTACCTAGGTAGGTAACTAGCTAACCCCCACGGCCAACACAGTCATAGACGCCTTCTCCGCCAGCCCCGAGTTCACATACTGGTGGTCGCCATCCCCCGACGTCATGCGCGCATGGCACGCGTCCCGGATCCGGGGCCGTTTCAGCGACCCGACCACGCAGCAATTCAAAGTCGCGGACGCGTCTTCCGGCGCGGTCGTCGCGTTCGCGAAGTGGGATCCGCCGGCCGGGATGAAGGGGTTGCGGGACGGGTTTGTGGTTTACGACGAGGAGGGGAGGGAGGTTGTTGGGCTGGAGGATTTGGGAGAGGGGGGGAAGATAGGGGGGGCTGTGCAGGAGAAGAAGGAGGAGAAGAAGAAGAAGAAGTTAAAGGCGCCGGAGGGTGCGGATGAGAGGCTTTATGAGGAGTTTTTCGATGGGCTGGAGACTATGGGGGAGAAGTGGCGGTCGCATGAGAAGTTGGGTATGTGAGAGTGCTTACCCCTTTTTCTCTCCTCTCTTCTATATCCCGTCTCCTATCCCCCAACGCACACCTTCAAATCCCATACCTACTAACAGCCAACCCCTCAGTCCTCTCCATAGTCTGCACCGACCCCTCCCACCACGGCCGGGGCATCGCCGCCTCCCTAATCCGGCCCGTCCTCGCTCTCGCGGACAAAGAGCGCATCCCCGCGTACCTCGAAGCCCTGCCCTTGGCCGTGCCGCTGTACCGGCGTCTCGGTTTCCAGCCCGTGGACCGGCTGGAGTATGACTTGGCCAAGGCGGGGAGGCAGGGAAAGGCCGTGCTGACGATTATGGTGCGGGAGCCGCAGTCGGAGTAAGATGCGCTGGTTGGTTGGTTGGTTGGTTGGTTGGCTATTCGAGCTTGGCCCGGGTTTGGCTGTGGAGCGCATACTTATGTGTACCTAACGTACGTATGTAAGTATGAGATGTCTCAGGATAAGCCATGGCTCGTTGTTGGCAGGAATTACTCGTGTGCTGATGGGATTGGATATTTGGATATTCCGAATATGCAGCTCTTAACCCCGGAATAGACAACCTTGGCAGGGGAGCTTGACATTACGTAGTTCCCATATTTGCCATCATTATAGACGAGTTGATCTCATAGTTACAGCCAGGCCGCTTACATACCTACCTAGGACCTAGGTAGTATGAGACCATTTTCTTCGACCTAAAGCTATGTGAAATTATAGCGATCTTTACGACACTTACCCCGTCCTATAATACTTATTTAAACCACTCTCTATCCCTACCGTATTTAGCTCTAGATATGTAATAGGTAGCCGCATTCTACTGAGTGTAAAGAGCCCGTATACTGTTCATGGTGCTATAGAGGACACTATTATGGGGAAATATCCTGTTTACCTATAATAGCCCATCAAATTCCGCATAAACCTGTATTATGCGAGCACAAACAGGTAGCTAGCTTGCCTATCTGCTAATAACGACTTTAGTGCGCGGGTCCGTCTGTACGTACGTGTCCGACAGCACTGAACGAAAGGGGGAAAGGGGCCAAGAAACGCGAAAGAGAAGGAGACATACCTATGTGTGCCATCTGCCTACCTACTTACCTCCTAACGCACAACTCTGGTACATACTAGTAATGGTGTGTAGGACAAGTCGCAACAGTCCGGCAACCAACCGTCTCTGTCGGGGAATTTCTCATTCCCCAAGACCAGGTCAATGCTCAGACGCAACCTTAGGCTACGTGCGGCATCGCCAGCCCTCCTCTTCCCGGTGCCTGGAGGCGCTGGCGGGCGCTGATTCGATTTGCGTCCACGCCGTTTCCCGCGCGGAAGGCCGCAGGTTTCTGCGGCCACGCTTGCCCCGGTGACGGATCTTCCATATGTATTCTCATGCAAGGAGGTCCATCTGATAAGTTGAAAACAAGAATATGGAGTGTGTGTAGGTAAGGCAAAAGAGGATCGAGTTGCTTGGCGATAATATACTCGTGCGCACGTGGCCTGGCTATATGCGTGGCGTACATATTTGTCTCTGGGCGGTTTTCGTCATGTGAGCTGCTCAAGGCATGTCGTGCCTAGCATTGATTCGGGATGTTTTCTTTTCCTTGGTATTTATTGTGGAGGGGAGAAGGGAGCCATGTATAAGATAGATGAATGGACGTTGGACAAATCCCAACAAACAGAGATGATCAGATAGATTAGTTATTTTCATCTATCCTCTCTGACCGAAGGCGGGACTCGGTGGAAGCTACCCATTTATATCCCATTTATATACATGAGATCGTCGACTCGGTAGGTATCATGAAGGTTGTCCACAGAAGAACAAATTGCCAATATAATTCAGTCTCTGCTCGGAAATAGCGACCGTTGATCATCGAATAACTTACATTCTATCAGAATATCGATGATATGCAATTAAGAATAACCGGAAATATTTATGCGTCTATTTTCTATTTGGACTGGTTCGTATGATGATGTACAGCAATCTGTATGATCGACGGGCTTAAGAGGTGGATCGTAGAACTAGGGGTTTGAGGCAGTTAGTTAGGAGTTATTCGTACATGGATGTATTGTAGTATAGGCAGGCTCTCGCATAATGTATGACCGTTTGTCGTTAGTTAGCTGGCCGCGTTGCTGGCCACGTCGCATCACCATCTAGTTTCGCATTTTCGCTATCACCATAGGATTCGCCGTCTTCATTCTACGGATGAGAAGCGTTATTCCTTTTTCTTGGCGATACTGATCTATGGATGACTGAGCTTTGGGGTCCTAAGATCTAGATCGGATATTATTATCCACCAACCGTGCGCGCCATCACACTATTGTTAATACCCGTTGTGGCATCGGTCCGCTTAACTTTGATAGTAGATCCGAGTGAAGATGTATATTGAGTTGTCCCGATCCCCATGTTTTCGAGTTTCGGTTCCGTTCGAGAGGATGCAAAGTTATCGTAGACTACCTTCTACCGAAACAGGTACGATACAAATTTTCATATCAACTTTAATTAACAATCTCCGGTACCTAGTTTGCGGCAGTTGTCAGATGATACGCAAGGCGTCCAGTGAAAGACTGGCACGGCAACTCAATGTTGCGCTTCTACCGCCAGCCCAGAGGTCCTGAATCCTGGGCCACAAACATAGAATTCTATAGGTAACGGTAGGTCGGCTCTCAGATCATGCGGTCCGAGACATAACTGGTTGCCTTCATTATTAGGTAGATCGACGATTCAGCCAAGGTAGAGATAATAATTGCACGTAGTGTATAGCGCGAGTAGACCCCGAAATGAAAGGGGTCAGGGGCCTCGACGTGAGGACAAAAAGAGAAACAGACTGTCAAAATTATAATCCCCACGTAGGTTGGCTATCCCACATTGCGACAAGTAGCAGCGCTTGCATCCACTTCCCTGGGACCGACTAATAATAACAGGTAGCATCGAGAGAGTTGACAATAGCTGTAATCCATGCTTGACAAGGCGCACCCGAGATGATGTGTATACATAGTATGTGTGGACATAGTATGCACGCTGCAAGGGCGGGTCGATGATACTATGTACAATACAATCGCGACCTACTGGGTTGATACCCAAGGGCTGGGGTTCGGATGGTGGTAAGTCTCAAGTGAGTGGTGGCACAGGATGAGCAATCTTGAAACGGCGCGATGTGCTGTAAGCCTGTAAGCGATCCGCCGCTAATCTCATCGGCTGTTCTTTATTTACACATTAGGATATCGACCCTGGACCGATCTGGGGACGTGTTAGGATAGACCATGCGCTCTGTTATTGCGCAAGGCAAAGTCGGAGGGAAGATGGGACGACAAACTTGATAATAACGTCCTTCTCTTAATAACGACTAAAAAAAGAGTTGCCTGTCAGGTTTGACACTTTCTAGGATACCTTACCGAACGCCACCTCTCAGGGGTCTTATTTCAACTCCTTAACACCATGGAAATAAATTCGTAGATCCGGGGATCAGGTGCGCCCAAAACGGTTGCATAATCAAGTATTTCTTGTTTTGTTCAATGTAGGTATCGCATGGCGTAAGCAGATCGACCTCGATGCCTACATCTTGTAGGCTTACGTAGACTTCTAGAAAGAATGTTGGGATATACCTAGAATGTATCGAATAATTGAATAATTTGTCTAAATCGTTTCGTGGCTGAACGAGAGCGTCCCATGTTCAATTTGAAACACGTCGAGCACGTTTTAGCGTGCCTGAATGGGTCTTAACTCGCTATCCCCTGTCTGCCAAACCAGATCAACGCTAGGATTGCATTGCGTGGCTGCGCAAGGAAGAAACCGTTAGGTACCTACCTAATGTATTCGGGTATTTCAATGTAATACCCGGAGCGACCGACCTGCCGACTAGGAGCTCCTGAGTAAAAAAGAATAGCTTTGGATGCTTGGTGATGACGAGTGATCATCAGAGGTATACCTAGAGAAAATACAATGATGAATTGTATTTAGAGGGCTTTTTAGCATCGTGTAAGCCCATAGGTAACCGTTCCTCTGCCTCGTGTCACAGAACAACGCGTTCCCCGGGTTGATACAGGTAGACGATTCCTTTTGTGACTCTCGAGGAAAAGCCACCGAATGCCATCTACCTAAGGAGAAATGGTATTACCTATGGGGAATCTCTGCAGTGCCGATCTTTGGACACTGGCTGACTGGGCACTGGGCTAGACCGCCTTTAAGCAGGTACCAAGACTTTGTATGTAGCACAAGTCCGCCACGTTCCTGTACATTAGGTACAGAACATCGTTAGTGTTGGAGCGGTCTCAATTGACCGACAATGCATTGTCCTATTATATGCGTGCTTGCATACGAGGACATGCGAGGACATCAAGAATCGGGTTGAAAGCATAGCTTAAGAGCGGATTCCGATGCATGAGCCATGCCGCGAAAGAGACAAGTCATCTTTATTCCACGTTGCTGTTATCTGCTATAGGAGTATAGCCTATCTGTTTGACAACTAGTCAGTTGTTAAGCTATATTGAGGTCAGGATGCGGCTAACAGTAGGAAGGATTCCTCTTCTTACCAAACGCATAGACAGACTACCTAGACCTGTTTCGTGTGGTCTCCTCCTGCTCTTCAATAATTAACATATTAGGAGTTATCGGGCAATAAAAAGCAATTCGACTATTTGCATCTTAACTCACATGTATAAAAATAACAATTGAAGGGATAAAGTGATTAAAGACAGGTAGGTTAGAATAATGGAGAAGGGAAAATGAAGGATGCGTTTTAGGTACGGATTAATGTTCATGTATATAATGAAGGTATAATATGTAATCAAAGCTGCTAATGCAAATAACGAGGAGTTTATAGGTGTTGGTTTGGCCTGCCTATTGGAAATAGCAGCCACCGTATGTGTTTGTGAGGGCAGGAACGTATGTACAGGAGAACATGTAGGTAGATGCGCTGTTCTCAGCCCTATTAAGCGATCCTGTCACCCTAAATTCTAGAACAAGTCAGCATGCAGCACACTTTTTCTTAGTATGTACATAGCTTGTGAACTGAGTATAAGATTTCTGCCTCATCTATTCCCCAAGGCAACCTATCTACATTCATCTCAACTATCTTCTTGTTATCCAAGTTAAAAGTGCTGCCCTTGTAATACAAGCACACTTTTAGTCCGGCTAATTTTAAGCTTAGGTGTCATAGTCAAGGCACGGCTGCCGTTATTTTAGGTTATTAAGTTGGGACCTTCCATCTCACGGTTGTCGGTAAAGTATGCATATGTAAATGTACGTATGTCTATCCGTATTGACCTAGTACCTTAGGTATCTATTATTAAGGTTGTCTAGCGTTTACCAAAGTACATACCTAAGGCTGGTTTAACATCAACACATAAAATACCTGTCTCTATATTAATGCTGCAAAAATTGTATAAACCACAAATGTCTAAGAGAACACCTTGCTTCACATGAGTATTCACGCATGTAAGATGTAGAAACGGATACGCACGTGAAAAGAAATATTATACAGCACGGATAGGTGCATATGATCTGTCATTGGGCAATCCGTAATTCAGTTGGTGGATTAGGTACATACTTCAAGTACGGTACCTGTATTAGGTACGTACCGTGTAGTACACCGTTACTGCCATTACTGTCCCACTCGAGTAATAAGGGTCCATCTCTGAGACGACTAGACAAGACTAGTACAAGATGGGCTCCATCCACAATTTGTAAATGTATCCCCGTATCCCCTCCACGCCGTCGCCGTGGATTCCCCCCCTTTCTTGTACACTCCGAACTTAATCAGTTTAAGCATCCGTGAATCATTGAATTCGATTCGCACAGCACAGAGTATCCCAGAATACAGAACTCAATAATTCATTTCATGCTTGTCACGCTTGTCACGTTTCCCTTTCTTACATACATGAAATCGACAAGCTAACCCGGATTATTCTATTCTGTTCCTGTTCCTGATTTTTGATTCTTGACTTTTTTTTTGATACTGTTCACTATACGGCCCGTGGCCACATTTTTCTATGTGGGCTAGTTTCACCTGTCCGCCTCTCCTGTCTCGCCTTTTGGCTCGCTACTATTATTCAACACCTCAAATTTATTCGCCTCTCGTAATCACATACCAATTCACCACGCGCAATACACAGTAGCGCCTTGTTAGACCTCAATACCTACTACAACAACCCTCTGTCATTGCTTCCTTTGCTGTCCCGTCGATCAAGTCTCCGAAAAACTACCCGGTTATTGTCTCCGACGACGTAGATCCTATACACCTCCTTATACCGACCTTAGCGAGAGTTTGTTCACGCGCTCGACCTACCTCCCGTATTATACCATTCCGTATCTTCGGGCTGCTCCCTTTCGAGGCTACTAAGTGACAGATTCTATGCTACGATAGCATCACCTCGATTGCCTTTCATGACTCTCCGACCTTAATTCGACACTTTTCTATTAGTTAGACGACCAGCCAAGTTCCCCGCCAGTTTGGCTACATTGTCTTGCTTTGGACATAAAATTCGGATTGACTACATATAATAACGGCACATGATGGATGAATATACGGAGGCTCCGATGGATAGCGATGATGTCTTTCCTTGCAAAGGCTGTGGAGAGGTACGAGAAGGGCATTTATCTTTTGAGGGATATCATTACTAATTTCTACTATTAATCTAGATACTCGAAGAGGGTAAAGCATTTGAACTAGGTAAGTTCTATATCTATCCCTAAATATCACCTTAATATCCGGTCACCATGTTGGCCCAAAAACCTGTTCAAGTTGATGTACGACAGTTCTGACCATGCTACAGCTGGGAACCGATGGCATCTCAATTGTTTCCGATGTAACACTTGCGGTACCCTCCTCGACTCCGATGCGAACCTTCTGTTGCTGGGAGACGGCTCACTTATCTGCAACAACTGCACTTACAGCTGTAGCGCTTGCGGCGACAAGATTGAGGATCTCGCGATACTTACTGGAGACCAGGCCTTTTGTGCTGCCTGTTTTCGATGCCGAAATTGCAAGAGGAAAATTGAAAACCTGCGATATGCGAGGACATCACAAGGGATTTTTTGCATGAACTGCCACGAGTCTCTAATGGCTAGGCGTAGAAAGAAATCTAAAGCCGCCGCCCAGGCAAAGGCGCGCGAAAAAGATGCGTCGCCAATGATCGTTGACAAATCTCTTCCGGCACTCCCTCCTAATGCAATACCGCCGAATGCCTTCTCTGACGACAGAGTTGATCCCGATTCCGATACGCCTACAGAACTATCGCCGCGACCACGACCCGGATACCCTCGGAACGACTCGTCAAGAAGCAATTCGAGACCATCTAGATCCCCCGAACGCTCGGCCGATCATAGTGGAAGAGACGATGGCTTGCCTCTCCCTTCGCGGGCTTATCGCAATAATCGAAAGTCAACTGTATTTTCGGGTAATGAGGTCGGAGGTAGTAACGCTGCCGATGATCAAAGTTTCTTCATCCCTGTTGCTTTGGACCCGAGCCCGGTGCCGTCTACAACCCCTCGGTCGACCTCAGAGGCTCTGGCCGACCCTAACAGGAAGCCAAAGGACAAAGACTACTTCAGTCTCCCCAAGCCGACTACTGGTTCGGATCGAAAGGATACTTCGCAATCCTCGACGCCGCATATTGCTTTCCAAGAGAAGGGAAGGCAATCTTCATTAGATCATGAGACTCCACCTCCTAAAGACTTAGGCAGGAAATTGTCCAAGTCTTCTAGGAGCGATAAGAACGCGCCACCGAAACCATCTCCCCCAGAAGACCGATCCCAGAAGGCACCGAATGGAAAGGCTCATCCTTCAGATAATTTCAAGTTGCAGGAAGCACCGAAGAGTAAAAAGGCGAACTCGCGAACGAATTCCGAATCAAATGCAATCCAGGACTCTACCCTCTCTAGGGATAGCAGCAGTTCTAGCCGAAGGAATAGTTTGCCTCAACATTTGAATGCAGGTGATAAGGCGGGTACTCCACGTAGTTCACAGGACTCTCGCCTCAAAGAAGATGACGAGGTACGATCTAACGATGCTCCAGCCATGTCAAGTAGCAACAATGGAAAGTCTGTTGCCAGAAAAGAGCTCCCACCTGCGGCTTCTAGAAATAGTAAGTTTTATTAACAATGTGAGGCAGTCTACCTCCAACTAACACTCTTTAGTAAACGGTGCAGCCTCTCGGCCTGCCGAACAAAAGCCATCCGATGCTTATATGACCCCTAGGGCACCACCTGCTCCACCAGTATCGGCTGCAGGTCAGGAGTCGGTGAACTCGAATGGTGAACCCAAAACATCGCCTAAATTGCCCAGATGGAGCGCGGGTGGTGACTTCAGTATGGATGAAGATATGGCTCGTATCCTAGGCACAGATGAGGGTTCTTCTTCCATTCTTCGCCGGGTTTCGACCGCGGTGCGGCATGGACGGACTAATAGTACTGAGTCAAGTACTAATCTTCCCCGCATTGGCCATACGCGAAGCGCCAGCGAAACAACCCGTACGACTACGTCGCCCCGTTGGCCTAAGACCCCTATAGCGGAAGATGCCTTACATGTCAACATACATGACCTTACCAGTCCGAGCGATGACCCGGCTCTGTTGAAACGACGCCTACGAAACTCGGAACAGAGAGTAGCAGAACTAGAGCGCCAGTTCAATAACGAAAAAGATTTGTTAAATATTAACCAGAAGTTAGAGGAGAAGCGCAAGACTGTTTCTGTGTTGGATACTCAAACCGAGATAATGATTCGCCAGTTGGAAGTACTGGCCGGATACGTAGAAAGGGCTAAGGATACTAAGCGACCTATTGACCCGCGCGAGTTGGAGGAATCTGCACTGAAGGATTTTGTACAAAAGCTCGAGAAGCTGAAGCAGTCCATGTCAGCTAGCCTCGAGCAACTTCACACCGAGCGAGATGAACTTGTTGAGGAAAAGAATAGAGCCATCGCGGAAAGAGATCGTGCTCGAGTGGAATTTGAACAACTAGTGTCTAAGAATGCACAGTTGGCCGACTTGAACAACGATCTTACAAACCAAATCCAGGAACGATTCAAGAATCATTCGGACCCTAAATCACCTCCGAACGGGCTCGGTATTTACAACCAACACAAGGGTTCATCGAACCACTCAATTAGCTTAGACAGCTCCAGCATTCAGACCGGTACGACAATCCTTGGCGGAGATCAGGAAGAACCAATCCTCGAGTCAGGACCAACTGTAGTCAAGATAGGAAAGGGCCAAGTCAAGAAGTTCAACTGGAAGAAGGGATCAAAAGCCATGGCCCAGAACATTGCCAAGGGTGTGAACCGTACAGTCGTCGCCTTCCAACAGCCAGAGCGTGAGCGTCACGGGCAGCAGCTAGGTATGGCCGGCGAGAACATTGGTCTCCCTTACAATATGACCATCGTGCCTGTTGAATCGCCAGTTACGCATACGGTTATCAACGGCCAAAATCACGGCCAAAATCGCCAACCCTTAGACGGTGGCCGTCAAGGATTCTTCGGGTTTAAGAAAGGGAACACGCTCCCGAGAACCATGACGGCAACGAACATGTCATCCCCGGCTGTTGCAGAAGCACCGTCTGTTCTTTTCGGTTCTGATCTATCAGAGAGAGCTGACTATGAACGCCGCCAAATTCCGTGCGTTGTGACGCGTTGCATCGAAGAGGTCGAGCTGAGAGGTATGGATATGGAAGGCATCTATCGCAAGACTGGTGGAAATTCCCAAACCAAGGCCATTCAAGAAGGGTTCGATAAGAATGAGAACTTCGACATTTCGGATCCGGATATAGATATCACGGCGGTAACAAGCGTGCTGAAACAGTATTTCAGGAAACTACCGACGCCGTTACTGACGTTTGATGTATATGACCGCATACTGGAGACAAATTGTAAGTGTCAGCTAAACAAGCGCGCAAGTGTCGAAGGAAAACTAACTTATCTAATTCAGCAATTGCAAATGATGCGGATAAATGCACCCATTTGCAGAGTGTATTCCAGCAGCTGCCGCCTCAGCATAAGGACTGTCTTGAGTTCCTGATGTTCCATCTTCATCGTGTCGCTGAGCGAGAACGAGAGAATCTTGTGAGTAAATTATATTGCTACCTATATATCGACTTTGCTTGTCTAATACTCGAATAGATGACCCCGAAGAATCTTGCCGTGGTCTTCGCACCGACTATTATGCGAGATCACAATATCGAGCGAGAAATGACAGATATGCACGCTAAGAATCTTGCCGTGCAATTTATCATCGAGAATACGCATAACATTTTCACATAAACCACTTGGAATTCTCTTATTTGCGCCATCCATACTTGTACTCGACATTTGTACATACTAGACCGAAGGACAAGCGTGGTTCTCCGGCTTGGGAGCGAGACGACGCGGAAGTCAACAGCATTCATGTCTACCTAGAAAGCCCGGAGTTCTTTTTTGCAGGGATTATGACCATACGATCACAGTTGGGAGCACTGCCACACGGCTTTTAGCTCGTCATTGGATTTTGTTTCGACCTTTCTTTTCCTTCTACCCAAGGAGGTGTTACGGCGGCTCTTTACTTTTCTTTCTGTCTTTCACGGTAGGAAATTTAATGATATCCTTGAGAGCATTGCGATTTTCTTTTCTTATCCTCTTTTTTTTTTCACGTCTGCGACGATCTAACCCATATGGGGACGACGCCGGCGTGTTTTTACGAAGGGTGGAAAGGGAGGGGGGAGAGATAAAAGACGGAGACGAGACGAGAAAAGAAAAGCGAAAGAGGAGCAGGCGAAGGGCTAGGGGGACGATACTATTTTCCGAGACGTTGTTGACGGTGTTGTGGAGCGGCGGTGTGGTGACATGTAGACTTGATAGGTCTTTGTTCAGACAAGACAGAACAGACAGAGCTGATGAATAGAGGTCATTGGCACGTACCGACTGGTCTTCGGAATAGATTTGTTGGCCTGATCCATTCTGTGGGCATTTCGATGAATGAAATGCTTATCTGAAGTGTGAACGTAGAATAGGAGTCTTGACTTTTAGTAATAGACATCGACGCCTAACTCCTCAATTTGATGTTTTCCAACTACTAGCTCATCAAAATCTTAACTTCTCGTAGGAGTGGAAGCAGACGTTGATAAGATTAGAGCCCAGTCCTTATATAAGGACCTTAGGACCTAGGTAGATTAGGTAGTTAGGTATTTATGTGTATCCCCTTCCTCGTCGTGTAGTAAGACGTATAGTGTATGTAGTATAAGTCTCCTTTCTTTATATATATCGCCAGTTTCCCGTTTTCCTCCCCACGTTGATATGTACCTAGGGTAGGTATTTTATGTAGAAGGCGGTAGGTATTAACGTTACTGGGCTAAACAATCCATTGGTCCTGGCTTGATCGACTTCTATCACAAGCCGTCCGACCCGTCTAGCACGTAAACATACGGCTCTGCATAATCCCATACCTATGCTATGATCGAGTAATATTATAGGTTTCCTCAGCCGCAGACCCGTCTATCTATCCTAGCTTTCGTCAATCATGTAATAGCCTCCAAGACGCCTCTTCCACGACGCAGACTAGACCGCTTGGTGACGTATATATATCTCTAAACAGTTCTACAGCATCGTCTGGTGGCTTTGGGGTCTGTCTCTCTCTCTCTCTCTATCTTTTTTTCTTTCTTTTTTTCTCCATACGAGGTTCGAAAAATGGAGCCGTGAGGTAGCTATTGGCGTTATTCTAGAATAGTTTCTAGAATCGCGTATGATAGATTAAGTAGACAGACAGACACACAGCCTTGCGGATTCGTCGTGAAGGGCGTGTGGTAAGAACTTTTATTATCGAGTAATGCGGCGCTGTATATAGGTAGGTAGGTACCTAAGGTATGTAGGTAGATATCGAATCAAGCCTAGGTACATAGTCCGTGGAATCTCTACACCGGGATGCCCAAATAAGACGATACTTCTTTTTTCTATTTTCTTATCTGCTTTACTTTGTTTGAACCGCAAAGCTCGTATACCAACATAGCGCTACGTAAATGCCTATCTAGGTATCTATCTAGTTTCTCTTAGTAGTAGTTGGGGGGAATAAGCGCGTTATGAAGCTAGACTAGACCCCATCGTGAGATTTCCGTATATTCCGCGGAAGAAACCCGCAGCCGTTTAATCCTGACTATTTTAGATGAGGCTAGGTAGCTGCTAGCTGCTGACTTTGAGCCTCCTAAGCGCTAGTTATACGTATGTATGTATGGTCGAGGCGGTATTATATATAGGGTTAGGGTTATTGATAGAGAGTAGACACGATTGTATGCTTAGGCGGCTGAGAAGACGTTATATGTTGTTAAATACACTACGGCTTCGTAGAGACGACGAGGCTACCCAAAGTACGTGAGTTACTTAGCTCGTTGGACTATGCGCCGGTTAGAATAATCGGCGATGATATATCGTAGTCCACAACAGTCCAATAGTCAGTTTGAGAAGGCGATCAACGCCCATCTTTGTACGCAATCGATAAACGCGATGTAGACCCCGTATTAGACAACCTCCGAGCTCTCAGGTAGGAAGCGGATACCGGCAGCAATGGCCTGCGTCCTGAAAAAAACGTGGAAGGCTTGCTCGTTGGCATCCGTCTGGCTGTACGTAAGTAAGCCTGCGTCTGACATGCATAATAGGTACGCAAGCAAGTAAGGTGTAGGTAGACGTGCGATGCGATGTAATGCGATGCAATGCTACCCACTCTACCACTTCTATAAAGGGCCGCGGCCGGTCTAAGCGAGCTGAAGCCACCAACTCTCTCACCTTCCTATTGCCGCATCACTAATCTTACCTTTGCACCGAGGAAATCTCCTTCGTGCCTATGGGAACCATGCCAATTAATTGATTAAGAAGCTAGTATAACGGTCGTTAATCTTGTCGCCTAGATCCAAAAGAAATACCGTTTCGAACATGTGATTTTGATAGTCTCGATATGTTGATGCGGTTATTATCTCGCCTGCGTGTAATATATGCGTGGACTGTCGTAGGAGGGTGTGTAGTAGCTCGACGCGGCAGGGCTGCTTGCCATCGAAGCGCTTACTTTACCGTACTTTACTTTACTTCACCCCTGATCTAAACGGCAACTGGCCGCGATTGGACAGTAGACGGCTAAAATAGGACATCTCTGTGGCTTTGGCAGCGATAAAATTCCCCGTTTTAGCGCACAATTATGAGGCTTGTGTCTCTTCTAGCTTCGTTTCTTTTAATAGAAACCCAGTGTTGGTTTCTGTTCCTGGTCTAGAAGACTAGGTAGGTAGCTTGGCTAACAGGTCATTACCTAGGTAGTACTTAGTAGACAGTTAGCTGGGCCTGCTAACGACGGCGAGGGGTAAGGATCTTAGGCCAGTGCCGCATAGGATCTTTTACCTACGGGGCAGCTGCACGTAAAAAAACGTCCCAGGAATGATCCTTTCTTGATCGCTTGAGAGTCGAAGGATCAAATCGGAAGACTGTGATTAGTCCGAATGGAGTTTAGTACGCCAACAGCACGACAGCCTGCTTCTGAAACCCGACGGGATGCACCATATGCTCAAACGTACGTATCGAGACACGAACGTGAAGGATAGGTTACCTAAGTTTTGAGTCGAGTTGGTGGACGAGCTTCGAAGAATTGGGGGCGCCGAAAGTAAGAAGAAATCGTATTGGTATTCGTCAATTTAGCGGTGCCGCAGCCATGCTGTTGGAGAGAACTCGCGGAAAGCCTCCTGGTTCGTTCGAGTTGGTGTTAGTGCTGCGCCCTGATTGGTAGACCGCTCTAGGAATCGAGATGCGATCCTACGGTACCGGATGTTCAACTGCAAGGGGGTCTTCTTGATCCGACCCCGACCCCCCTGTTCCAATGTGTCGTCGCCGCGCCGTTGTTAGGCAGCTCACCTCATTTATACCTACATAAGTTGCCAGTAATCCTTTGGGGGTTGGTAACCATTTTCCGCCCTCGTAATGCTTCTGTGGGTAGTAGTTTACGTAGGAGAGTAGTCGGCCAACTCCTAGTAAGTCAAGTCAAGTCAAGTCAAGTCAGTCGATTCGGGGCGAGCGACTGCGAGACGCACATACAGATAGTTGAGCTTTCCGGTGTCGTGGCCTACTATGAGGTTTTGCCATACCAATTAGGAATCCTACACGTCCCCTTGGCTTCCTTCGAAACCCCAGGCTACTATATTCCCGGCCGAATCCCTCATAATGTTTAATCTTTCCTCCTGAAATGTCAAACCGCCCCAATGAAGGGCTTGCGTTCGCCTTTCCCGCTGGTACTCGCGGTATTAGGATGTTTGGGAAGAATCAGCTCGGCCGACGGACAGGGCCTCACCAGACGCGCCGTTGATAACCCCGGCCCCGACGGTTTCATCCGACATAGATATCCTTCAGGTCAGCCAAGATGAAATTTCCTAAGGGAGGAAAAAAAGAACTTGGTCTAACTTCTGGGTTTAGTCGTGCCGTTGGGTAATTACATCTACATAGATGGCGGTCAAATGTTTCAGCAGAACAATGGAAATGGGTCGAATAGCACTCAGTCGGATCCATACACTTCCTACCCCGGTACATTCAATAGCGCTCATGTATGCATAACGCATTTGCTAATAGATGAACAGTGAGCTCAACGCTTTCCCTCAACTTGAACGAATCATGGACAAACGAAACGGTCGAATTTCGGGCCATCCCGAAGGCGGCGCCGCTTCTCGGACAGCAAGTCTACTGGACCGACCGATCGTATAACCCGGGTGCCTTCTATGTTTGGGGTGGAAAGACGATGGACAACGGATCGCCGCCGGAGGACCAGCTATGGTATTTTAGTGCTGACGGCTCGGGTGGCGGGTCATGGTCACAGCTTCCGCAGGGCGATTACCGTCAGTTCTCACAACTGCTACGTCCGGCCGGCGCATCATTTACGCAGAGCGCCGATACGGGCTATTCATTTGGTGGCCTAGCTTCTCGGGAGTCCGACCGCTCGGTTCAGAAGGCCGATCCTGGTTACGCTGTGGAGGGAGTGGTATCATACGATTTTCAGACCAACCAGTGGGCTAATCATAGCTCGGAATCATTCGGGGAATACGGTACTAGCATCTACGGGTGTGCCGAATATGTGCCATTCGGACCTAATGGATTACTGGTCTTCCTTGGTGGCACCGAGGCGCCTGTTGACGTAAAGAGCGAGTATCTCAACGGTGTTAGTTGGACTACACTTAGGCTATACGATCCGGTAACAGGAAAGTGGTATAAACAGAAGACAACGGGAGAACCGCCGCCACGAGTCGAACGAGCTTGTAGCGTCGGTGTTCGGGGTCCTAACAACACGTATGAAATGTAGGTCTATCCTTGGTAGTCGGCTAAGTTATATAAGGGAAGAAATGAGCTAATATCAGTTGGCCGGATTCAGATTCATTTATGGCGGCTCACCGGTCGCCGATGGAAGTCCTCTTTCTGATGTCTACGTACTATCTTTGCCTGGATTCCAATTCTTCAGATCGGATTCTCGCGGTACGCCGCGTGCTGACCATGGTTGTGCGGTCGTCGGTAAGGGCAAGAGACAGATGCTTAGTTATGGGGGCGTCGACGCTGGCCCTGGTCTTCATTTTCAAAACATGACGAGCGATCCCTGGAAACAGGGCCTTGGTATTTACGACATGAGTGAGATGATTTGGACGAATTCGTACGACGTAGATGCTGCGGATTATGAGAGTCCCGCCATGGTGAGGGATTGGTATGCCCAAGGGAATATGAAGACTATGACCTGGGATAGCGACGAGCTCAAAGGGCTATTCGTTAACGGTAGTTCAAGCACATACGGTACGATGAACAACTCTGCTACGACAGAAGATCTGCCGAAAAACTCTCTGAGCTCGGCCCAAAAGACTGGTGTTATCGTCGGTAGCACTGTAGGAGGAGTAGTGGTTCTTACGGCCATCGGCGCCGCTATATTTATAATGCGGCGAAGAAGACGTCGTCGACAAAGCAGCCGGGCCAGCAGCACGATAAACGAGTACAGACCGGAGCCGTGGCCGAAAGATTCGCCGCGGTTGCGGTCGACTACGCCGGGGACGATGACGACGTTTGTATCTTCGCAAACCCCGGTGGAGCCAGTAGAGATAAGTGGTATAACGAGAGGGGAATTACCCGCGGAGGAAGTGAAACGGACATACGAGCTTCCAGTTCCCACACCACACGCCACACCACGGCTGAGGCCAGAGCTTCCAGATAGGAAGTTTTCACATTAATATTATTTTGTAACGAGAATAAATAAAATATAATGATTTGTGCTTAATATGGTCAGCTTAAAAGGCTAACTTATTGAATTATGAGGCGAAGCGTACCGAGGCGAATCGGTCGTGCTTCCAAGTTTTCTCCCTATAACCTAAACTCGGCTGGAATCCTTAATTTCCCACGCGAACTGAGCTCTTCGTCTTGTGGCTTCTTCGCAGCATGGATGCAGTAAGCCTAGCAAACTTGCCTGAGATTATCTCATGATGTCTTGACCTTGTTGTATATAGTGGTGTACAGCTTAACTTTAAGTGGACCATGCCTCGAGGTTGACTGCAGTAGGTAAACCGTAAGACAGTCGAATAGTTCATTTGATCGGTTGTCCTTAAGTAGCCACGATGTCGCTACCGAGATGAAGCCTTTTACTTCGCACCTCCGACCATTTTCTTCACTTTCTCGAGCAATAACCCGCTTTCACGACCAAGTTTTCGCTGGCCATCTCGCCCTGGCTTCCGTGCCTTCGCCATGGCCTTCCTAAACTTCTCGCGCTCTGCGATCTTACTTTCCCGCTCCGCATTCCGTCTCGCAATCTCCTGGGCGCGCGCTTCAGCCTCCGCCTTTTTGCGGTCCCCGTCGGCTACCGCTTTGTCGAAATAGCCAGGCTTGCGGACTTTCTGTTTCCTCTGGCGCGGGGGGCGGTCTCCTGACGGAGGTGGAGAGGAGGGCTCTGCTTGCTCCTCATCTACGTCCAGCATAGCCTGCCTCTCTGGGTGGAGTTGAGGCGATGGTGGGTCTGCTTCTGCTTCTACATCTATGTCTGCATTTGCATTTGCATTTGTATCCTCAGTGGCGGGAGTAGTGTTAGGTTTAGAAGATGCTTGCTCCGCAGCTTTTATCTTCTTGTATGCCTTTTTGACCTTTGCTTTATGAATGAGGTCCCTCTTTATTTTATCAACTTGGTGCAAATTTGAGTTAGCATTATAGCGATTCAATGAGAGTTTCATGGTATCTCAAACCTTTTCTCCTCCAAGGACCATCCGGTAAGTTTTCTGGACCTACTCGGAAGCCTTTGCGGAGCTTTTTTGCTGCCGGTGTGGCTGTGGCATCCGTTTCAAGAGGTCTCTTAGGTGCCATGACCAGTGGATAATAAGTTGTCAATTCTTGATGGATTCCCTGATCTTAATCCTGATTCATGAGCAATTCGGTAGGTGATTTGTTCAACAAAGTTTACATGAAGAACAAGTTGAGATGAATATCGATAAGATTTAGTGGAGACTGAGGCGCTGAGAAAAAAAGCCCCTTCTGCATGCTCTTAGTGGACTTATCCACAGTGGACGTAGCAGGGGTTTGCGCTAACATTAGACAGGTGTTACCGGTAAACTAGCTCGTTCCGGAGCCCTACGGGGGTACGTATTACCGGTCAACCCCCTGCCGAATACCGCCTCATTCTGGCTTAATTTTGTCCCAAACTGGCCACGCTCTTTCCTCAATAGGCGCGAAACGGAATAAAATGGACCACTAATTATGACGCTGAACTTAGTAACACTTCACTGTAGTCATAATTTGATAGGTGAGGAAGGTCCGGATCATCAAGCGATCCTGCATTACCTTCCTACCTCAATCTCGTACACCTGTCTCATGATAATAGGACCTTCTCACTTTTCACTTTTCACCTTTCACCTTTCAATTTTCAATTTTCAACTTTCAACTCCAAATCGTACACGTAGTTATTTCCTAGTCCGAACAGGGCAATAATTACACAGCTCTTTGTCAAGCAAGACGGACCCTTTACATCTCGTTTCGTTCCGTGCTACTTCGGCTAATCTTATCAAATGAGTCAATGGAAGAAAGACAACGAGTCAGTTACTGCTAGCGGTTCATATCTTAGCGACGCATAAGAAACTGCTTTAGTAACAGTTGGAGATGTTCGGATTCTTATAACATAACGTCGTCTTTCAAGTTCTAGGTCGACAACTGGGTGGACGATGCCCGCTTTTCAGGTAGACCTGGAGCGGAGGGAGTCCGCGGAGCAGTCGCCGGCGCCCACCATGGCGCCACCAGCAGATCAATTCCACAACAACAGCGCCTTAAGGAGGAAGCAATCGGAGGAAAGTATCAGTACCGAGTTATGCGAAGGTCCGATCCCAGACGGTTTAGCGCCTCAAACGCCAGAGCAAAATTCACCGACCGAGTGCTCCGATAGATCAGAACTAATCGAGCGATTAAAGAGAGGCGAAAGTCCAACTTGGAGGCCAAGTCGACATGTTGGTAGTCATATTTCACCTTATACTTTCCAATCTACTAACGTGGCTGGGAACCAGTTCGGATCGATATGGGGTCAACAGCCAGCATCTCCTACTCGAAGTCCAAATCACTCGGCGGCAGATTCACCGACTCTACTACCTTCAGCTACAATAACCCCGGAGAGGCGAAGCGTCGACTCGGATGACGAGACAAGGCAGCGAGAGGGACTAAGTATCGAGCGTCCCCGTTCAGCTCTTCATAGTGGTGATTTTACACATGACGAATCTTCTGAGGATGCTAGTGCCATACCAGATCACCAACAAGCTCAAAAGGGGCAAGATTTCGATGGTATTAGTGAGTCATGGTTAACTAGTCCGCCTCTAAAGCTTGTCACTCGCTTCCCTTTCGAAACCCAGCAGATCTCGGCGAGGAGGCCAGACGAGACGTACCCAGGTTTTTCTCCTTTATCTTCTTCTATTTCTTCAAGCTTTATCTATAAGCCACCTACTAGCCCTTTAGTCCAGTCAGAAAGTAACGACGATATTGATTTGACATCCCCCATGGATGGCATTGATATCAGTTCAAACATTTCTGGAAATTCACGCCGGCACACATTTATGTCATCTTATTCAAATTCATACGCCATCCCCTATAGCCCGTTACCAAGGCAGCCCCCATCTCTACGCCAAGAGAGAACAATTCCCTACCAAGCACATCAACCACGGCGGCCTCTCGCTTCAACCCCCAATTTCCCCGCGGCCGCATCTTCACCGCAGACCCCTGCTTTCTTCCGGCCAAGACGCCCGTCGTTTAGCTCGGAAATATCACCCATCCAACACGCTTCTATGGTAGGATCCTATGAAGAAAGTATCTTACGCGGACGGATGTCTACAACCCCTTCAAAGCCTCTCGACTTCTTAGCTCAGATTGGCGTACTCGGGTTGGGTAAGTGCAAGCCAAGCCTACGATGTCCGTCCCATGTGACATTGCCTTTCCCTGCCGTGTTCTATAGTTATGCCAGCTCCTCTCACGGGCGCTCTAAAGTTGAAGATGGGCCGAGTCCGTATGTTGGTCAGATCGACTTGGAAAATGGCCTTCCGAATCAAGAAGAGGAAGCGAGGTCAAAGCGAAAGATGCAAAGCCGAGTTTTAGACCGAAAGTTGGAAGACGATAAGACGGAAGTGGGCAACCGTCCCGCAGAGCCATCGGAGCGTGACCCGCGCAGAGCTCAGCGATCCAAACGTAGGTCCAGTTCGCCCAGGGCACCACCAGGTGGTAGCTATCGTATTCCCGAGAAGGGGCAAGTTCAGATTGTGATCAAAAACCCCAATAAAACCGCTGTCAAGCTATTTCTTGTTCCGTACGATCTAGCGGGGATGGAGCCCGGTACAAAGACTTTTATTCGCCAGCGAAGCTATTCGGCTGGTCCGATCATTGACAATATGCCTAAAACGAAAGATAGCGAGACCACAGACAGGCCAATTCTTAGGTATCTCGTCCATCTGCATATATGTTGTCCTTCGAAAGGTCGGTATTATTTGTACAAAAGTATTAGAGTTGTCTTCGCAAACCGTGTGCCCGATGGGAAAGAGAAACTTCGAAATGAGATTTCTCTGCCGGAGCCCAAATTCACTAGCTACAAACCGATCAGGGTTATGCACCCTCCTATCTCAGGAGGTTCCGGTCTTGGAGCCAGCCTGGCTGCTGATAAGGCGTTTAGACGACGTAGCTCCGGATTCCATTTCGGCGCTTCCGGTCAAGTGTATGATACGACTGGCGAGTTTCCCCCGAGTGGTACGACGCACCAACCCTTTGCATCAGATTTTGCAGGTCATAACGCGCCAGTTGAACCTGTACCTCCTAGGCATAGTGGAATAAGGAGCATAGTGGATGAAGCTAGTAACGCAGGTCCTGCTGACCCCTTGTCACCAGATTCGTCCCAGACCAGCCGGCCAACCACGCAGTACTCTAGCGATGTATCGAGTTCGGGTGGGCCAGACGCCCAAATTGACAAATACAACAAACTTAATAAGGGTGATGTAGGTTATGGGGGCAATGCGTTTGCCCGCCTGATTAACGGCAATACTGGTGTTGCTGAGGGCCTACTTTCGCAACGATTGCGATCTCTGGGTGTTGATGGCCAGATCGATGGGGAGTCTGGGACAATAGAGGAATAGGCCTTTGATTTAATTCATCATTCTACTCCGGTGTTAGGATATGACTATTAGGATATCTTTCATCGGCTTTTAGAAGGGTTGGCAAGGTCATACTAGGAGTACTTGGCGCTATCTGGTGTATGTTACTGCCACGTGGGTTTTATCGGTCACGGTGTAACTGTCTTTTGCCTCATAGCCTTGGTTGGTTTCGGGTCGGCATAATTTAGATTAAAATACTCTGGAATCTATTTTCTGAAAGTTGCATCCTCATTTAGTTCTATGACTCTTAGATAATATTTTAGTTACTTGGATGAAGTTTCTTGTAGTGTGAACTTCCTTATAAATCTTATCTCAATACATGAAGGCTTATGGCAAAAATCCAACTCACTTACAATAGCTAGTTATGGGATATGTAGAAGCTATGAGATTAGGCAGGTTTCAACTAGACTGGTATTTAAGTGGTATTTAAGAAGTTAGCAAGGTTACAATACAAAGTTTCACCTTGGACATCATTCATATACGGCTCTGTTGGACGGCTACTAACGCTTCCATTTCTCTTTTAAACTACTAGCTTTACTATTCCATCTCTACAATAGGGCTGGAAAGCCCCCAATATCACTCACTCCCCACCTCCTAGCTTGAACTACAGTATGCATAGGTCATGCACGTCCTCGCCCCTCGCCCATTAGTGCAGTGAATAGAACGGATAGGCTTCGTTAAGGAACCTATTAAACGCTTCTTCTCTTTTATTCCACTCCACTCCACTCCATCGACAACCTTGAACCTGCCAACGCAACTACAAACCTACGTGCCGCCATCTCTACCTACCCCGTAGCAATCCTCTCGATCCCCGGTCCCGGCCCCGAACTCCCCGCACTCGAAGACACAGACCCCTGCCCCGGCGCCCGGCGCGGCCTCTTAAAACACGCGAACTGGGCACGGCTCTGCTCCCTGAGCTTCTTGAGGACCTCCCTCATGCCGGGGAGCTCGTCCTGGAGGCGGGCGCGGGCCTGGTTGTCCGTCTTGGAGTCGAGCATGGAGTAGACCTCGCCCTGGATGGCGGAGGCGCGCTCCGTCGTGTACTGGCTGAGGGTCTGGGCGAAGAACTCGACGTCGAGGGTGGCCTGCATGAGCGCGCCCAGGTCGAATCTCGGGCGCGCCTTGAGGGATTCCAGGAGCTCGCGGCTGAGCTGCTCGAGGAGGTACGAGAGGACTTGGTGCGTCATGCTGGGCGCTGTGGTGGAGACTTGCGTGTGGACTAGGACTAGGGTGAGCAGGGCTTCGTAGACGTATGGTTTGACTTCTGTGGGCTTGGGAGGAGCCCAGTTGGGGTCGGAGAGGCCGGCGCGGATGATCTTGCGTAGGCTGTCGAGTGATGGTCGGGTGTAGGATTGGAATAGGCGGGCGTCGATCTGGCCGAGGACGTCCTTGATAGTCTTGGATTCATCTGTGAGTTTGACGGAGAAGGCGTTCTCGAATTGGCCGTTCAGGTTGGGCACTACTTTGGTGCGTAGAGCGTGAAGGTTACCGAGCGTTAAGAGCATACGGACATTCTGTATTCTAACGTTAGTCCTAATTCCCGTAGTATACTTCCAAGGTAATAACTCACTCTATCGCCGGGGTCGACGGTCTCCGAGCCGAGACTCAAGGATACCCTCTCGCTACCGGGCCTCACAGTTAGATCCGCATCGGTAGTCCATTCGTCATCCGCCTTCTTAATCGCGCGCTCCGCATTCTCAACCATTCCGCTAAGCGCTTTATAGAGCGTCGTAACATACTGACCTCTCACCATCTGCAGCAGCTTCGCCGTCGGCGCAGAGACAATATCCCCCGAGCCCGGCTTAGACATTGCCTCCGGGATATAGAGAATCTTTTGCATTCCGGAGAGCAACGCGCCTTCGAAAGAGGCGAAGCTTGTTGGCATGCGTGTGACGTCTCCCATCTCCTTGGAACGTTTCCAGTCCTCGACATACTTAATGTTCTCGGCGTCTTTGTTCCAAGCAGCACATAGGGCAGTGACACACCTCTCGCGCGCGGCACCAACCAAAGTCTTCAACATCTCTAACTGTTTCGCGTCGCCTTGTTTGACAGGGGCTATGCTCGCCATCTCGGAGGCTCCGGAACCGACCAGATTGAGCATCTTGGATAGGTAGTGGACGCCACTGACTGAATTAGATGTGGGGGGCCAGAATGCAAATTTTTCCCACGTCTCGCCCCTTTTAGGAGATGGCGGAGGAAGGTTATTCGCATCGAAGTTGAAACGAGGGTCTCTCGTACTGCTGCTTAACCCTGCCGACTTAGGCGTCCCAGGCGAAGGCGGTAGGGGGGAGAAGAGAAGTGAGATATCTTCAGGCGGAGCACCCGCAAAGAACTCGAAGACATGCGCACGGATCATATCAACCAACTCGATGGTACCTTTCTGCAGATCTACGGTCCCCTGCTGGGAAAGCCTATGATGGTCTCGGGATTCGCCATTATATCCCGTGGGTAACGACTTTTGCGCTTTTCCGTCGATGAATCCTTCGACTGTCTGCCAGAACTCTATAACCTCTCCTAAAATGCCTTGGCCAGACAAGAGGGTCGATAAAAAGGCCAGCATCTTCTCCCATAGTTCGATGACGTCAGCAGAATCCAAGCCAGTGGCTTTGCTTTCGACTGACTGTCGACCAAGATTCTTGAGATGCGTAGCCATCATCTGCGGTGGTGGCTTCTCGCCATTTGCGAGACGACGTCGGAGCACTTCTATCTCGACTTTCGCCCTTTCACCAGCCGACGAAATTTTGCCCTTTAGGTAGTCATACTTACTCAAAAGCCATACCCATATCGGGTTATCGTCCACGCCGAGCTCTAGTAACAAGCTGATTAACTCCATGTGCTGATCTTGTGGTTGCCCAACTAGAGTCTCTGTCCTCGATATGTTATGAAGCGATGTAAGCTTCCTCCATAGTTCGCGCTTGAACAGTTGAATCTGCTCGTCAACATCGTACCACATTCGAGCTGCAAGAAGAATTTGATACGCCTGCGTCTCGCTTGGTGGTGTTGAACCGAGGTCTTCGACGAGTTTACGAGCCTCATCCGCAAATCTCCGGGCCCGAGTATATTCTTCCACCAGGGCCTCGTAGTCTTTCCTCTTGATGCTATCCGCAATATTAGAACTAGCCTCGATGTACTCCTTGTATCGATCGAGCGAATTCGATACGGTCTTGAGATTCTCCTCTTTCTCTCGACCGCCAAGCGCGGGTCCCCAAACATCTTCAGCTTTAGCTGCCACATCTAATAAAGGTGTCTTGATACCCATTACTCCATAATCGCTTTCTTTAATAAGTGCATTCTTCTTCCTAGTATCGTTGGGAACAGGAGCTACTAATGGATTTGCTCCCAGAGCCGCACCGCCGCTACTGTTCCTGAAACTACTTTTACTAGCATGTCGCGAATGTCCACGAGCGCGATTCAGGGATGGTGGCTCAACACCTCTGTACTTCATTTCTTTGTAGACATTGTCAATCGTAGCCTTAGCCCGTACGAATCTCTCGAAATTCGACTCGACCAGAACCTTCAGGGATGCGGATTTCTGGTCAATGGATTTGGATAGGACATCGAGGCCGTTCAAAAGGGACTCGGTATCGGCGGTCGCATGCATTTGAGATAGGAACAAGGCAGGGGAGAAACTCGTAGAGGATAAGAGAAAGCGATTTCCTATGAAAATATTGGTAAGTTTGGCTGTTTTGGTGTCTTAGATAGGTCATCTAGTTTCCATTAAACATACGTAGACGGACATCATCCTGGACCGGCACTCCCAATTGCTTTAACGACCTAACGACGCTTTCTGACGTCCCTAAAGGATCAGGCTCGTCCTTCTGAACCAAGTTGCTCACTCCATTTGCCGACTTTTCGGATCCTTGGACGATACTAGTCCTATTGCTGACAGCTCGTTCTAATGCCTGATATCGCGACTTTCTGCGGTTTACCTTCTGCTGCTTCTTCTGCTGTTCCTGTTCGCTATCCGAGTTATCGCTCTTATCCTTCTCGGCTGGCCATTCTGTGGGAAATGGTGTAGACAGCTGGTAAAACTCCAGTACGTTCCTATCGAATTCGGCCATGATTTATCGCTGCTACTCCCAATATCGATGCCTTCCACCGGTTGTATATGGCCTCGCGCCGATTCCTATGGCTTTCCCATCCGTCGATATTTTTATGGTACTAATATCGCCGTATGCTTCTACTCGGCAATCTTATACAAACTCTCAGAGCATACCGAATTGTTGGTGATTATTCAGTTATTGACGTACCTAACCAAATGAGGGTGTTTGGCTACATGTACGTACGAAGTATTGATGCTATGTAATACATAAATAAAGTAAAGTGATAGTAATAAAGTGAAGGTGAGGTACTCCCGTTAGTGTTGCAGCCGTGCATCAGCCTAAGACAGAACAAGGATAGATCCTGCATGCTATTAGATAATGGCATAATGCAAGCCACAATGTGGGTAGGCGGGGAGCAGCTGAAGTGGCTTGCCCTGTGCCTGTTTGCTCATTGATTGATATGAATGTTTACGTAGCTTGTCGGCAAATCTCTGGTTGAAAATTCCTTCGGCTCAAGCTAAAGATCCACTGGTTGTTGTTATCAGATCTTTCAGATGCAACAGCCGTCCGTCCGATACCACCCGAGCCTCAAAAGCGCCTCTTGCGAATCCATCCCACAACCTCTTCCTCCCCCCCCCTGTGCCAGTATTTTAATTCTACCTCTAGGAGCCTACCACGAGTATATATTTTGCTCCATTAATCATATATAATGCTGAGCATTCGAGCGGTCGCCGCACCCTTGCGGCGCCAATGCCTGGCCACTGCTCCTCGAGCCGCCGCAACTTTATCTTTCCAGGTGGGCGCTGACTGAGAGCACGAGCCTGGATAGCACGGTCGCTAACTACTCGGGTCAATTGCAGAACCAAAGATTCTACTCGGACAAGGTCGCCAAGTTTACCGGTGTAAAGGGTTCTGATGTATGTGCTCAAGCGCATTTTGCGACATGTCCCCAATGTGAAATTCAGCCGAGGAAAATCACTCAAAAAATAATACCAACTTGGCGATGCAATTTGCAATTTGCCTAGAAAAACTACTAATTATCTAAACTATAGGGCCGTTACCCCGTCAGTATTATCGAAGGTGACGGTATTGGACCTGAGATTTCGCAAGCCGTTAAAGACATTTTCGAGGCTGCCAAGGTTGGTGGACAAGTTTCACCTCGGCTCGAGATTCTTAATTCTAACACTTCTTAGACACCTATTAGCTGGGAACCAGTCGACGTCACACCTAAGCTCGTAGACGGAAAGACTACCATCCCTTCCGAGACAATTGAGAGCATCCAAAGAAACAAGGTTGCCCTTAAGGGTCCTCTTGCTGTAAGTCTATTATAATCGGACATTTCTATATGCCCGCGCGCACTGCTAATCGACTTTACAAGACCCCCGTCGGCAAGGGACACGTCTCGCTTAACTTAACTCTCCGACGAACATTCAACCTCTTCGCTAACTTGCGACCCTGCCGATCCATCGCCGGCTTCAAGACGGCGTACGACAATGTCGATACTGTCCTGATCCGAGAAAACACCGAGGGCGAATACTCCGGCATTGAGCACGTTGTTGTCGATGGCGTCGTCCAGAGTATCAAGCTCATTACCCGCGAAGCCAGCGAGCGCGTCCTACGATTTGCTTTCCAACACGCCGAGGAAATCGGCCGAAAGAAGGTCCGCGTCGTACACAAGGCCACTATCATGAAGATGTCCGACGGTCTTTTCCTTAAGACCGCCCGCGACGTTGCCAAGGACTTCCCCAGCATCGAGTTCGACGCCGAACTGCTAGACAACACCTGCTTGAAGATGGTTACGGACCCTCTGCCGTACAACGACAAGGTTCTCGTCATGCCCAACCTGTACGGTGATATTCTGTCCGATATGTGCGCCGGTCTGATTGGTGGTCTTGGTCTTACGCCCTCGGGTAACATCGGTGACGAGTGCTCCATCTTCGAGGCCGTGCACGGATCTGCTCCGGACATCGCTGGCAAGGGTCTAGCCAACCCTACCGCCCTGCTTCTCAGCTCCATGATGATGTTGAGACATATGGGCTTGACCGACTATGCAAACAGAATTGAGAAGGCTACATTCGATACCCTGGCGGAAGGAAAGGCGCTTACTGGCGATTTGGGCGGAAAGGCGAAGACCCACGAGTACGCGGCGGCTATTATTTCCAAGTTGTAGATACCTCATCATGGTCCATCATCCATCCATAGTGGCGTCTGTTAGAGGGATATATGCGGTTGCTCTGTAGAGTGTACAACAATGGGAACGATTTTGCATGATTCAAGTCGAGTCGGATCCGAAATCCGGTTAGGCAGGATGAGTATTGTGATGAACTGGGCCGTTGAACTATTCTTTCCTAATTACTTCAGTCTCGTGATTTGGATGGAGGGGATAATAGGAATACGAGCTATCTAAACATAATTCACTTCCAGGACTATGTTACCGTACTAACACGCTACCATCTAAAAGCGGTACTATCCGCAACTACGTCGTTTTCGGCTGTAAATCATATCACCAAAAGCTTGGAGTTGAACTAACGTTGAAGCCAAGCATTGCTAGTAGTAAGGCTGAATAGGAATCTTAGATCAGCTTCGTGCCAAGGTTCCTCTCCCGTTATAAGTCTAAGAATACCAATCAAAAAGATTCAACGTAATAACACGAGTCAGCACCAGTATCTAACCCATATACAAACTTAAAAAGGACGTTCATTTATCATTGCGTGCATGTGGCTTATATAAACGATAGGACCGGCTCTTCACTTATACGACGAAAATCCATAAGCTGATGTGCATTCATCTACTCGTACTAAGATACCACATGATTATGAGTGCACCGAAAGTCCTGAATCCTATCCTGTACGATTCTGAGGTATTTTCTAAGGGAAATACTAGCCGATACGTCGGATATTGCTTCGGAAGACCACCTAGGTAGTTTAGAGAAAACATGGTGGGTTGAGGGACCAGAAGCCGAATACTAGAACGAATTATAGAGATGTACAGATGTATATACTAAGCTCAACCAGATGGCCACATTCGACCCGGGGATGTAAGTTGCGATCTCCAGTATGCCGAAGTCTACGAACGGAGTTTCATCTCTCATGATACCTACCACCCAGCCGTCGAATATCATGTATCACAACTTGGCTAGCCTGTCTCTAATATGACAGTATCCTCAAGTATTGCAGCTACCGTATCACGGCTATCGTACTAGATAGGCAATAGGTCCATCTACATGCCACAATATAGGCTATCAAGACACAATTGGCACCAGAACCCCGAATATTGAAGCCAAGAACATGCACGAGAGAATACTCTATATGATAATCGTATACCACGGGCAACACCATAATAATGGCGGCTATCGATAGTCTTCCTACCCACCAAATCGGATATGTAGTCGGGTTTCGGGCATCAAGCCGAGAGAATAGTCCCCCACGCTGAATAGCTTCCCGCTAGTCCGCCGGTAGATTTACACGCGAGACAAGATAACAAACATGGACTGATTATCCCTCAACATATCACCACTCCGCGTCAGATATGTGCGTCAGCCCAACGACCCTGAGTTTGGAAAGTTTCAATTAACCTGTAGCAATCTGAAAAAAGGGCACACAGCATTGTTCAGCCAGCTTAATGGAAGCATTAGTTGCACAACGCCTTCTCTCAGCTACTCATATGCGGTTAAGAACAGCAAACAGCACCACCGATACGAAGAGCCGGTAATACAACCTATCGATCGGGCTGGCAAAGCTTACAGCCGCTCGCGTTCTCAGGTTACGCTCACGGGAGAGGGGCGTAGGCTTAGGCTTCCTTTAGAAGCCCGTAGGATTGCTTACGATCGAGGATTGCTACACAACTTGCAAGTCCCCAGGATATGGTCAGATTGCCTATTCCTGGGGAAATGCCTCAGTCGTATGTAGGGCAGGGGGCATGGTTATCAGGGATGTTTCTCGGGACAGAGTGTGGGGGGAGGGCTTAAAGAAGCCTGGAGATTGGAGCTAAAGAATACATCTTGTAACTAGTAGTAGAAGTGAAAACAGTATTACTCAACACGTACTGTTAGGTATCCATCTCGTGGCGAGTTAATTGGAAGGTATGTATACCGTATACGTAGACGTTTGACGACGAGATCGAGCTGGTAACTAACTACGTACGGTCCAGAACATCGGTCTGAGCTGTAATACACGGGTGATCAATCCACGTTGTTTAGCCTCGCCCGACTTCTTAATTGGACGTCGCCATAACAAGGCTGGGGAAAATGTAAGCTCTAAGAGATGATCTGAGACAAACTGGGCGGCGGGCAACAGGAGGCTTCACCGAGTCTGTTCCACTCCGCATGTCCAGTTCTTCAGCCAGCCCGCCCAAAGGGGTTTGTACGATATTAGTCTGCATGTTGGTAGGTAATCCGTACAAAGTATTCAAGTTACTTTAATACCTATCCATGTGCGAAGTACACACAAATTTCGAGCAATCCGTTTCGCGGTAGGTAAATTTCAGGGAGGACTACGGCGATAGCGCGGGAATAAGATCTTATTCAAATACTTAAGTACCTGGCTAGTCCCAGTAAGGTTAGAAGCCGGCTCGCTTGGAGATTTGTCAACCAATCACGGCGTCTCGGCTGAACCGTTTGGGGAAATCGATGGCAGGGTTTGCGTGGCACCGGGAAAAACCAAGACTTTACAAGATCGTCCCCAGCCGCAAGTACACTATGTACGATGTAGGGTCAGAGGGTACCTACGCTTCGAAAGTTGGCCGACGCCATATTATTCCCGCCGTACATACATCATGTAGGGGAAGACCGACTTCTTCTAGAAGGACTTCCAAGCATTAGAGTGCTATGTAGAGTTTCCGAGGCGGGAGTCATTGAATCTTGCTTGTGCCTGCCAAGATTTCTTCGCAAGCAGCCATCGGCATCGCTCTAAGAGATCGAAAAGCGAGATCACAACAACCCCTTATTTTATGCCTTGTGTGAGCCTTTTCTTACTGAGAATTGGATTTGACGTGAAACTTTAGTGTGCGATCGGCATACAGTAGGATCGTTGAACCGTATCGCAAACCAGTTATGTAGCAAACTACCCGGACTACCTACATAGTGGTAGGCTCGAGTCCTCTCACATGCCAACAAGCCAACCTATGTAGCAGACTAACCTAGTAAACAAAGAGGCTTTTTCCGCTTCGTCCAAAGAGAAAGCTAGTAATTGTGATAATCCCACGCGACTTACGGATTATGGCGGTCCATGCAGATACCGCTTATTTGAGGGGTGGGCATATCTCGACCATGTTCTAACCAATTTCCAAAAGCTCAAGGCGACCAATGTACGTACAGGTTACATCATGCATAACCCTCACATATGTCGCGTGACACTTCCGGCAACGCTCATCTTTTCCCCATGGCGAGGCGTCATGTACATTAGGAGCTGTGTTAGTGTAGGTATGTATTATGTGCACGTATGGGGTGTAGGCGATAGGCGGTAGACGGTAGGCGGTCTGGGTAGTGTAACTATTCCCAGAGCCGACAAATGACAAATGACGATCAGGAATATCCTTGATCACTTACAAGGATATTTCATGATGGGCTTTAGAGCTTCCTTATTCTCGCACCCCCCTGGAAAGCTTAACACGTAGTGCCGCCGGTGCGCCGCAACAAGTGGGCTGCGTCTTGGAACAAAATCACTCACCGGCGCCGTTTACTAGGTATCATAATAACTACTAGACAATGTGAAAATCGAGCAAGCACTATTTTAAGGACGAAAACCTTTTCGTCATAACATGAAAATCATAACTTCGTTACGATTTTAAATTGCTTATCTGCATTGAAAAAAAGTGATATATTTAATTATATCATATATGCGAAAAAAAAGTCTACGTAACTTACCCCATAACTACGCATGTGGCCAATAGGATCTACAGGATAGCGACATACAGGGTGGCTACCCTATATAAAATTAATATTTCTAATACAGGGGGACACCCCCCTATACCCCCCGTTGCCTCCGGCGGCCCTCCCCGGGGGGCGCTTGCAGCGGGCTATTGCCTGCGGCAGGCCTCTATCTTACCAATCTACAGCACGCGTTCAGCTAGCTTACCAGGCATCTCAAAGGGACCTTATTAAAGCAAAAGTGAGGCTCACGATACTCCCTTCTAAATAGCGGGACAGGGGATTCGTGGTGTTGAGAATGGCTAGAAAAAAGGATGTAGGAGTAAAGGAGTGTCGAGGAGCGAGATGAACGGTAACGTCGTATTGAGTCAGCTGTAAGAGATAAGATAAGCAAGCTAGTCACGTGGTACAGGGGCTAAGCTAGCAGCGCATACCTGAAAATTGCTTCTCAATAACCTCGTGCGAGGCCTTGCAACACCAGGCAAGTGAGGCTCACGATATCGTGTTTTCAGCAGTAAAATAAGATTATATGGTGTTGAGGGAGGCTAAAAAAGAAGGTGTAAAGTGAAATACGTACCTGACAGCCCTTTTCAAAGCCGTATAGCCGTGGCAAGCCTCTTGCAGCAGCTTAAAAGTGAGGCTCACGATACCGTGATATTAGTAGGCAAGCGATATGTGTGTGGTGTTGAGTAAAAGGGTGTAAAAGGAAGGAAAAAGAGGCCGAATGCTAAAAGGGAGGTTATTGTATATTTAAGCTACTGAGATATTAGCAAATAAGTCAGCTGGAGATTAGATTAGTAGATTAGCAAATGAGTCCACTGGTGATTAAATCAGTAAAAATGAAGCTCACGATATCGTGATATTAGTAGGTAAGCAATGTGTGTGTGGTGGTGAGAGATTAGATTAGTAGATGAGTCAGCTGATTGGATTATCACACGAATCAGCTAGGGGTTAAATTAGTAAAAGTGAAGCTCACGATATTGTAACATTAGCAGGCAAACGATGTGTGTGTGGTGGTGAGTAAAAAGGTGTAAAAGGAAAAAGAGGCTGAATGCTAATAGGGTGGTTATTGTATATATAAGCTGCTGAGAGATTAAATTAGCAAATAGGAGTCAGCTGGAGATTAGATTAGCAAATGAGCCCACTGGGGATTAGATTAGCAAAAGTGAAGCTCACGATATCCTGATATTAGTAGGTAAGCAATACGTGTGTGGTGGTGAGGTAAAAGGTGTAATAGGTAAAAAAGCTCGAATCTCGAGAAGGGGGTGGTGCCGTATATATAAGAAAGAGATTACGTCAGACTTATCTCCTATCGAGAGAGCTTGAAGGTCAAAGCTGATGTTTTGGGTAACACCAATTTGGGGCTGCACTTGATTTGATTGGCTAGCTCACCAAGCTGTGACCAAGCTGTGAGTCCGAGGCTTCCGGTGGGGTGCGTGCACCTTATTTGATTGGCTGAATCTTTACAGCCGACCCTCTTTTCGAAATCTAGCCTGGCCACGGTAGCCTCTTATTGGTCGATTAACGTAACGCTTTGCCACTGGCCCATATTTCTACTTACGGGAAGCGCTTATTGGCTATAAGTCTTATCTTATCAATTTCACTGTCAACTCACGTGTGCTTATCTCTTATCAGTTTTACTGTCAACATCGTTTATTGATTTGATTGGGTGCATCCCCTACCCACCCTTACAACAGCTAATTTGATTGGTCAAAAGCTTATCTTATCAGTTTTACTGTCATATGGTCCGTGCTTACTGAAATTCGAGCCCTCCCCCCCCCGGTTGGAATTTAGAAGCGAAAACTTTCCTCCGAAAACATGTGACGTAAGCAAGCAAAAGGAAAGTTTTCTTAATTATTACTGGAGACTAATCAACTTCCGGCCTTCCAGCTTAAGGGGTCCGACCATTCCGTACCTAAGTAGCTACCTAAGCACGTATCCAGCGGTTGAGGGCAAGACCGGCATCTCCGGTCGTTTCGTAAATAGTATATATAGCCTCCTTGTCGTCTCCTTCACAACCTTCGTTTTTTCTTCACCTCGAGTGTTTCTTTCTATCAATCACTTCCTCAAGGCCAATCTCCGCTCTAAAGCCCCCCTTTCTCATTCTCAACCAGTTCCTTCTAAGACATAGTCCGCCAACGACTACTCACAACACATTCACTTATACAAATATCAAATTTAATAACTCACAATCTCATCCGTCACCATGCCTTCCGTAGACATCAAGCAGATCGTTGACACCAGGCCTCTGAGCTTCACCATCAAGACCGGAAGCGGCAAATGGCAATGCCAGATTCACAGCGACAGAGCCTCATAGTGAGTTTGCTACCTCCCCGGCCTATCGTAGCTTTTATTACTTTAGGTAACGACTAACACGCAGATTTAGCGAGCGCTCGCGCAGCACAAGGGCACCGGGAATCTCCCGCATGGATTCCGGCCTATCCACCTCGACGAGGTCGTCGACCAGCTCGATCTCGAGCACCTCGTCGCAGTAAACTACTTGCACAAATGAAATAACTCCCCATCCAAGGGGGGAACCCTTGCCGTCGCGTTCCGTCCAACGGTCCGGCCTCGCGAGGGTACACAGCGTTATGCACAATTGCTAGAATTGGTCTATGTTCTGAATCGGGAATGGGTAATACGAAGATTGGGTGGGCACCTGATGCGGTATTATTCTGGATCGGCTGAGGCGGGAGGGAAAAGCTTAGCTTGTCAGTCACATCGGCTCTGTGCTAACCCCCCGGCTGTAATAATGGGTACCTTTTCCACATGATATGGGATATCGAACATTGGGGGAAGAGGGAGAGGGGGGGCGTGGAAACGCGGGATGGCGCGATTCGGGATCCAATTGGATGGATTCCATTAAGGGTGTTGGGGGGAGGGAGGCATGGACGTCAAGGCGAATCAATCGTTGATTCGTGACAAATGCGTTGAAACGGACCCCCCAAACCCAAACCTACCAACAGCAGACGCACGTGGGCAGAAACTGAACTGAACCGAACTGAACAAAGAAGTAAAACAGATAAAAGACCAAAAAAATTGATTACTACTGTTCCTATTTTTTACATATTGCTTGCTTGCACCTTGCCATTGGACTTTGGTTGTTCGTGATAGCCTATAGGTAATTCCACCGCTAGCGATGAGGACGAATCGGATCTAGCGATCATACATATTCACACATGAAGAAATTAGTAATTGTATGTCCAAGTTCCGGGTTGACTTCGATTGCTCATCTTAGATTCCTAGATCATCGGCGTCGCATCGCGAACCAGACGGGTCTAGCAGAACGTCAATGGAAAGCTGAATCAGAACGCAACAGAGCAGGCACATACATGCCAATGAACTCGTCCGAACAAGTCCCGGGGCCCAACTATTCGCTCTTTACATTAGGTCTGGACTGCAATAGGGGGTTACCTATTGGGTAGAGGACCTACCTAGATGATATGATACCTACTACGAACGTCGTTGAAGCTGCAATGGCTACCTACAAGCATATGTAGGTAGGTAGGATCCCCGTCGTATTAGACGAGATAAGAGCGGCGCAACGTGCTCTGAACGGAGGTTCCTTGTGGATTAGTAGGGGCCCGCGTCAAATTCCTACCCAACTACGACGTTAGGTGATGGTACGCTCACTTAGACGCGCGACGCGACGTCCCACGGCAGTAGCACTTCACTTCGCATCCCATCCCATTTCATACCCCCTATCTGCATATAGAGAGACAGTGGACATCAAGGGAAACCCACTCATTGCCACCATTCTCAACGATGATACTCGCCTCCGTCTGGTTGTCAATCTTGAGGATCGTGATGGGCGCTTGAACCAATGGGTTAAAGGTCGGCACTACCATCCATTGTGCTTCGATGATGACGTCGTGCTGGTCTCGCAAACTATCACCTTCGTAGGTAGTCTCGAGCTGCTACGGCAAGCCGAAAGACCTGATATGATATGATCCTATAGATGCTTCGCTGTGGGCATGGCTGTGGCTTCGTGCTTGTAACACTGGATAGCGCCGGGCTGCGTGCTGTGTAGACGCCTAATTGGAGATTTCTATCGTCCCGGTCCCCGGGGCGGCAGGCGGTAGTTGACGTGATAGCTTGTTGGTAAACCAAAGGCAGGGGGCGATATGATATGATATGACCACCACGGCAGCCATTTTAAAGTTTCCTAACTTAGAAGATCAAGGGAGCCTTTTACAACAACTTTTTAGCCTTGAGTTGAAGACGAAGCCGGCGGGATCCCTTACTATCCCCTAAACTGGCATTCAACTACACCTCTATTATTTCAGTATCAGTACATAAGACTTAACGTCGTTCATTAACATAATAGGGAAAGGTTCGATAGTTAGTACAAACCGTAAATATAATTGGTCGATTTAGACATTTTCTTTTTCCTGGCCAATCCCTATGTATCAATACTGAAAATAATGGAGGTGTAGTTGAATGCCAGTTTAGGGGATAGGACATAGAGCCGCTTTTTTTTATGGGATGGCGGTTATTCGCTACGTTTCTATATATGCAAGGCGGCGTAAGAGAAAGTGCCCGCCATCTTCTAGGATATTACGAAGCACTGCGTATCGGCATCGTACGTGGGTAATCGATCGGGTTCTTAAGGAAGTATGTGCGACTTATACGCTTATAATAACATATGAACACTAGGTAGTTTGAGGCGTAAAAGAATGATAGACCTAACTCCGAAGTTCCTTGGATTAAGAGCGCGGTTATAGGAGAGAACATGAATATCGAGTTGGCGATTCGCTGTTATGGAAAGTAGATTTACGGACATTGTTATGTCTGGGTTTGGTCACTTTTGAGTGTTTATACGGAGGTATCGTCTACGGTCAATAGGTTCCACGCGGTATTACGAGGGCACACACTGGCTGGGCAATAGATTGCCGCTAAACTATGGTGCTTCCTCTAGTAAGACTTTGTCCGATTTTAGTAGAGCTTAGAAGTTAATGTGTTGGAGATATCCCAAGTCACTTTTATATGCTGAACAATCCGTAACCTAGGCCCCGGGCACCGTGTAAGTTAAAGATGGAATGTTGAAGAGGTTTATGATGTACTGATATTGTTTAACGCCGAAAGTTTTATAAAAACGCCATATGTAAGTGGTACCTTGCATCGATCCTTTTCTGGGTCACCTTGTAACTAGGTAACGAGGCCGCCAAGGTCTCGCTAATGATCGATTAGATTCGGTTGCTTTCCGAGCAATCCGAGGCCTCCGCAATGCGAGTATGTAGAGTAGTAGTTGTTCTCTATCTCGTTTCATCGTCAACTCTTGTAAGTATGAATGGAATGTTTTATTGCGTTTATTTAGTGCTTCTGACGAATGTATTGAATTGTTACTAATAGTACTTGTAACACCGGCACCTATAGCAAGTAGTTTACATAGTTAAGAGTGAGGCTCAAGCTTTGTAGTTTCATTACCCCATTAGCCTTTCATGTAGATATGTGTTTGATTTCAAATTGGTGATACAAACGAATCTTAACAATTAATAGGCGAGGCTAGGTACTGTAGATAACTTCATGCAAGGGCCCGAATCTAATAGCCCCAGATTCGTGGCGGCTCTGTGTAATATTGAGTGTCGTATGAAGATAGAGGATGTGCCTTTAAGAAAGATACTCTCAATTTAAATAAATACATCCCCAAGCGGGGTATGCATTTACCCCACTATGTATAAGAAAGTACCTACCGCCATCTAAGGTATCTTCCAGGGAATACTGAGTTCAACTATGGTAGATAAGATACGATCAACTAAGACATGCATGCTTTACACTATGCCAATGCAAGTTTCCGATTATAAAATCAAATCTATTGAATATAACTTAACTTTGAATAGTGGGAATTGTCTGTCTATCGCAAGGCTTTCTCATCTTTTACCACAAGAGTACCTGCGTACCCTTTGCCGCCGGGTCTGCCTGCCTCAACCACAGCGCAGCTCATTGGTCTACAATCCCATTACGCAATGAGGCGTTGAGTTTGAGTTGCGTTGGGACATAGGTTGCGACTGTGCCTTGCCTTGTACCTACCGTATGTACTTGACCTTGACTTACCTCGCCTGCAAGCCCGAACCTTATTAGGAGCGCGGCCTCGTTGCACTGCTCCGTTGCAGTCACCTATCATTCATCCCCATTTCTTCCCCCTTCTTATTCTCTTCCCCTCTCCATCTCTTTCTTTTTCATCTTCATCTTTTTTATTCGCCTTCCGTACACGACCTCGAAGACGGAAATATAGGAAAGTTGGGTAATTTATATAGGGCATCTATGTCCTTACCAATAGGCACACGGCTTTAAAACATGCCTGTTCCCGTTGTGGCTAAGGGTAAGTGAAACAAGAAGTCATTTGTCGTTTGATGTACACTACTTGGCTACCCCACGTCCGAGGACCAAAGTCGTTGCGGATCACAAACGTGACTGCCTGCTGGTGGCTCGAGTCCTAATTCATTGTGGCGAATAACGCGTACAAATCAGGAACCAACGAACCACGCAAGCTTATTTCTGTTTCTCTCAGCGTTTACGATTCTATTTGACTTTGTAAATTACCTAGGCGTCGTCATTTATTATATTCCACCAATGCTCTTTCCTAATAGCTTTAATAGCTTTACACAAATACCTTGACTCTCATACCATATTTCCCCTCCTTCTCTTTAATCATCCGTTTTCTCTTGGAACATCTACAATATGCCACCTATTAACCATGCTGTCGTCTCAGTCGGCGTCGTCGCCCTTACGGTTGCCGTCGCAGCTGCTGTAGCATTCTACGAATCACCTGAAATACAGGGCATGGCAAGCGACCTCCGACGTCGAATTGCCATCGCACTCCATGCTCTCGGCGATAGTATTACCCCCGCAGAACGAGAGAACCTTTTCAACAGGCCCGAGGATGCCGAAGGATTTTTACGATCTCGAGGTTTTGGTGCCGAAGGAGAACCGGGTGTCGATGCTGACGATGAAACCCGTCGAAGACAACGAGAAGAGATAATGTACTGGAATGCCGTGCGCGAGGCAAAGAAAGAAAAGGAACGCAAAGACCCAGAGAAAACAGATGCTTCGCGCCCGCGGAGAGGTTCGAGCTTCGATGACTTCATGCAACAGGATAACGCCGCCGAGAAGGGTGCCTTTGTTTTCCAGTCAGGATCAGAGCTCCAAAACACCGATGGTCTACTTCGACGACGTGGAGAAGGCGCTCGAGGTCTCGCCCAGTCTGTCTATACGAATCCTTTTACTGATGAGCACGGAATCGATGAGCACATTACCTTCGAGAACAGCTTGGTAGACCCTGAAAAGGATGAATTCGAGTCGGATATTTACAGCGCTAGCACACAACTTGGCATTAAGAGCGAAACCCCACGACTTGCTACTCTATCACCAACTCCTACTGACGTTATCCCGCCGTTAATCAGCGTTGAGAACCACACACCGGCTACGCAAGCACAACCTGCCCAAACATCCGAACGAGAATTAGGCCCTGACGAATTCATGACCGCTGGACAAGATGATAGAGATGATGCGTACAGCTCCATCCAAGCTTGGGCCCACGACGCTTCAACCGCTAGCTTCTATTCGCCATTACCAGTATCACCTGCCGAGCCTCTGTCAGATGCCGAGTTCTTGAGCGAAGGTGTTTTGACCCCAACAGACTCCGCTTCGCTAGCAGGCTCAGGTGAGGATGTTGGAGATGATGCTGTATCTGCTAGATCATGGACCGAAGGCCGACATTACGATGTCATGAGCGATGACGAGGGCATGATGACTCCTGCAAGCTGGACCGAAGTCGGAAGCGTTGTAAGCGAAAGTGATGCTGGCGTGACGCATGCAGCACAGCACTAAGAAGGACATCTCTTTCGTCTAACTGTTTCGCATATTCTCATGGCATGGCGTATTTGGGTAAGGGATTCGGACATTGAAAGGGTAATGGATTCAATATGGAGAGATGGATTACGTATCCTCGGTTATCAAAGCTTTGATTTATTTTGATAGAAGTATTTGGTTTATAAGATGTAGCATTGCGCACTAAATGGGTATCTACGGCTCGTCTCAGATAAAATGAAAAAAGGATTCCGTCAACTCTTACGCCCGGTCTCTAAGGCATTCTAGTCATCTCTCTATCGGTATCCTCTACCCTTGTAACTCCCGTAATGCTTAGTGGTGGCCAAACTTTCTTAATCCTTCTGCCCGCCCTTTAGTAATGTCTTCTTATAGTCCTCAAACAACTGCTCTACCGGCCCCCCAACTAGCTCGGTCCAGAACGCCTTCTCCTCGTACCTTTCCTTCCGCAGCTTCTCATTCATCCGGCGTATAGTCCCCTTGCCGAACCGGTCCTCGAGGTATTCTAGAAAATAGGCCGTGCCCTGGTACCCGACGTCCCATTTTGCGGGGACCTGCTCCCGGCTCCAGTGCGGCGGCGCAAGATCGCATCGCAAGCGCACCCAGTCGGCCACGCCTTCGATCAGGCCGCCCGGCGCGCGACCCCGTCCGTTCCACTGGTAGCAGTGGACGAGCTCGTGCAGCAGGACGCCGCGGATCTCGGCGGATTGGCGCGACGACGGGGCGATGGAGGAGATGTACCGGAGCGAGAAGTGGATTTCCTTGTGGTCCGGGTCGAGGTCCGAGCCCGTCGTGTAGGCTACGCCGTCCATGTCTCGCAGGACGAGGGTTACGGAGCGCGTGGGCGGGGGCGAGGAAGGGGGTTGCGAGTATAGGTGCGCGTGGATGGAGTCGATGCTGCTGCGGAGCACGGTGGCGGCGTTCACGGAGGAGAGGAATATCGAGGACCCTGGGTGTGCGACGTCTTGGACGTGGAGACGTAGGCGCGGGAGCGAGGTGGCGGGGGAAGAGGGGTCCTGGTTTTTGTCGTCGGTTGTCTCGTCGTCCTTCGGCCGCGTGGGGATGGCGGACGGGGCCGGAGCCGGAGCCGGAGATTCCGCGGCGTGAGACATACCGGGCATAAAGACCGGTTGGGGTACTGGCGTGGTTGCCGGAGGGAGGGGCATGGAAACAGGAGGACTGGTTTCCTCTCTGTATTGTGAGAGTCGGAGGTGGATGTGGAGGGTTTCGGTTCCGGAGAGGTTATTGGTTGCGCTGAATGGACTCATGGGGTGGGAAATAGAGTTATATATAGTATATAGGTATTTATGGTAGTATAGAGGAGGGGCAATTATCCAAGTCTATCTATAACTATTGGGGTATTGCGGATGATTGTTTAGTCAAGTTAGACTTGGAGATGATTGCTGCTGCGTTTAATACATAGGGGGGTGTTTACTACCTTAGCTGCCCAGGTAGGTAATGAAGCTTTAAAGAGGATTTGTTACTCGTTGCTTATAGTATATACCTATGCAATAGATAATGTGGTTTAATGCCAGTTATAGAAAATGTCTATACGAATAATTGGGTATCGTGTAAGCAAGCTAAAACGTTGATCGCATGAGGCTCTTTAGGCACGACAATATGATGATGTTTACTTGGTCAGCTTCAGCTTCGTTGTGCCCCTCATCGATTTCCTTGGCGGGGCAATTTGCTATTTGCTAAAATTGAGCTGCATTGGGGTTCTTAATCCTTCCATGTTGAGGGACTCTTAGCCCCTGCCTCTGGGGTGTCACAGACCTATTTCTTGCCTATCATGTCCCTACATGGATAGGAGGGATCAGTTAGTGCCCAAGAAGTGTTTTAGTGCTGTGCAGGACCCACAGAAGCACTCACAGATGTGGGTACCCTGGAATGCCGTTGTCGTGGTGCAGAAAGTGGCCATTTCCCGCATCAACAACTACATACTACAACAAAAATATGACAACAATCCCTAACATACCTCACATGAGAGAAAAAAAAATAACGAGTAACTTCGCAGAAATTGTTGGTTTCTATCACCTTTTTTTTCTATCTAAAAATCCCAGCTTCGTCCATATGCGCATCATTAGTAGAAAGCGACCAATACAATCTCCGGTGCCTTTTAATTAATATTAAATTAGCTCTGGAACAATCGTCGCAAACTTTTGTTATTTAAACCAATTCAATTTTCTGAAACTGTGTCAGTTCATACCACTACTACACCACCGTTCCTTAACTACCGAGGCCCCTATCTGCCCAACCGCGATAGTTCTGTAACCTAACTTCGCCGTATCCTGCTTTGCACGTCCATTGTACGAGCACGACTACATAAATCCGCCCTTATTTTGGGACCTGCAACGCACTGCCAGATCCTCATCCCCCTCCCCGAGGACCATGGCCGAAATGCTCACTGAGGATCAGGTCGCCGGCCTGCTGACTATCCTTAGAAAGGATGTCTCCGTCGACACGAAAGTCCAACACATCACTGCCGTTAAGTCGGCTATTAAACATTACAGCGTACCCGATGTCTGCGTCGCGCCGCTCTTCGAAGCCCTTCGGCTCGCCTCGAGCTCGCAGCACTCGGTCCTCGTCAATGCTGGCTTCACTACGCTAAACCACCTCCTGACGCGCATGTCGCTACAGGAGCCCAAATACCTTGCTAAAGAAGCGAAACACACGCTACCGCTCATCGTCGAGAAGATGGGCGACCAAAAGGATAAGATAAGGGGACTAGCTATACAAGCTATGGCCACCATGTATACCAATGTACCCATAGACGCCGAGAGGTTCGTGCGCAATACTGCTATGGTTGGAAAAAACCCAAGATCAAAGGAATCGAGCTTGCAATGGTTACTACAGGTATGCGCGATCCTCTACTAGTAACGCGATTATAGAGACACATATTCTGCCGGGACAGTCGCTAACTTGACCCAGATGCACAAAGATCAAGGGTTACAATTCCGTGCTTACGTACCGGCTTTGATGGAGCTACTAGAGGATGCCGACGGTATGGTTCGAGATGCGACCAAGAGCACGGTGATAGAATTGTTCAAGTTCGTGAAATTATATCCCCTATATAAGTAGCATGGCTTCTAACATCAACTACAGGGACGCGCCAAACGGAGCGAAGACCGATCTAAAGAAGCAGTTGAAGAACTTCAAAGTGCGACCTGCCATAGAGCAGGCTATAGTAAAGGAATTAGCCCCGACGTCTTCAAGAGCGGACCCCGAATCAAGACCCGCGTCGGCAATGCAGGTGCGACCAAATCTCGCAGCGAGCGTTTCCTCCCTTGCTAGCGAACGACCGATAACACCAATGCCCGAACCCAAGGCGGAGTCGGTCGAGCCCTCATACGTCAACACCAACCGAGAATTAGAAGATTTATTTAGAGATATGCACCCATGGTTTGAAGGCAAGGAGACCGAACAGAACTGGTTGAAAAGAGAAGAGAGCATGACTAAGTTACGGAGACTCGTTGCTGGCAACGTACCGTCGGATTTCCCCGATACTTTTGTTGCTGGTTGTCGAGCGTTACTCGATGGCATCCTCAAGGCCGCCAATTCCTTACGAACAAGTTTGTCTAAGGAAGCCTGCGCTTTCGTCCAAGATCTTGCCAATACCTTTGGGCCGGCAATCGACCCAATGGTCGAATTGCTGATGCAGACCTTTATAAAATTGTGTGCGGCGACCAAGAAGATTAGTTCCCAATTAGCTAATACGTCGGTGGATATCATCATCGGAAGGACTACGTATAATGCTAGGATCATGCAACATATATGGGGTGCTTGTCAAGATAAGAATGTATCGCCGAGGATGTACGCTACCGGCTGGTTAAAGACCCTATTGAAGAAAGAGGCACATCACAAGAATCATCTGGAGCATGGCGGAGGATTAGACATGATCGAAAAGTGCATCAAGAAGGGTCTTAATGATCCCAATCCCGGTGTCCGCGAGAAGATGCGCTCGACGTACTGGGCGTACGCCGCGATCTGGCCAGCGAGGGCAGAAGCGTGAGTTAATTAATATTTCTATTTTCCTGGTATGCTGGCTAACTGTTGCAAAGGATTATGGACGGTCTTGAGTCTACCGCCCAGAAGTTATTACAGAAGGATCCTAACAATCCAAATTCGCCAAAGAAATCTGAGCCTGCCCCTCGTCCGGGGTTAGGCCTTTCGAAGAGTACTATGACGGCCTCGAAGCCCTCCATAAGAGAAGCTATGATAGCACAGAAGAGGGCCCTAGCATCGAAGAATTTACCTTCTCGGCCGGCGTCGGCGATGGCGGTTACGCCGTCGCGGAGCGTATCCGGCGGCTCGTCGGGTACGTCAGCAACTTCGCATGCGACTAGTACCAATACCGCGACTCGAACGCGTGCAGATACGTCGACGAAGTCCCACGGTGGTATGTCGGTAGCTCCAATGCGACCAGCTAGGAGAAGGCCAGACGTTGCGCCCCGACCCGCTACTGCCGGGCCTTACTCTGTTCGGTCGCATGAAGGACCATCAAGAGAGCAGACAAGTCCTTCTCACAGCACGAAACAAAAGGCTGCGACCCCGAAAACGATCTCGGGATCTCCTAGAAGGACAGTCCCAAGAACTAAGCCCGGTCATGTGGCAACTGCCAGCGAGTCTAGCATTTCAACTCCGTCGAAGGAGGCGGCTCATAAGGCCGTTGCCTCTCCGAAAGCGAGTCCGGCGAAACCTAGTCCAGTGAAGGTTAAGCCAATAGTGAACGAAATCAGATATAGCAGTCCCTCCAATTCAAACGAAGATTTTACCCTTGTTGTGCCAGATATCGCGCAGTTGAAAGAGAGCATACAGATACAGCCCACTCCGCCCAAACCTTCTCCTAAAGTGCCGGTAATCGAAGCACCGGTAATCGAAGCACCGATAATCGAAGCGCCGACAGTCGAAGTGCCGATAGTTGTTAAAGATGAAGAAGTAACGGTCATTCACAGAGCTACAACCCCAACCCCAACACCGTCGAACTCACTAAAGGTATACGAAGATCCTTTCACGGAGGACGACCAGCCGGCACCTCGCCCAGCGGCGAATGGTATAGTCGATCGGCCAGTATTGGAAGATAAGCCTATCAACGAAGATGCTGCTAATCTCATACACTCCACGGAAGCGAACGAGGTCCTTGGTAGCCCTCTTGCGTCGCCGGATAAATCGCGTCAAAACTACCGTCTTATTGACAGCGGCATCGCCCGTGTGAAAGCGCAAAGCCTTGATGTGCATGGCTTCCGTAAATTACAGAGCCTTGTCCGTGATACTAAAGTTCTCCTTCCCGATGATAAGTTTAACGCCTTGCTGCTCGGGCTCTTCGAGTACATTGAATCGCCTCTTGATAACGTTCCTCCTGAGAAGGTTCAAGACGTAAAGGCACAAATTCTCGCTACCATCAAGTTACTACTGAAAAAGTCTCGCGATAGATTCCAGCCCCATGTGTCTAGGGGACTGGAGGCTTTACTCGCTGCGCGCACCCGCTACGACGCGCGGACGCACATTGTCAGCGGGCTGGAGCTGCTAGCAGATGAACTAGTGACAATTGGTGACGAGGGCGAGATCACGGTAACCATGACGCGCAACCTAAGCAACATGGATATGGACACGTCGGGACACCGCAGCCTGAGCATGGGGCTACACGTGCTGAAGGAGCTCTTAGACGCGCGGTCGTCGTTCACGCCTGGCGAAAACGAAGTAGCGGGCCTGCTCAACCTCGCGACAAGGTGCCTCGAGAGTAAGGAGAGCGGCGTCCGCATGGACGCCGTGCAGCTGTGCGTCGCGCTGCATGCGCGCCTCGGCGAAACTAGGTTCTGGGAAAGTATGAAGAACGTCAAAGACGACCCTAAGAGCCTTATCACGTATTATATCGTCAAGCGGCAGAGGGAGAACGGAGGGGTCCCTGCTTAGATGAGCGGCGGCTCCCGATTTTTCGCTCGAGGATGCGGTGTCTTTGCTTTCTTTCGCGGTCGTGGTCGTTATTGATAATACCCTATTTGGCGGTGGCGGGAAGATCTATCTAGGTTGTCCGTACCCGTGTCTGTGTCTGTCTAACTATTTACCTCTGTAGTATGATGGTCCGCGTCGGGAGGAATGGATGTATATCACTAGGGATAAGGGAGTTTGTCTGGTCCGGCTAGGTACGCATACTTATTTATACCTTGGGTACTCTCTACGGCTCCGTTCTGCGAAGCTCTGTTTACGGGGGGGCACGCGGTGTTTGGCAGGTGGGCAAACGGGAAAAGGGGAGAAAAGGAACGGGTACCTATGCCTATACTTATTACCTATACCCGCTAGGTACTCGAGGGGAGGGGGGAGAGACGTGCCTGTTTTATCGTACTCATTTTGTAATGAATAGTTGCTCACACTCTGTGGCACACTTGTAGATTCAATGGAACGGGGAGAGATATTTACGATTTAATATGGGAAGTTGTGTTTGTGATAGTAGGTAGGTATCGGATGCTCTTAGTTTTACTTTACGTTGAGGACTGTCGAGGACTAGGTATAAACTTGGACGAGATTTAATAGTTTTTTTTACGTTAATTAATTTTAATAATAGTGTTTTCAGGTCGATGGCATTCCGAATGCTGGAAGTTTGAGATAACGCATAGTTAGGAAGGTACCTATAGGTATATATATCCGGTTGGCGTAACAGGTGCTTGAACTTACATATCCAAGGTAGGTAGGTAGGTAGGTACGTTGAGTACTGCACCGCCGGTGCTGATGTTAGCGATGCGTTCGCGACTCGCGATCACAAGGAAGACACGAGAAAGCCTGTGTACAGCGGATCGGTCCCCAGACGTTGGTATCGTAGAGCCGTTGTGTTTTGTCGACGTCTATGTCGAGGATCGGCATGCCGTACCCGGCGCCTGTTATTAAGATCGATTTGGTAGACATGTCTAGCAAGCCCGGTTAAGTTGATTGGAATAGGTTCGGCCAATGTCTTTGGTTTCTTTCCACTTCCACTGAGGACCGAATGCGTAGTATAAGTGGGCTAGGGGTAGTTACAGGGGTAGATCTACATACTCGGGCTTGGGAGAGGGCTATTTCGCCAAGTTTCTGACTGTCCATGTAGTAATATACACGTTCTCCGCCTAACCAAATAACCTAATAGGCGGCTTATCACTGGTACATTGACAAGCGGCTCGTGTCAGGGCTTCATACTCATACCCACTTGTGTTCAAAAGGATATAGAGCTTTTAGTCGGGTTAGCAACAGTACCTGTGCTGCCTAATAATAGTTTACCCTTGATTAGAGGTCTATCTAAACTGGATTTAGCCTTGTGGTAACGCGAAAGAGGGCGATTTGTGTAATAAACAGAGCTCTTCATAATAGGTAGACTTAGCAAAAGTCATAGTGTTTTGTTGCCTGCTCCTTTCTAAGTCTCTCTGACAGGCCCTTTGAAATGTCGCCTAGCCTTAAGAACATACCAAATAACACTAAACAGAATAACGGTGCCGTAAACTAGAACGCTCCAATTGACCTCTCCAGGGGTAGGAGAGTTTACCTGGGGCCAGAACGACCAAAAAAGCAGAAGCATCATGTAAAGACAAGCGAAAACATTGTTGATAATCCCAAAAGGCTCAGGGACCTTCCAAGGGCCCCAAAATAGATTATCTGTGTGAATGACATCGGAAGCCTCTATGTATGGCTTTATACCGCCTGTGAAACGGTGCCAAAGTAGTAGCCCGCATGCAAGGAGATACGAGGAATGTAATGTTGTAACTAGTAATGAGAGCAACGTTGATAGGACAGCTGAAGATCCAAGAACAATCAATGAAAGTAACGTTGTGAAACCCATCGTACTAAGGATGGCGTATATTGGCAAGGCATTGCTGTTAAGCTAGATATAATACTATCAGCAAATACCTCTCATAGGATTCCATTTCGTATAACAAACCTTGACCAAGATTCTATCAAATGGGAGCCCCTTATCTCGAGCAAATGACCATATCATCCGGGAAGCTGATGCATAGGCACTGATGCTACTCATAATGACTATCACCAGTATCACACCAGCCACTTACAACAGAATGTTAGCGACCAAGGCAACCCCATAATCAACATAGTAGCGGACATAAATGTAGATGATATTAACTGAAGGTTTAACACTCACTTAGACAAGCGCCAGTAGTAGACTTGACAGCTGATTCAAATATTTGAAGAAACGGGTAATACAGAGTATCTGCGGCGGCGGCGGCAGCCGGCGCATCGCTAAGGCAAAATAGTAACGCAATTATCATGGCGAATGCGAGGGACCCGTTAATAGTGATTGTATAGATCAACGACTGTGGCACCACAGTGTTGGCTGAGCGTACTTCTTCAGACATATGTACAGCGCAGTCGGCACCAGTAAGTGTACCGGCTATCGTAGGAAGGCCAACAAAAAACGCTAGCGCTTGTGTTGGCCAATTGCCATTGTTACTGAAGACAGTGAAAACTTCAGAAGGGTCATTATGCGGTGCAAAGTAGACCAAAGGTATTAATACCCCGAAGAAGCCTAGCAAGTGCAAGACCAGGAAAAGCCCTTCGAATTTTGCAAGTATGCGGCCAGTTGTCGAGTTAATAAGAACCGAGAATAGCGCCACAGCAAACATTATGAGTACCGTATGCCATGAACGAGGATCATACGATGGGATAGATAAGACAACAATGCCTTGAATAAGTGTCGCTATCGAGAAGCTAGTTGTGATGGCTATGGCCTGCCAGGCCAGAGTTGTCAGCCAAGCCGTAAGATAGGTGAGAAAATTGGCACATGACTCTGGCGCCATCATAGCGACCCAATGGTCTGGGACGGAGTATATGCCTGTTAGCATGACTTTATTTTACGGATAGGTAATAATGGGCTTGAATCAATCATAGATAAATAGAAACATCGTTAACTTACATTGACCGCCGGCAGTGGGAGCCATCGAAGCAAGCTCCGCAATAACGATATACACCGAAGTGATTCCCACCCAGCCAACTAGAAACGCCCAGACAACTCCGCCAGGACCGACATTGAGGAAGGTAGGGACCGATGTGAATAGAATGCCCTCCCACGAAACTAGGACTGAACAGGATAGTCCTAGGCTAGACATGAACCCAAAGCTCCGATCGAGAAGCGGGCGCTTACCAAGACGCCGCAAGGTATTATCATCATGAGCAAATCGGAGGGTATCATCAGATTTCGATATAAGAGTTCCCGTATTCGCGCTGGTTGCGCGCAGTTCGATTACGTCTTTCGACATAGGTTATTGATTTCGAATTAAGAGTAACCGAAAGCAATAATGAAAATGCGTAACTTGCTTATATGAAAGGTAAATAATGGCTTCAGGCTTTGGTAAACGCGTGTTGCATCAAGGAGCCCATCACATGGCGGACATTATGGGCAGAGAACCCAACAGGCACGAGAGCTGGATATACATAAGAGATGGACTTTTTTTTCCCTCTAGGCTCCTGGCTCCCCTGCGATCTTCCCGTATACCTTATCTCGGGGAAGACCCCCAAGACCGAGACATCGAGGCTCTGGGTGCTTAAACAGTCATGAGCGGATCAAATCAGGCTCTCAGCTTGGCTTGGGGGCGCTGTCTCGGCCGCCGCAATAATCACAGGTAAATCCGCGGCGAGAGTTTACACCGGCCATCCAGCCTGCAGGGCGCGCGTATATCCTGCTCGATTAGGATTCCCGAACTGCATCTGGTCGGTGAAGGTGTTGATTTCGAGAGCGAATAGATGAGTAGGTAATTTGTAGGAAGTATCATATGAGTTGGGGTCACACTGCTTTTAGGCGTCAAGTTACATAGACATATTAAAATGTTTCGGTGAGCAATGTAGCGATAACTTTTCTAGTCCTAGGTTTTATTTATTACCTAATTATAAAGAAATTGTAACGTATACGATGCCGATCACTATTGAGATTTATGGTAATTGGGTACTTGGGGTTAGGAGGCACTCAATATTGCATAGAAGCGGTGACTACCAAGTACCAAGGTACGTAAAGTAATACGCAAAAGAATAAAACAAGATGTATAAGGTAGGTAGACTTCCTGTTCAACTCCAACTTCTGTTACCCGACGCCATAGTAAATATTGAATATCAAACATCAATCTGGGGGTATAGGAATTCGCTACAGAGTTGCATGAATCTCTCCCGCTCTTCCCACATCGACGTATGGCTCGACTTCTCAAGCGTGACCCATTTGACCTTGTTGATGGCTCTAAACCATGGCTCCATAACGAAATCCATTACTTCATCATATCTCCCGTTTAGAAGTAACGTTTCCGCTTGAATATTATGCGCGTCCTTCCAGCCCTCCCAGTCTTGGAGAGTGCCGACCGTGGCGAATTCAGACGTGCCTTGCCTAAATAATATAGAGTAAGATAGCGTTCATCGAGGATGTAATATGCTGCAAGTTATAGCTTCCTATCCGCTCTGGGCATTGATGATAAAGGAACTTAAAGGACTGCTGTTTGTACTCGGGTGAGAATAGAATTAGAAACTTACATAGTCTGGTACGCAGCAGGGTTCTCCTTTAAATTGGCCCAAGCTTGCTGTATCGGCTCTGGCACAGGGTCCAGTCGGCAGACGAATCTCCTCATGAAGACGGTAGATGCTTCCTTGTACTCTGGGCTCTCATGGTCGCCTCTCTGGTCGCAATCTTCGAGGGTACGCCGTACATCCGGTGGTAACTGGGCAAGACGACGTTGGCACGCCTCTTTGTAGAGCGGCATGCTAGCAGGCGAACCCGACATCACTAGCTTCTTCAAACCGCGGGGGCGTAGGGACGCATACGACCCGGCTAACATGCCTCCCCAGCTCTGCCCGAGGAGGTGGAAGCCTTTGTCTCGCAGGTTGAGATGGTCGATGAGTTTGTCTAACTCTTTGACGAAGAGGTCTACAGTCCAAAACGCCTCATCACCTAATTTCTCGGGGAAGTGGGTGGAGTGACCACATCCGATCTGGTCGTATATAATAATGGGAGCTCCTCGCGTCTCGTGGATATCTGTCAGAGCGACCATGTAGTTATGGCCGGACCCCGGGCCGCCGTGAAGTGCAATAACGGGTGACAGAGCCGTGTCAAGGCTGCCAACGACTCTGTACCAAGTTTTGCAAGGCTTGCCGGCGTTTGAGACCTCCCAATTCATTTCCCCTTCTACTGACATATAGGATGCCATTATTGTTCCGGATTATAAAATACCCTAGGTTAGGTACCTAAGATATACAATAGGACGAGTAAGGATGAACTCAGTAGGATTCGCGTATGAAAAAGTGATAAGCAACTATTATATCCCTAATAAAGAGGTAGGTCTCTATCTTAAGTACTAACAAAATCTTTTCGTTACTACCTAAGGATGCCTTAGTCAAAACCTTTTGAAAATACAATAATTTTTTGCAAAGGAGGGGTTTCACTTATATCCCTTCCGGTGAAATGCCCGGGACCGGGAGGGGGTTACGTGAGACTCATCAAGTTACACAAGTTACCCTCGTTTAAGTAACCCGGGTAGAAGTTTAGAACTACTACCACAAAAAAAGAAAGAAGAAAGGTAATAATAGTACCTAGGTAGACATGATATTATATTTGTATACATACAGAAATGTGTATGACACTCTTGCCTACCTTAGCGGGAATTATAGGGAACTTATAAGCCTTGCGCATGCCTTGTACAGGCCTAACTACAGTGACAAGCCTTGTGCAAGGGTTAGCAATCCTGCAAGGGTTAGTTTTTCTGCAAGGCTTATAAGTGGGTGTATATTCCCATACAAATTTAGTAGCAGGATACATCCGACTGGAATACAGGGCATTCCAGCATTATTTTCCCCTGTAACCACTGTTATTTCATTACAGCAGGTTTTAGCGATATTAATGCCTGAGGCCACCACAACCACCCCTAAGGCACTTAAGGCACCCCCAAGCCACCTAAAAATCGCTATATCACCACCCTCACTGGCGAACAACGCCTGTAATCCCCTGACTCCCCTGAGGCCATACAATTCAATTTAATTCAATTCAATCGAATACCCGGCACGGCAAGCGCGAGATATATACTGCAATTGCAAACAAACAGCTATCGCGTAATACGTAATCCCGTAGACTTGTATTAAAATCAATTGCCCTCGTAGTCAAGTGGTATAGTACCCACGTAATAGTAATAATCTCAACCCACGTAATAGTAGTAATCTCGCATTCAACCCAGTAAACTGACATGTCTTTCGCATTAGATAGATACTTGTAAATAGCCTCAAATAGTAAGAGGAACAAGGTATTAGTGTAATAGCTAGGCCTGTATTTTTTCTCTTTTTGCGACCGTACGTATACTCGTATGCGTGCAGCCGCAATTGAATTACAGGCTATACAAGCGGTTCAGGCATCTATTTCCAATTGATCTAGTGGATTATTTACAGTGGCTCTAGGGGATAATTTACAAGGCACTTATAGTGGACTGCTTACAAAGCTTATTTGATCTGCAAGGCTTAGATGCCTCGCACCAGGCTTATAGCCTATCACAGGGTTTTAAACCCAGCAGGGGTTGCCTGAAATATAAGGCCTGCGCAAGCCTTATAAGGTCGCTATATTTCCCGCTAAGGTACGAAAGATCCGTCCCTTTACAGTATTTGATTACTGACTATAGCCTATAATAGGGGGCTATATAATAGGGGGCTAAACGTCAGGTATTCTCATTCAGTTGGTGTTCCTAAGTTGCGGCCTTGAAGCTGCGAAAGGTTCTGGCCTGTAAGTAAACTCTCCTGGTATGAGTGCTCTTTGTCTTGCCCATCCATCAATACTGCCCCAGATGGCGCACGTTGACGCAGCTTCCAACCTTTGTTCCTTTCCATCTAACTGGTTTACTTCATCCACCCACTCGAACGTCGTAATCGCAGTATTAGGATGACACATAATTGCCTGGCGCAAGATATTGATACAGTGATCTGGAACCCGATTAGATAATGAACAGTCATAACAATAATGAATTAAACAATCGGGTATAGGAACCTGAATGCCCCTTGCCAAATGCCTCGGGATGGGTATAGTTAGCCCATCTGGACTCGTAATAGTCCCAATGTATAATCATTCGTAGGTTATTAAGGCAGTGTAGATGATGGTAAACTCCGATGGACCCTAAATAGTCCCCACGGTTCACCTGGACCCGATTCGTGGTATTCTTGCCGAGGAGGTTCATCTCATCACCAGTGACCCTCACATCGATGGCTTAAACCAAAAGTTAGTGTGGCGACCAATAGTTCAGAGAGTCGAACAAACCATATATTAGATCGTCCCATGCTGCGTCAAGCTCATCAGACGGCTCAAGGTTCCAAGGGAACGATGGTGGATACCATTCGAGCCTCTCCTCAAACTTCAAGCTATTACCCAGTGCACCTAATATGATGTGTTAGCACACTTCGAACAATTCTGCAGGGCGGAGAGGCCGAACTGAAATCTTCAAGTAGTTGCCCTGATGCCTGATGACAAATGTTTCTTGATACATTGACGGTCAAAAAGATAGCAATATAGAAGAGTAGAATTAACATCAATATGGAAAGGACCCTAGCCTCATGACACACATGTGTGGACTTGCGTTCTATAATAGGTCCATCGGGAGGCTCGCCAAATGAGCTGGCAGAGTTCTCCTTGCCACACTCACAAAGCAAGGGATGATGAGATTCTCTTGAATTCTTCTCCATACTTCCAAAATTAGGCCTATCCAGAAGATAGCTCTGAAGAAGATATGCTGGGTAGTATGAAGTTGGAAAAATGAAATAGAAGGACGATGGGACTTAGACAAGCACTCGTCGATTCTAGTTGCCCCTCTTTCTTGAGGATGCATAACCGGCATGGAAATGAGTGGTATGACAAAAGGATTGTATGATTCGTTGCGTAGGCTTGGGCAATATACGTGAAGGATCCGACAACATGAAGTCCATTTGGGAATAAAATAAGCAGACGAGGAAGGTGTCACACAATATCATTTATCGAGGTACTTCCCTCCGGGATCATTCCATCGAATTATAATGGATTAAGAGGTTGTTATACCTACCTACATACCTCCTACTTTGTGAAACACTGGTTGCTGAGGAGGAGTGTCTAAGACATGAAGTAGTGTATAACTGACTAGATGAAAATTCATGGCTAGAAGATGAAGGGCATAGGATCAATCCAATACGGATAGCTTTAACATATCACATACAACCGGTTACTGGGGGAGGGTTCTGGGTATAAAGTCGAAGATATCTACCTCTCTCTGGAAAAGTATCGCACTTTCTCCCGTAAACCACGTTTATACAGAAATATCGATACAGACAATCACCATAAAAAACATCACTCATATCATCATGCTTTACAGAAACCTCGTTCTCGCCCTTGCAGGGTTTACAGGTGTTGTGTCGTCTATTCCTCTAGGTATTTGGGACTTTGATAAATCCACCATCTCCTACCAGTGCCTACTAACACACCAACTAAGGGACTCGAGACCTCGATCAGTCGCAGCCTGTTGTCCGCATGAGAGTCCCGACAACTGGTGGCATTAATAGGGGGTTTCAACCCCGCGGCCCGCCAGCTATCGCCGCTGGGGCAGAAATCGTGGACGAGGCGGATGAGGCAGATTAAAATAACTGGAAAGCAATCTGGAGGCATTTGGAGACAAGTTATTCTATTATGTACTGGTATCTAGTATCTCAAGATACCTACCACTTTAGCAACTCCTAGCAATCAACGTCCAGTAAGGCTCATATGCAATTCAATGCCGACTAATTTACCAACCTTGTTTATTTTATTTGCCCCAAATAAAACAAAAATGAAAGGGTATAATGTAAACTTTGTCACGAGGTAGAACCAAACAGCATGGAAACAACTTCGTTGCTCCGCGAGGAACTCTAACTTATCTGGCGAGCCTACAGCTCGTATATACATACATGTTCTTTGTCCTAGATGTCTCATCTAGAATCCTGACAAACTTGACCATGTCGCCCCCTGCCCTCACCGGCTCCCTTCTGGACTGTGAAATTGCTCCTTGCTCATGTATCGGTACTTTATCATCGAAATAGTGGCTTAACAACGAGACATGATGCAGTTGTTGGAGGTGTCTCAGCCTATCTTATTCTCGGGCAACTCGACAGCCTACCTTATGTCTTAACAGTCCTATACCCCCACTCATGTATAATCCTTCGGGATATCCTACCTATCAATAATTAGCCTGGAAATTTTACTACATACGGACCTCAAGCCTCTTTACGTAGGACTCTTTTCGTGTTACGCCGGATAGTGTCCAGTCGGCCTTGCAAATGGCCGCATAAAGGTCGTGTTTCGAGCAATGCACAGCCCTCGGTCAATAAGTAATATCAGCCTTACTTTTTAATACTCAACAGTAGCTTCTCGATATTATGGAATTTAGTTAAAGTAGATAAGGTAGGCTGCGTTGCGGATTTCTCAAGGCAGCAGTAACATGCCGAGAGGATCGACCAGCCTGATACCTCAACTATAGGTACCTATCTCCCGACGAGATCAGGAACTTTGCCCTGTCCGCCTCCCTACAGCCTTACACAGCGTCAGAAAGGGAGGACGAAATATCGAAAATACTACCAATTACATATGTCCCATGACACTTATAAGCCGTGGTGGTGGGCGGCTAATAGAATCTCACAAATAATACTAGGACGCCTCTAGACCACAGCGTTACAAAACACTTGTGGTTGTAATCTGAACTAACTCGAGTCTGACCGGCGAAAACTATCAGCTTATGCTCCTTATCATATATATCATCGAGATGCTAGTCGGCTTTCGTCGCTCGTCAGCCCAAGAGGCTCCGCGGTCGTCCGAAGGTATTGTAGTGGACGAGCAGAATTTAAATCCGATCATCCAAACAATTACATGGCTCTTACTTGCGATATCCTCCTTAACAATTTGCTTTCGGCTTCTGACCAAGTTTTACATTAAGGTTAGACAGCCATTGGTGCTTGATGACATTTTATTACTTGCTGCTTATGTGAGTTACCGCTGCTCATCATTAACGACCGAGTCTGACTACCTATGTAGCTTATTTCTCTTGGGGAGTCGGTAACCCTCCTAGTGCCAGATAGTCAAGTATTTGGCAAAGATATATCTCTTATATCGGATCAACAGCTATATAATGGGATTAAGGCAATAATAGCCCAACCCTTCTTCAAATTTCAAATTCCAAGCTAATGCCGCGATTCTAGACAGGATACGCTAGAGACCTCCTATTCGTACTCTCTCTGGGGCTTTCTAAACTCTCGGTTTGTGAGAGCCTGCGTTCGTTGACTCCAGACAATATTCATCATCGAGTGGTAAATGTGTTAAGCGCCTGTATTATAACTTGGACGCTTACAGCCCTGCTTGGGATTGCATTCCAGTGCGGTGCTCATGGTCCATGGAATAATGTTGGAGCAAAATGCATAAATCAGGTAAGTCCAGTTCTTCTTATACCTATACCAAAGCTCTCCTAGTCTGAAGAACTAACTCTATATTTCCAGGATGCATTTTTGAAATATGTTTATATCGCTGACATCTTGAGTGATGCTGCATTGGTGGCCTTTCCAATAGCCATTATATATCCGTTAAAGATGGCATTCATATTGCGCCTCAAAATCCAGTCTTTCTTTTCTTTTAGAATATCGTAAGTATCCACCCACTATACAAAATCATATCTGAGCTTCTATTGTTAATATGACCATAGCACCATCACTGCCACCATCTGTCAACTAGTCTATTTACAACAGCTCTCAGGAGATAACTTTACCTTAAACGCTTTTCCTTATTTCATCTCTATGCAAGTATCTATCTCCACTAGCATCCTCGCTACCTCAATCGTATATTTCTGGCCTCTGCTGGACTCGGTGCAAAGTGGGCTTCTCTCAGCCAACACCTCGGCATTAACTTCCCATTACCCACTGACAAGAATCACCAAGACCAATAATAGCAAAGTCCAATCCACCACACCAGAACTAAGCCCTCGCTACGGAAGCAGAAATGACTATATAGAAATAGGGAGTGTAACCACTGTGACACGAAGTCAGCAGTCAAGCAGGTAAAGGCGTGATCTTAGGCATGACCCAGACTTAGGAATCTCATAGACCGCAAGGACCTAATGCTTCATAGCTCGATTCTACCATTTGGGATTGGCCCACGGCCAGTACCGATATGGGGCATGTATGTTTTACTTAGGGCAATAAAGAACTATACACTTACAATTAGAGGGGGAGGGGGGTACTTAAAGAAAATATTTCAGGACATTATGACCCAGTAATTTCAAAGTGACGGTAAAAAATTAAAAGAGGCCAAGTTAATAACTTAAAATGCTGCGAAATATGTACCTATACATAACATCCCAATCAACCGAAGATTATAATGTGCTAGGAGGCACCTATAGTTATACTTACTGGAACTAATGCTTTTCAAGATCTTTGCATACGACGTCTTGTTAACCTATTCAACCCCATAGTTATACCGAACCACCAACACCCTAGATGGATTCCAGTTATGCTATTTATCCCTAGATGTATATTAAAAGGTGTGCATATAGGCGATAAATACGCCCCTTGGAAATTTATATTAGCAAAGCTGCATAAACTACCTAGATATCCCCTATCACTTTCTCATTCAGTCCACCCTCTAGGCCTGACTTCCAATCCAAACCCTATCCTTCAGCCTGTGGTAGGCCGAAATCTCGACAGTACCGATCTAACTCCGCAACCGCTTTATCAACACCAACTACTTTGACCGCTTCGTACTTAAGGTCCAACTCGGCGATTCCGGCATCGTCATGTGCGTCTACATTGCCGTCCCAGTCGAAACGCAGAAGCTTCACAGCGCCGTTGGTCTCGAAGTCGGGCTTGTCGGCTACAATGGCCAGCTGCCTGTGAGCCTCCGGATGCGACTTGCAGAACCAGGGAAACAGGCGAGTGACTTCGGATAACCCGCCGGCAGCGGAGTAGTTCCCGCCTAGGATCACGCGCCTGTGCTCCGCGGGCGTGCTATAATAGTCGGGCTGGAGCTTTTCCGGGAGATCTAATGCTACGGTCTTTTGTCAGTTACGTACCTTACCTACCTAGGTATGTTACTCATCTCGAATTGTTTGTTGGTGGGCAACTTACCGTTCTCGACTAGACTGAAGCAAGCGTATTGGAACCGGGGCGGCGCAGCATCCGGCTGCTTAGGCTGGTTCGACTCCTGCGTCCACGACATGGCTTTTTCGCCCCATTCGTCCGCTTCTTCCTCCTTGAGGTCCTCCCAAGCCACGTTGCCAATGTCGAGGTTCAAGCCCCAGCTCGCGGCCCAGTCCACGCTGCACCGGGCCTTGTCGACGCGGTCCTGCTCTCCGTCTTGGCCCGTGTGGAGGTGCACCACCAGCACGCCGTTTTCCTTGTAGTCAGCATCGACGGCTACGATGAAGTAAAGGGGGTGGATTGAGTGGTCCTGGTCGCGGAGCTGGATGTGGTAGTCGTAGATGTCGCGAAGTGGGCGGTTGGCGAAGTCGTATTTGGGAGCTAGTTTACAAGTTCCGGGGTCGATCTCTGAGGCTTCGTTTAATCGGTTTACTAAGTTATCTAGAGTGGTCAAATCAAGGGGGAGGATTGAGTAGACAGCTTGCGCATAGCTTCCTCCCGCAGTGGCACGATGTCGGTCGCTGTTTGGGGCTGTCTTTGGTAAAGAGAGATCTTGATTGAGAGCCATACTAGTTATGGTCGCACTAGGAACGCAAAATATGACACGGACGTGGTTAGGAGTTGAACCGATTAAGTCGTTGATATTGAAGTATTGAAGGTCGATGATGCGATGTTAAACTCTGGCTTAACTTGGTGGTTGCAATAGACCAACAATAAACCCCGTGGGGTTTCTTTATAAATCTGGTTCCAAAACATAAATCCAGATATGTTTACACATGTCCCCCGTGGACTTTTACGTACTACGTTACTCGCCATGGAATTGGGCCATTTTAAGTAGGTATACTTAGTTCCTAGAGGTATGTTGTGCAAATGGCGATAGTTGATATAGTAAAAAGGATGCACATAAACCAAGACTACCTAAGGTATAGGCCATCAGGTTTAACATGACACAGCTTTTCAACCCTATACATATATTTATGTTTTAGTCTACGCCTTGTACATGAGGCTTCAAGCTTCACTACATAGTTCCAAGGTTAGTGTTAGACTTCGAAGTATTGCAATGTGTAACCCGCCGCAGAATACAGCAGTGGCGGTAACCTGCTAACACAAGATATGTATGTACAACTATGATCGGTGAAGATAACTCGTGGGTCGAGGAATAGTGTAACGTATAGTGTGACTCTGACTTAAAGTCTAGAACATCCTCGATTTTCGAAGGCACCACCGAATGTCGAAGGCTCAGCAGTGTACACCTCGGCCCAACATCGTACACAGAGCTTACATGAGGGATTAAGAAAATCGCTCATCTGAATTAATCTCTATGATACCTACTTGTTATACAATATGATCCTTCGTATTTGTACACAACTAAACAGAGCTGTTCGCTTCAAAAGTCTCTGGATCCGTCTAAGCATAGGTTGGGTACCTACCTCAGTTATTACAATACCAAGTTTCTCGTCTATAGCTCTGAGTGCCTGGAAACTTAGCATACGCAAATTATCATTCAGTAGCAGTAATACTCCTTGCAAAATATTAGAGTATCTATTCCTAGAACTTGCCTGCTTGTAAGTACGTTTTGTGTGTCTCAGTACCTACACCTAGCGTAAGAATCGTACGAGCCTCTTGACCATTATACTTCCATTAGTAAATAGCATCGACGCTCTATCGAGATGTAATTGGAATAACTTAACGAGGATCTAAGACAATATCATCGAAAACCTGATATTGCCCTTCGCTACCATACCTTGTATACCCCCAACCGAGCGGTCGACTTGTGTATCTCATCCTTTGCAGTAAGAGACATATTAGGTACGATTCAACGAGTGACAAACATGTATGGATCGTTAGGCCCATAGTGTGCTTGATACTAGAGCTATAGATATGAGCGTCTGGTAAAAATATAAAAGATGTTTAGATGAACCAAGACTGAAGAACCGAAAACAAGCATCGACAGGTCAAACATAGTCCTCTATATCTTAGCCCCTTTCCACATTATACAATACAGATAAGATGCGCTCTATAATCGTGCTTGGCCTTATGGTCGTATTGTCCCGCGCCGCACTCCCTATGTCATTTGACTGCTCTGACAATATGCAAGGTATGTGAAAGCCAGACATCTGGCTTGATCGAGTTCATATCTTGTGGTTTTACCGTCTGTATAGACCTATATATCAGTGCCTAACTCTTATTATAACTATCCTCATAGACGTCTGTGATAATATGTGCTGGGGCGCATATTGCACACATCCGGCCTTTGGCACCAAGCTAGAATACGACAATTATGGCGGCACGGGAGATCGTGAGGGTAGCGTTGGCAAGCGGCGCACCAACTCGGCCGGATGCACGCCTAGGCCTAACAGATGCAGCGTGTGTCGAGATAATCATCCCAAAATGATACCGAGTTGCTAGTAGTACTGACCATATATATACATGATAGCCCGAGGCTGGGAAAAATTGTGACGAATACCCCTTTGCGAGCACAAGTGATGCCGATAAGGGCGGTCAAGTCACAAAATGCGTTGTTAGCGGCCACAACTCTCGTAAGTACCTAACCACCAGCAACTCGATACCAACTTGATTATGCCTACCTAGGGCTCACGCTCATACTACCTCTCTACTCTAGGGCAAGGCAACATCATCAAAAATTACGTTTCAGCCAACTGCAACAAACAGAAATGCAGCTTCACCATAGGATTCGGAGAACCGGACACCAAAGGCGTCAAGTACTGCACGGCCCGCAGCGATCCTTACAACAAGTGTATTCCCGACGGAACCATCTGGAAGAACGGCAAGAAGGATGTGCGTCCGCCCAAGTCCGCCTCGAGGCGTAGCACTGGTAATGATAATACGACGACGTCCTTGCCCGGAGGTCTGTATCTGATGAAGTCTGGGATGAAGGTCGCTTTTGGTATGTATAGAATAAGTATAGAACAAAAATTCATTTCGGCGCTTTGTAAAAGACTATTTGTTAATAGGCCTTGATATAATATAGGGGAGGATTTGGACATCGGTACTAAGACGAAGCGCGCGGCGCCGAGGAACGCTACGTTTGCGCGGAGAGCGCTGGAGGGCCTTGAGGATGAGGATGATGTCCATTGGGACTTTCACGATGATGAGATTGTAGCACGTCTTGAATAAAACGAATGCGGTAGGTAGGTTTAAGTGGTAGGTAAGATATTTTGGGGTGACCAATGGGGGTTTTCTTTTTTTCTTGTTTTATATAAAAATGGTACGGATCAAGGTAGACGCAAAACATACTGTCTCGCATTACCCCATAAAACCCAGGGGTTATCAATAAACGTCCTGACTAAATTAGATGTACGTCGATATGTGTTTGGGTAGGTAGCTATTAAGTATAAAATCCATCTGCATCCCGCCAGTTTTCCTTAGATTTCATCCCGCATCAATAGATACTAACAAGCTAAAAACAAACCACCAAGTCCCTTACCAATAAATTTTATATTGATTCTTTTCCTCTTGTATAAATGACTTTAAAGTTGGTACTTGGCTTAGGTATTAGACCTAGAGGTAAAACAATCATCGCTATTGGACTGCAGTGAGGTAGGAATCTTCGTAAGCTGTACGTTAAAAGGTATGAAAGTGACTTTATCATTCTTCAAGGAATTCCAAACTAAGCTGTAGAAGCCTATGACTATTAGATATGCTAAAAATATTTAGTCTAGATGCCTCACCTAAAATTCTAACACTAGGGTTTGATAACTAAGGTACTTACTACATATAACGAGTATAGATGATAGGCAGTCCAACTATTCAAGGTAAAGCAAAAAATAGAGCAAACAAGAGAAGCTGATAATCTACGTGGGCAATATCACAAATTCCAAACACCACAATTTACCGAAACCCTCACATAATCGTGATTTATATTAACAAGAGGCGAATCGGCGACCTAAAAGATCAAATGTGTCTTCGTCTCTGTCCCTATACCAGCTTAAATGCCAAGACAAGATAGGATCAACTCAAAAGCAAAAGCAAACCAACCCTTAACGCCTGACCATGATCGCAGCCACGTACATCATCCTCAGTTAAACATGAGGGAGAGGGGGTATTTTGTTCAGTCTAGAAAAACGATATCGAAAATCCCTTTGCCCTTTTTTCCATGCATGCAAAAAGTCTTGTGTGAGAATGCCGAAATTTCGTGAAACGCCAATTCCAGAGTGGGCTACCTAGGTACTATCCGTGTCGTGAGACGTGCCGTTTTTTCCATCAGAAAAGAAGACAAAAGAGATCTCCTGGAAGTTTTTTTCTTTTATCTATTTGTTTGTTCCATCTCCCTTTGAATTGGTGAGTATGGAAGTATTGAGAACCTCGCGGGACATATGTGTATATGAAGACATAGCGCACACAGTGCGCAAAATGTTGGCGAGTTGTATTAGTCGTGTAGTCGTGGAATCGTATATACCGCATGAGTCTATATTCATGAATCGTGATGACTTGTTTCCTATTCTCCTTTCATCAAACTCTGTATATCCGAAACGTGGGTATGAAAGTCGTTATATGCCTATAGGCAATTGGAAGGTTTGTACAAGAATCGTGTGAAATGCAATGTGTCCTATAACAGAGAGTAGTATATAGGACCAGGGGAGGCCCTTAGTTGTTGAGCAGGAGCGGTGCACAGAATAAGAACTCGAGAGATCGTGAATCCGTTGGCTGGAAGTTGTTCTGATCGCGACGCGCCTCCAGGTAAGCAGTGGTGACATTGAGATTGTGGAAATAGTTCTGTACCATCGGGTCGTTCTCATTGGCCACAATGGGCAACTCAGGGCCCATGGCCATGGTCTTCGGAAGGATATGCCGGATAACTAGTAGCATTTTAAGCAGCTCAGTCAACTCCTGTCCCTGATTCGTGAAGCTGCTGGGTGGCTTCTCCAACGGCCACTTCGGCCGAAGGTTCTCCTCATCCCATGCCTTAAAGGCCCAGGTAGTCTTCTCCATGCAGTTGAGGAAGAGCATAACAGTCAAGAACATGGGAAAGCCAAGTTTAGCTTTGCCGTCTTGCAAATGCTTCTGGATACCATTCAGTAGGACTTTGCTAGCGGCGGATGCCTTTCGCTCAGCTGCTGCGGTGAGCTGCATGCAAATATTGGTATAAGCTTCGCAGTCAGAATCATCCTTGATCAAATAGTCCTTGATGTCCTCCTCAGGAGGCTTTGCTAACATTGTCCATTGGCGTTCTCGGTCCATCATCTCAACAATTCCCCATAGTTCCAGAGATCTTTTGAGCAGTTCGTCATTGGTATCGTTTGCGACCATGATAGCCACATCCAAGGTGACTCGCACGTAATGAGACGGCTCACGGCGGATGAACTCGTGAAGAGTTTCACGCATATAGGCCTCAACCTTTCCCGGTATGTCCTCGTTGCTGTCGAGTAATATCACCGGGCTAGGGCTATCGTCGCTGGGAAACCCGTTGTCCTTCTCCTTGGGAGTTCCTTGTAAAACTTGGAAGACAGCCTTATGTCCTGTCTCGGGGAAATGTGAGACTTCTAGTGTAAGCCCAGCATTCTGCAGGTTATGGCTTGATTTATAGCCATTGATCCGCTTTTGGGTCATAACGACCTGTACCCCGGCTGAGTACAGGTTAATATGCTCCGAGAGCTTGGTTCGCACACATCCGGTGCGCCAAATTCGAGGTGCAAGAACTTTCTTACAGGCATTGCACGGTGTACCCTTCGAGCACGTCTTGCGCAAGATGCGACAGCGAATGCATGCTCCAATGCGACGAATCTCCTGAACCTCCTTTCGGCGACCAGAATCGAACCGCGCCCGGCTATGGCGGTGACGGGCTCCATGAATAGTATTGCTTGTATCCATGCGAAAGCCACCCCTATTCAGAGTTGCTGCCAAGTGCTGACCATGATCATTGACTGTTGCAGGGGCGTGAATATCCTCTGACATATATGTCATACCGTCCCAAGGAGTGGCCGATCCATTTGTATTCGGCTGTTCGTGCTGTCTCTCCGGCGAAGGGGGGTAGTCAATCAACATCTCGGTAGACTGGGTGTGGGTAGGCGTTTCGGGAATAGCTTCATCGGTCAATAGCTGTGGGTCTAACAAAGATGGATTGAGACGGGCTGTTGCTGCTACGGCTACCGACAATGCGGAATGAGTAGCCAATATCGCCCTCTCTTCTGTCATTTCTCCCTGTTTCCCTTTCTCTTCTCTCTCTGCTCCCTCTGCTCTCTTTGCTCTCTCTGCTCTCTCTGCTTTTGCTTTTTCTCTCTGTTCGAATGCTACTCTGAGCGTGTCTTCTGCGGTGAGGAGCTTGTGCGATACATAAATATCTAAAGATTATTTGTTAATATACATCCTTATCGCTATAACTCGACCTGAGGCCATACCCTTAATATCTGAATCTGAATGGTTGTCCACATTGGTCGGCGGGCTCTCTAGAGTGAACTGCTCGTGGAGCTCAAGAGAATTGGTTGTAGCTGCGACAGGCACGATAGCGTCAGCCAAGGTTGTTTGAACAGCTTCAGCTGTAGGGTCTTGCGTGGTCGGGACATGATCGTCGTGCTTCTCATTGGCCTCGATCTGACGAGAGACTTCAGCAAGGGTCTCTAGGGGTGTCCAGATCTGATTCTGGGATTGCTCGAGCGAGGCCACAGAGGAGCCGGGAAGATGGCCGGGAAAGGGGCCATGATTAGGACCGGTGTGCAAAAGGCCTTCGAATCTTGACTTGTTTGAACTATTGTTAAAGCCATGCAGGGTAAGACACGCGTGAGCTCTCTCGGCTTGACTGATCGCCGGGCACTTTTTTGTTAAATGATTCGTAAGGCTGTCAATGCGACCCTTAGGGAAATGCTCGCCGCAATTTTTGCAGGTATGATGGTATCGATTGCTATTGTCATTCAATTTGGCGCCGCGCTCGAAGAACTCGAGGATTATAGGATTGGGCTTGCGGCCCATTTTGTTTGATTGACAATGTCGTCACTTCAGGTTCGAGTAGATGGCAGAATTATGCGGTGAGTCCAAAAAGATTTGATTATGGAAAATTGATCGGCCCGACAGTTTGGAAGTGGGAGTTTTAGGAGGATGAATAAATGGTGGGGATTTTAAATTGATGGGATGTTCCCAGTTCGAACTCGCCGCCCCACTTAGGCAGGTACAATACATAAGGTCTAAGGTTAGAATTAAGCAAGTGCCGTGGGGTTGCAAAGAAGGCACGATACATATCGGAATGTACGTATTATGTAGATTGGGAAGTTACCCCGCGGTCACACCTGAACATGAACATATAAAATTTGCAGGTACTGATAATACCTTAGAGGTACCTAACATATATATATATCTGAGGTAGTCGCTTCCACTAAGAGTTGCTAAAAGTATTGCACTTAAGCTTAGCTTAAGGCAGATACCTTCTGTCCTCGAAGGCTCTTCCATTGTGAAGTACGCGGACCCCTATTATCTCTAGGCATCAAGAGAGTTTGAATATTATATACTAAACTTGCTTCTTAACGGCTCAGCATGTGTCAATGGCACAATGCAAATCAACTCTTATATATATTTCATTAGGACTGCCACAATTTTTTCAACCAATCTGTGGAACTGGTCTTGTATTGCAAGTGCGTTGTTGAATCTAGAAAGACTACGGGACCACGTCGGTTTATATAATCGGCCCTATGGGCCCTAGGGGCCTCGTTTTTTCCCTTGATGCTATTACCGTGACTTACGATCGTGACGTGAACCACCTGCCAACACAATCAGATAACTATTTAGAATTACCCTGCAGTTGGCGACTTTTTCCTTTACTATTCTATCGCATAACGTTTGCAAAAGGTGCAAAATAGTATAAAAATATTATATAAAACAAGCTCTATCTGACAATATTAATTATTAAAATTTTTATATGCTATTAAAATAGGTTAATTGATTGTATAAAAAATTCATCGGGCGTGTGTTGGTGTGTGGTTAGCCAATCAGAGGCCAGATCTATTTGTGGCATGAGTTTTGCGCATGATGCCTTTCTCCCGTACGCGCTTACCAAAGATGCATTTCGTCTAGTATTTTATAGCAAGTTCACAATTCTATAAGCTAGCATTTGGGATATCGGCTTGTGCAGACTCTATGCACCTGGACGATATAGTCACCTTGATTGGCAGATTATTATTGTCTTGCTAGTCAATAAGAGCCTCTTCGCATATAGCAAGCTACTGCACCATGTTCAATGCAATACTACTACATTAAATTGCAAGGGATACCTACCACTTTTAAATTTACATTAAGGAACCGGAAGTTTGGACAACACGATCCTTCGGGTGACGAGACCGGACGAGACCGGACGAGACCGGACGAGACTAAGGCGTCAAACAAAACGTTCAGATTACAAGGTCAACAGAAATAGGAAACTAGAAACTGGCATAAACCTATGCTATCAAGTACAACAAGCTGCCGTATTGAAATAACAGCCCTATGCTCAGGTGCCAAGCCTAGTTGTATTTCAACAAGGTTTTCCAAGGCGGCAAGGTTGCGATCTTCGCTGCGCCTCGTCAAAGCTGCTCCACCCCTTTCATAATAATACCTAATACAAACGAGACAGTCTGACAGATACAGGGTTCTCCATAAACCTGGTAAACCCGGTTCAACATTATAGCTGCAGCAGTTATCTCCTACTCAGCAGAAATGTACAGCCTAGTCAAACTAATCAAGCTTGGTCCGCTAGGATTCCAGGAACCGTGGTTTGGTTGCCCCGTTCCATTATGTCCAAAATTAGGTAGGTAGCTCCTACATAGTGTAGGATCTACATAGTATGTCATAAGGAGCCATAATAGGAACGTTACGCTGTCTAGGTACCGTAGCTGCTTTATTATTCGTTCATTCTATTCGTACTCTTCGTATGGAGTACTATACATTCTTTACAGTCTCTCTCTTGAATTACTTGCGTAGTCCTCAGTTCTACCCAGGGACTATTCTAGTATGTTGGTTTCCGGATGTTGAGATATTTATTCGTATCGATATTAGACTTCGTCGATCAATTTCAACGTCCAGGTCGACCCGACAAAATGCGCGTTCCCGCTGGCATAGCGCTAGGCTTAACGCTCGCTCAAGCTAAAAAGTTCCAAGTTCAAGAACTGAGTCAGTTTGTATTACCATTTGTACGTAACCCGAATCAGTACGCATTCCGAGCGCGTCCCCGAACTAACAATTCCGACTAAAGACCGGCTCCGTGAATGGAGGCAACACTTTTCCCGGCGTTAGCTTACCGTTCGGGATGGTAAAGCTAGGCCCCGATCTATACACCGGATCCGATAGCTATTCGGGATACCAGTCCAATGGAAATTTCACCGGTTTTAGTTTATTACACGAGAGCGGCACGGGCGGCGCGCCTAAATACGGAGTCGTTAGCCAGTTACCGGTTGTGGGCTCAATCGACAACCCATTGACCGATCAGGGCATCAGCCGAAGCAATGCAGATGATGCGAGACTCGGCTATTATAAGTCAAGCCTATCAAATGGCATAACCGTGGAACTAGGAGCAACCGGCAAAGCAGGCCTGTTCCAATACCAATTCCCGGACAACGCAGACGGTACAAATGTCATTGTCGATGTTTCTCATGTCCTTCCATCCTTTAGGGGTCAAGGTTTAGGCCAAAACTATCTGGGCGGCAACATTTCGGTATCCAAGACGGATGACGGTGTCCATTACCAAGGATCTGGTTCTTATGATAATGTATGTTGATCGAAGCCGATTGGACGACACCGATTTAAATTAACTTCCCCTAGGGTTGGAACCGGGCCCCGAAGTGGACTGTTCATTTCTGTGGCTATTTTGATCAGCCAGCAACTTTCAAGACGTTCTTGGGTAAGGACTCAACAGGTGACGAGCTGGTAGACTACAGCGATGCTTCCGAGCAAGACTCTGATGCCCGATTGGGCGCCGTCTTCACCTTTGACAGCGCGAATGTCACCTCAAGGGTAGGAGTATCGTTTATTTCACCTGAGCAGGCTTGTGAAAACGTCAACAGAGAGATTCCCGTCGGGACATCTCGAGAAACCTTAGAAGACAACGTTAAGGCAGCTTGGAATAGCCAAATTTTATCCAAGGTTACCACAACAGATGTCTCTAATACAACCAGACTTCAACTTCTTTACTCGTCTCTGTATCACATGTCCATCATTCCCAGCAACAAGACAGGAGAGAATCCGCTTTGGTCATCGAGCGAGCCTTACTATGATGACATCTTCACTTTCTGGGACACAGTAGGTTGCACTCTCTAAATCGTCGGCATCTAGAATCTAACTAATCGCAGTTCCGATGTGCAACCTCTCTCCTGCATATCCTGCAGCCTGTGGCATACGAGGAATTCATCCGTTCTCTAGTTGATATATGGAGACATGACGGCTTTTTACCTGACGCGCGATCCTCGTTCTTCAACGGTGCAACTCAAGGAGGTTCCAATGCAGACAACGTTCTTGCAGACGCATACGTAAAAGGGGTTCGTGGTGCTATCAACTGGGACGATGCATTTTCTGCTATGGTCACAGATGCCGAGACGGTGCCGCCGAACAACAACGATCCTAGAGACACAACTGCCTCTACCAAGGAAGGGCGAGGTGCTCTGCCCGATTGGATAGATCGTGGATACATTACCACAAAGTACAAGCGCTCCGTCAGCCGAGCCATCGAATAGTGGGCAATGCCTCAATCCTATGTATCAGTAAGAAATTAGACTGACCATCCATAGTGCCGGAAACGACTTCGGTCTATACCAAGTAGCCAAGGGCCTAGGAAAGGACGAAGAGGCGCAGAAATACCTCAACCGCTCTCGCAACTGGCGCAACCAATGGAATCCAGACCTAGAAGCATTAGGATTCAAGGGCTTCCTCGGCCCGATCGACGAGGACGGCAACTTCAAGGACCAGGACCCGCTCAGCTGCGGCGGATGCTACTGGGGCGACGACTACTACGAGGCGCTGCCTATCGAGTACTCGTTCAACGCGCACCACGATATCAACAAGTTGATCGAGCTGTCAGGTGGTAAGGATGAGTTCACCGCGCGTCTAGAGAAATTCTTTGAGGGTGGTGTCAGCTCCGGTAACTCGCAGTTCAATTACACGCTTTTCAACCCAGGGAACGAGCCTAGCTTCACATCGCCATACTTGTTCAATTACGTCGGCCGTCAGGACCTCAGCGTCAAGCACAGCCGCTACGTCGCCGATAGCTACTATGCACCGACGCCCGGCGGACTTCCAGGGAACTCGGATGCGGGCGCTATGGAGTCGTGGCTATTATGGTCCATTATTGGTTTGTACCCCATGACCGGTCAGACTACCTTCCTCATCGGATCTCCGTGGTTCAAGGACTTAACTATCGATCTCGGAGGCGGGAATAAGCTGCAGATTAACACGGAAGGAGGTGACGCCCAGTCTTACTACGTCCAGTCGCTCAAGGTCAATGGCAAGAGCTGGGATAAGGCGTGGGTTGCGTGGGAGGATGTTTTTGCGAATGGCGGTACGCTGGACTTTGTGTTGGGATCGGAGCCGGCTGATTGGGCGACTGGAGATGCGCCGCCGAGTCCGGCTACGGAGTCGTAGCGGTTGTCGATGATCAATGTGAAGAGGTTAGAGGGCCGATGGGTTTAAAGTGTATCTAGCTACGAGAAGTGAGGAATTTGATTCTTGTATATATACGGGAAATTGGTGTGTATATACTTCACATGTCAGCCAGAGCTTAGAGCTAAATGCTTTGATGCCGTGTTTCAACTACCGAGTCTAATATTGCCGCTTGGCACTACAGCTCCTTCGAATTGGGTTATGCTTTGTGATAAGTTCGAATGTGAGGCACTGGTTGGAAGTTAACTGCTGCATACGTAATATTTATAGAAGCGCTATCTAAAGCCAGCTAGGTTACCTGTTACGGGGGAATTATATAAGGCTCTATCGTCAAAAAAAAGAAAAAGAAAAAGAAAAGAAAAGAAAGATAACCATCTTGGGAATTCCAGATGGTGGTTCTAGTTTTTTTGTACATATTGCTAGGAATATCAGCCCCTAAACTAGGTAGGTATTTTCATATATACCTCTCTGGGGGTCTTATCCCGTCTCTACTGTTTATACCACAAAGCCTGTTTACATATCCTTGGAGTTGGTGTGCGGTATCCTCTTTAGAGCCATAAGATTTATCGGCGGCTTTCTAAATTGTACCTAGTGTCCGTAACTAATTCGTCAAGTTCCTGGGTGCTCTGTCTTCCTTCAACGAGACCAGCTCCCTTAAAAACGGGTTCTTGGTAATCTCGTGAGTGGCTACGGATACAGAACTACAGATTCGTGGGATAGGACTTGGCGTCAACTAGGTACTTAACTTAATGAATGGAAATAAAAGCTTCTCGGTGGCTTAACTGTACTTATGCCTTTATAAATCTCTTGGTATAATATGCAATAATTACAACTGTTACGACAGAATAGTAGAGCGTGCTGGAAGTATCCCGCTTGTACTAACTATACGACGACGTAAAAGTTGAACCGATGAAAGACGGCGCTTACGGGCCCAAGCCTTTCGTCCTCAACCAATTATCTCATGAGACACCGCGTTATTTTATTACGATAAGGCAGGTTTATTTGGTCTCGTGGAACGACTACACGCCAGCCGCATCGAATAAAAACTGACCCATCATAAATGTATACGCCAATGATTGGCTGTACTCGGACACCTGCAGCACAGCCGCGAGACACTCTACAAACGGCGACCAACCCTACCTACTTCTACTTCTCACGCACCCCACCACCACAACTAAGATACTCTGTAAACTTCAAGCACCAGACAACGCGATCAGAATAACTATCTTATTACTAGATACCCCCTCCATATGTCCAAGCCAACCCCAATGGACGACGCGTGGACGACAAGATCCCAAAGCGACACAAGCTCGCTCAGCGGCACAACCAGCGTCTACACGCCCACCCACACAACAGCACCCCCAAACCTTGCCGCCCTCCCCGCACCCTTCTCCACAGATGGGGGTATCGGGTCCGCGCCCGAAGCAGGCGGGACATACATGATCCGGCACGTAGACACGGGCCGAGCAATCACCCTTTGCAGCGGAGAACTACTCGTACGAGCCGACGCCGGCACGGACGGGGGCTGGCGATGGCACTGCAGCGAGAGCGAGGACGGTTGGTTGTCTTTCCGGGAAACGGTGTCGGGGGCCTATCTAGGACGAGACGGCCGTGGCGGATTTTGGGCGAAGGTGCTGGTTCCGAAGGGTTGGGAGCGCTTGCTTATCCGGCCGCGGGAGGATGGAGGGTGTAATATCTTTGCGATTGATTGGTGGACGTTAATGGCGTTGACCACGAACGACACGGATGGCAAGTTATTCGAAACTAATACGGTGACGAAGGCTTCGCGGTGGGAGTTTGTGCGGGTGTGAATTACGTGGCTGATATCTATTATCCCCCTTCAGCTTTACTAGTAGATCGTACCACTTAATCTTTACATCTTTGGTACCTTTCAAGCCAAGCTGTTTTCAGATTGGGAAATAGATAGAAGATAGGTAGAGAAAGTGCTCGACTGGCCAGAATGATAATATTGAAACTCATTTTAATGGTGTAATATGCTCACCGTATACCTACCGATATAAAACAGCCGTGTGTGAACTCCAGGGTATCTAATAACGGCGCAAAAATGTACTATACAAATCACAAACGGTCGCTACCCCAAACATTCCGGAACTCATCCTCGTTTCCGGGGCTGAATACTGGACTGGTTGCATCATGCTCCGCCCCATCATTACCCCATTGGTTGCTTTCCTGTCCTTCGGGGGTTACTTCGTCAGGTGTTGGTTCCCCTACTTTGAACGTTAGATCTTCCTCCTCGGCTTCCTCTTCTAAAATTTGAGGTTCGGATGTTGATAATACGGGGGCACCGAGCGGGCCCTTCGACTGGGACTCCTCGGCAGCGACAGCCGTTGGTTTTGGGGGAGGCTTAGGCGCATGCTTAGTTTGTTTCTGCTTGCCTTTCTTTCTTTTGCTTGTTATAATCTCGGCGCTTGAGGCTGTGGTTGCTGGGGGCCTGTTGCTGAGGCTCTCGGATGAGGCAGATCGAGTTGCGTGCCAAGCTCCGGTACGCGATTGATACGCGTCTGAATGCCTCGAGAGCCAGCGATCTCTTGTTGGCACGTTTGCGGTGATGACAGGGTACTGAAATGATATAAGTAATGCGTCAATAAACATATTAATCGAACTTACATTCCAATCTCCAAACTCCAGCTCTCGGGCCCTGCTGTAGAGGTTCTCATCATCGGGGTCCAATGTAGATTCATCGATAGAGCCATGATTATACTTCGGTGCTGGATCGCCGCTCGGTCCTCCGTTGGAATTCAAGAGCGGCGTATTCGCACTCAGCTCCCCTCTAACTTCTCCGGGTTTAGGAATCCAGTACTTTGCCTCGCCTCCCCGTTTGTACCTCATCCCATCTTTTAATCTTGCAAATCGGGAGCTTGAATCTTCGTGTGCGATGACTTTTCCACTAGAATCAAATAGCCTGTAACTGTATTGATCTCCACTAAATGTCTGCTTGGAATCCTCAATAAGATCAAGAATACCAAAGGCATCTCTCGCAGCATATTTGACGGGTAATCTGGCGGACGAGAGTGTGTTATCGGCGTAATCATGCCAAGAGAAGGCATACCAATGCGCTACGGCGAACGCGGGCATCTCGCAACAGATTAAAGCATCTTGGATGGCAGCTGCTAGATTGTCCGGAGTATACCCCTGAACATCGTCCGGAATGGCCCCAAGCCAAACCAGGATGGAAAGGAAAAATCCCTGCCAGTAGGAAGCGAAGATGATGAGCTTGATGCACAAAAACTTGGGCACAGGTCGGAAGGGTACTAGGTCATTGTGCATGCAGACCCAAAATAGTCCAAGCGAGTACAGACTGACAGTAACACTAATGTTGTATATGATACCACTCCACAAGTAGCCTGAAGAAAGGCCGATATACCCCTCTTGATATATGCCTGTTGCTTTCATGATAATCGCTGCAAGAGCTAGGATGGGCTTAAGCCATGCATATTGGAGAATTCCTCGCTTTATAGCAAGGAATGTGTACGGGTCGGAAATATCGACTTTCGGGAAGAGGTGGTTTAATGGCCACAGGTGATGCACAGGGGCGCGGCCATGTGCCATTATTATGAGGGCTCGTTCGCCACCGAGGTAGTTGATTAGGAGTTGGAAGAACGTGTATATGGTAAAGGCCTTTTTGCTGGCAAGTTAGACCAGTGATCAGGACCTAGGAGTCCATAGATAGAGTCACATTCATACCTCGTATATATCCCTTATAGGATCTAGAAACGCTGCCGCGGTCAACGACACCATACTAACCCACGAGCTTATCGAATAGATAGGAACCCTGAACAAAATTAGAGGTGTACAATGTTATACTTGAATTGTCCTTACATCAATAATATCCGTACGACGTATCGCTGCAAGAGAGGCTTCCGGTAATTCTTTCTGTATACGCGTTTAACTTATTGTACAGTACGACTAGGAGAGTAGGATGGGCATACAATTGAAGCCATATCGAGCTGTTTTAGTAACATATCAGCATTACCGTCTTAACTAAAAGAGAGATAAGCAGACAGTTCAATCTTACACGATAGACATCAGGGTGGCTGCCAAAGAGAAGACACCAGCAATAACTGTCGTAGCAGTGGTGAACTTCTGGCCGGTACCGCCAGCCATATTGGCGGTTTGAGACCAACGCGTCACCGAAATGGGGCACTGCCTACTCAAAGGACAAGAATTTCGAAGTAGCACATGTTTGAAATTCGTGATGTTGTAAGCGGAGGTTTAATGATGAAAGTGGAGGGTTTTGGGAAATGTCATTTCGAAAGCATGCATCAATGACCCTAGCACTTTACCTGGCTGCCTGGGGGGGTATTTATGTACCTAGGTACCTCTCACCCGCTCAATTAATTCCATGCAACCCCGTGCTACTTAAACTGCCTGGAGCTACACTAGCCAGTAGCTCATGCAGCTTGTGTATAGTAGTACGTAGACGTACGTCTTATCGATAAGCACGGGTTAAACGGACTGACGGCTTCAGAGGTACATAGGTATTAAGTTCAGCGGGTCAATATATGGATCGACTTAAGTACCTAACTCATCTGCGGTTATCCTTGTCCGTCACGCGTCATGCAGCAAATCTAGCCCAGGTTTCAATGTTGTACCTATAATAGTACCTCCTCCAATTACACTACCTCTTACATCCATGTACATACCCGAATTCGATCAACCTTTCAACCAATTGATATTCGCAACCTCGCAACTTCGCTGCCGTCGCCCTGTTAAGTGTTAAGTACCCGAACGATATACTTGCCTACGCGTCTCTCAGGAGACGCTACAACTTAATCAATAATTACGATATGGGGCTCGATGTCTTCTAAAGTTAGGATAGTGGAGAGAACTTAGGTGTCGCAAATCGTAGGGGGTGCATTGGGGAGTTGGGGAGTTCTGGAGTTGACATGGCCAACACCGTGGGCTGGCGCGACTTTAAAGCGTATGTTTTTACCTGTCCATCTGGAGATGGAGTCTCCATGTAGAGATATCCCCTACTAACTAGGTGAAGTCAATTCTTAGCTTATATCATAGTCTGCGGTTTACTGTAAGTTATCTTAAACCGTATGCGATTCCCGCTTATTTATATACTCAACTCGTCTACAGTGCAATCTTCTTCCTACTATACTTTAATAGAGCCTTTGCCTCCATCGTCTCCTACTTTATCCGCACCTATACCTGGCATCGATACCGGATCTATATTGACATACAAGCGATACAATGGTCCCTGCTTGGTGGTCGTATCTTCTTTACCGGCCTTCGATACCATGGAAATAACGAGACTATCTTTATTCAGAATGGACATATCACCTGGTCATACTGGCTGCGCAGGGTACGCGATGTTGGGCTGGGTGATGGTAAAAAGAAAAAGGAGTCCGGGGACGGTAATATATCAGATACTAGGAAACAAGCGGAGCTCCCCTGCCGTGTCAATGTCGTCGTTTCTGGGATCGAGTGGTTCGTTTATAACCGTAGCGCCGCCTACGACTCCATGCTTGAAGCAATGTCTGTCCCTCCTCTGTCTAAGCACGGCGATACACTTGACAGAACCGAGGGCCTGGTGAATAGCCCGGCGAAGCCACGACAGCGGCTTCGCAAATCTCATGAGAAGTCTGAGCATCTCGAAGAAGCTGGGCAAGAGTATGTTGATGAGAAGGATGGGCTTGAGACCCGCCCCCGGAGGGCTTTCAAATCTACTTCTACCTCCGATGGTGACTTTGAGACGGCGGATAAGGGAGACTTACCTCAAATATTGCAATTACTCCCAATTCATTTTAGATGTGACAAGGCAGCCCTTGTTATGGGAAATGAGAATACTAAGGCCGTTCTTATTATAAAGTCTAAGGGCCTATCAGGAGAAGTTGATGCGAGCGATTGTCAGACTCCGGATCCCTATCGACAGCTTTTTAAGATACATTTTGACAATCCAGTACTTGAGATGAGGGAAAATGATGGGTTCAAGGAAGAGCAACTCGCTAGGGCTGTCAAGGACGAACAAGTCGCAAAAGCCACCAGTCCTGTACCCCCAAGAACATTTCTTCGGAGACAACGCCGCAAAGTAGTTGGACAATTGCGGAATATGGTTCCATATTGGCGGAAGTCGGTCGAATCCTTTTCGGCAAATTCTCAAGATGAAGATGGACCTAATGAAACCCGCATACCAGGCTCCAACCAATGGCAAGGGCTTTCCCGGTATCTCAGTGACGGCGATGATGATGATAGACTTCGATGGTCGTCAGTCGAGTATGCCAAGGTGAATCCGGTGGTTGACAGTCCTAAGGGAACGTTAACAATACTCTGGGATGTTCCCGGAAAAGTCACGCCACGTGGTACAGTGTATTCATCAAATGATGTATCCGATGATATCAATGGAACCGTCGCGCCGGCCTGGGCGATCAGCCTGTCTTTGAGCGGTGGCACAATAAATTACGGGCCGTGGGCAGACAGACAACGAGCTGAACTTCAGAAGGTATTTTTCCCGGGTTTATGCAAGGATGCAACTCCCGCTCAGAGGCTACCATTCGGCGCGGACCGTGTACCTACACGGTTTAATTTCTATTTGCAATTTGATGAAGAGGTTATATTACGAGTTCCTACCCGTGAAGACTCCAAGAATTGGAAGTGGAAAAACGAGGCTCTTACATTGAGGCAGCATCACAAGCAAGGCAATCGACGTGAAAGAGGCAGGAGTCAAAAGTCTACCGCAACTACAGCCGCAGAACAACGTCCGATCGGGTGGCTCGACATCAAGGTTGCGGCGAATGCTACCATCTCGTATGATATGGATATGCTAGCCAGGTCAACCGGATATACGAACACTCTGAAAATCGATCTTCCCGCAACCGAAGTCTCGACTAGCGTAAACCATGGGCTCTTATGGCGATCTGGGCGCCTGCAAATTTCCTGTGACTTGTCTACGCCCCTGAAATGGAATGGCCTCCGTACTTGGCGTTTTGACATAGAGGGTGACGGGCTCGAGCTTTTCATTCTGAGAGATCATATATTTCTGCTCGTTGATCTCATAGACGACTGGGGAAGCGGGCCACCGGCTGAATACCTTTTATTCACTCCTTTTAGATACCTCCTTAACTTGCGACTTCTCAACCTAAAGCTTTATCTCAACGTCAACGATGTGAACATCGTCAACGACCCAATCAACTTCGAGGAGAACACGTATCTAGTCCTATCCAGCCCCCGTCTGGTAGTAGACACTTCCATACCATTAGATAACTATCGTCCCACGAAAAATGCGATACCTTTTAAAGTCACGGCCGACCCTCTACGCCTCGGCTTGCACGTGCCACCATGGAATACTCAAGCGACGTTCTTAGCTTCAAAAGACATAGGACACCTTGAAAGCCTAACTATCCAAGGAAATTATAATTACAATGCAACGACTTCACCTGCAAATACTGACACGCTCGTCCTCGATGTCTCCGGCCAGTCCCTTACTGCCCGCATTTATGGCTTCCTTGTTCGTTATTTCTTACAAATGAAAGACAATTATTTTGGCGACAATATCCATTTCAAGACACTGGATGAGCACCAAGAAGCCTTACGGGCCAAAGGAGCTGAACCAGATGCTCAGCCTGAGGATCGTCCTCCGCATAAGAAATCAAATGATCTAGATGTGATACTAAGCATCCGCGCTGACGACCCTAGGCTTTTTCTGCCTGCCAACATGTACTCTGCAAAACGATATATACCAATCGAGGCTGCCTCTATAGCCCTTGACCTTCGATTTACCAATTATTATATGGATCTTGAGCTATGCATCAGTCCCCTAAGTCTTTCCCTCTGTGGCGAGGAAGATGGAGGCATCAGCCCAATGAGTGCTATACCGAGCACTCAGCTTTTCATCGATGGCCTAGATATACATGGGCACCGTTTATTTGGCTTACCACCTATTGAGCCAACATATCTCTGTAATTGGGACCTAAAAGCTGGATCAGTCACGGGGGATTGTTCAACCGATTTTCTGACTACTCTTATAAGAGCAGGAAAAGCATTTGGCTTTACGCTTGATGACGACGAGAACGCGTTGATTCCCTTTTCTTCTATTGTGGTGTATGATGTAACATTTTTGCGTGTCTTCGTTGAGTCAGTTCAAGTCTGGGTACATGTGGATGAGGCGGCGTTCTTGTTTTCCACTGCAGCAGTCGATATTCAATTCAATGACTGGGCGCGAACACACTACTCAAGACGCGCAGATATAAAGGTGCCGAATCTTGAGATTGCTTGTGTTAACTCGGAATCAGCGACGAGACATAGGTCACGGCCCCGTTCTCATGTTGATACGGACGTCTTTCTCCGAACAAATGTACATTTTGCACTTATTGGGCGCAAGTATGACTTTGCACAGGAGAGGCTATTACAACAGGAACTTGTACGCCGCCATGACCAGCGTACGCATCGGGCGGACTTCTTGCTACTTCCGGGCCTTCTGAATGACTTCGCGTCCGATCCTGTCGACAACCCGGCTCAAAGCGTTCCCCCAGTTCCCCAGCCAGCTTTATCTAGATCTGTTGCCGACAAAGCGTCTTTATCATCTTTAGGCTCCTCGAATCGTTCCGCCAGACTTCGTCATAAGAGCTCGTTCCTTTCATTAGCCAGCTCGTATAGTGGGAGCATTCTACGACCAGGCTCTATTAGGACCGCGCAACGATCCCGGGCTTCCGGCCGTGCAGTCCCGAATTCCGTGCCATTCAAAGATAGCGAATCTAAACGAGTTATTCATTCCCGCGAATACTCGGGGCACTTTAGCGCTTATGGTGAGTCCGGGGATAAGAGGGAACCGCCACATAGCAGCATAACATTCTCGAGCCAATACTATGCTCCTTCATTTCCTTTACAAAACGTCAGACCAGATACCAAAGAAGCGACATTTCACAGTATCGAAGAGGACGAAAATGACGGTCTAGACTCTTCGGGTTTTAGCTTGGACAGCCTACCACCTGACCAACTAAATCAAAATTGTGCCCACCAGAGTCTACTCCTTGAGCTTCCTTCCGGGATTACCGTTTTCCTTAACGCTCCATCTCTGCGATGTATAGCGTCTTTGATACGAGCTTTACCACCTTCCGACCCGGAGGATATTCTTGATACTATCCACATAGGAACGGTAACAGACATATTTGATACACAAAAACAAGCACAAGTAAACGGGACTATTACTGATTTTGTCGTCCGGTTGCCGCAAGCAAACTTGCGCTTCTTGAACTGTTCTAATACCGATTCTACCGATCCATCACAAGAGCCGCAAGATCAGTATGATGTGTCGTTCAAACAACTCGTGCTTGCTACTCGATCCGGATCCCCGGCTGACGTGGCTGATGGCAATGGAGATTCTCGGTTATCCTTTCATTTCCGACTCGCTTCATTGCAGGTCTCGGCCGCCGAGAGGCTTGCAGGCCTAGACCAGACGCAGGCCGCCGTATTGGCCAAGATAGAGAGAGTTATGGTGTCCATGGGTACGAAAGAGGTGAACTATATTGATGCAGATATAGGTGCTATACAAGCTTCTTCGTCATCGAGCAAAGTGGAATACCTCGCTTCACTGATTCATCGAACGAATGTGCTTGCATCAGAGACGGGAAAGCTTTTCTCAGAAACCCTTTCGGTTGCAGACGAACGTTCGAAACAATTCACGTACCATGTTATAAGTAAAGGGCATAATGCGAGCGACGCTTCTTTTGTCGTTCGACCCTCGGCTATCCTACGGACAGCTTCTAAGCACCTTAGAACCTACGATTCTTGGAAACTGGTTACACGGCTACGCCAGATGTGGTCCGCACTAGATGGCGATACTAAAGAAAACCTAAGACGAGACTGTCTATTTGGGTTTTCGCAATGTCCTGCTGACATGAGACAACAAGTTACAACAGCTTTCGAGCGATGGCGCAGCTGGGATCTCGAGGATCCGGGACACGCAGTGCTCTTGAATAATATTTTCGGCGAGATGTCCAAGCCTAAAACCGATACATCTAAACGGATTCCTATGATGGTCGTAGCCAGAATACAAGAAATTCAATTTCTACTTGACCCTGGACCGAAACAGAACGAGGCTATTATAATTGATCTCACCGTGAGGGTCCAAGAGAGAAGTAATAGCATCGAAGCAATTGACGAGAAGTCGGCCGATATTGGAGAACCCTTGACACTTGTCAACGTGTACTGCAGCGAAGCTGGTCTCAAGGCTAACTGGGAGCTTTGTGAACTCGCAGATGACATACTACGACTCTACAAGAAGTCAGAGCCTTCAGTATCCGAAGAACCGCCACCAAAACAACAAGATATAGCTAAACGAATATCGCCTCGCCCACTCCATGTGGTGCTTGTACTAGGAGAAGGTGCAATCTCCCTAGAAGCTATTAACTTGAGTACCAGACTGCAAAGCTCTGAGCTTAAACTGTCAATACTTACAACTAGTAGTGCACATGGTACTACAAGTTCAAATCTCATACTAGGCTTCGATTCAGCTTCTACAAGGGTCAAGAGCCATTCCCAGGTACTCGCCACTGCACGACTTCAACGCCCAAGCGTCATTATTGCACATGAAGTACAATTTGACGGACAGTCCTCGACACATACTATTAGGTCAGCGGCTAGTAGCCAAGATCTCGAGTTTATTGTGAAGCAGGATCCAATCGTGTTGGCCGAGGTTTTAGACTTACTAGTCAAGGATGAAGTTGCGCAATTATATGCTCTGGCGCAAAGATTCCCTTCATCCCCTGAGTCTGAACAAGAGAAGCGTACAGCATCAGGACGACTCTCGACGATCCAAGTCAATTTGGCTATGTTTCTAGACTCGTATACCATCTCGCTACCCTTACTACGGTCTCTTACTTATACCATTTCCGGTATTGTAGCGCGAGCGAACATGGCTGCTAACTTTGGTAAAGAGGTCATACTGGACTTTGATGTGAAGGAAAACTCACACAACATAGAAATCGAAGTCAATAATACACCACGTAGTATCTCTTTGCTACAAATACCACCAACAAACGGTCGCATAACCAATCACATGGCTCCAGGGGAGCACTCAATCACGGTGCTGGCGTCACTGGAGCTTGTCAAATTAGACGCTTCGGCTGTCTATAGCTTGCTTACCGCACTCAATAGACCCGAAATTTCAAATGCTATCAGCGATCTTCAGGAGCAAGGTAGAATAATAAAAGAACATGTCAACGAAGTTTTCGGCTCTTCCAGAACCGAGCCCGAAAAGCCAGCTTCGCCAGTATCCAGCAATTCGAAGCTTACATACTCTGTCCATGGTAGCCTTGCAGGACTTGAGATATGGGGTAATGCACGGATCAAATCGGACACGGAACCATATGCGCGTCTATCGTTTTGCTTGGATGCTGTGCAAATGCAGCTCACTAACAAGATAGATGGAGGACCAATATTAGAGAACCCCGAGATACATATCAATCTTCACCAGATAATGTTCAATATTGAGAAAGGCTCCGAGGAAAGTATGAGATCTTGCGGCAACCTCTCCCTCGGCGCGTTAATCACCGCCACAAGCCGCGAATCCGAAGATGGGATAGAGCTAAGATCTTTCGACTTCAAGTCCAACGGGTTCGAGGTGAACCTGTCGTCGGATACCGTGTCGACATTCGTAGACGTACTTGGCTACATGGGTGACAAGATCAAAGACCTCGATACGTCACGCGAACTAGAATACTTACGGAAGTTAAGACAGTCGAAACCCCGTATCGCTATTAACGACGAAGAGCAGGACACGGAAAGTGATATATTAGATTCGTTCCTTTCCTCGATCATGTACTCATTTGAGATACGAAATATACAATTCTGTTGGCTTGTCTCTACTCTAAATCAACCGACAATTGGCCAAGAGGACCTGGTCTTATCCTTTAAACGAATCGAATTCGCTACGCGCAAGAAGAACTCAGCGAAGCTGACTATCGAGGATTTCCAATTGCAAATGGTTCCTCCAGGCCAGGACAAGTCTTTACGCTCTCTAAATTCGGCGCTCCTACCAGAGGTAATATTCAACATTGCCTTTGTCTCGACGGCAGATGCTCGCCGGCTAGCCTTCCAGGCAGTAGGTAAATCGTTGGATTTACGATTAACCTCTGCTTTTATCGTTCCGGCAGCACATCTCCAGGACTCGATCAGCCTATCAGCGAAGAATGTTCAACGAGCTTCAGAGCACTGGGCGCCAATAGTTATGCCAGAGAAGGAGATCTCCCGACCAGACCAGACTGTGGAAACGAGACGCTCATTATTCGGGAGCAGGAGACTAGAATCACTTTTGATTGATGCTGACTTTGCCGGAGCTGTGGTACACCTCACTGGGAAAAAATCTTCAGACGAACCCAGCGGCTCGAGGGATCGTCCCGCACTAGCTGGCAAGTATGGCCAGTTTAGTACAGACGAAACCGGCAGCAGCATGGTGCTTCGTACCCCTGGCCTAGCCTGGAAGACAGAATATAGAGATAACGGCCAAGAAGACCCAACTCTATATGGAGAGGTTAAAGTCGATCCTTCACGCAACATTCTCTACCCCACCATCGTCCCTCTTATTATGGATATTACTTCTAGCATCAAAGAGGTTGTAGGTGACGATACGCCCGAATCACCAGTATCACCACCAATACCGAGTGAAGATTCTGTTAAATCGAAATCTGACGGCGACGATAAACCAAAGCCTAATAATGAAGACAACATTCTCACAGCTGATCCGAGCGCCGTGTTAGGACGTGTGAAGCTGAATTTAGGTCTGCGCATTTGTCAACAGGAGTTTACTTTCAGTTGTCAACCCATCGGCCGTGTTGCTGCTACGGCCCGCTTCGACGATATCTATATTACGATGAATACTGTTCATGCGGTAGAGCAAGGCAACTTCTTCGCCATCTCGGGCACTTTCAGCGGATTCCATACGTCTGTACAACACGTATACTCGCGAGAGTCTACGGGTAGTTTTCAAGTCGAGTCCATCGTGCTCTCGTTGATGAACAGTAAGCACGTTAGTGGTACAAGTGGCCTCTCCGCCATTTTGAAGGTCAGCCCGATGGAGGTGGCGATCAACGCGAAGCAGCTTCAAGACTTCCTACTCTTCCGAGAAATCTGGATTCCAGGGGAAGTTCGGCAAGGTACAGCAGCACCCGTTGCGACGGTAACAGCAGAAACAATTGCGCAAGGGCATCTTGTACAGAGATACCAGCAAGTTGCCGCCACAGCAGCATTCCCGTGGACAGCTACTATCTCAATTGAAGCCCTGAATGTTGTTGTTGATCTCGGACAATCCCTCGGCAAGTCTAAGTTCGCTATATCCGAGTTCTGGGTTTCGTCAAAGAAAACTTCGGATTGGGAGCAAAATCTTTGTCTAGGCTTTGAAAAGATCGGCGTGGATTGCACTGGTCGACTGAGTGGATTTGTTGCCCTCCAGAAATTTAAGCTACGCACGTCCATCGAATGGCCAGAACGCGAGCAGGCGTTGAACGAAACGCCGAGGATCCAAGCCTCAATCAGTTTCAGCCAGTTCAGACTTAAAACTGCGTTCGACTATCAAGCGTTCCTAGTTGCAGACATTACGAGTATGGAATTCCTTATGTACAATGTGCGTGAGGAGAGAACGGCCTCTGGTGACAGACTGGTGGCGATTCTTGATGGAGAAGCCGTTCAAGTATTCGGCACCACCACATCAGCAGCTCAAAGTGTTGCCCTGTGGCAAGCTATCCAGAAGCTTATACAAGAGAGAAAGGCAAGCTACGAGACGTCGTTGCGAGATATCGAGAAGTTCATGAAACGGAAATCGATCACGAACCAACCGTCTGCTCAACAGATTATCCCAAGCAAACCGCAGACCGACAAGTCCGACATGAAGTCTCCAATATCCCTGAATACGGATGTGGTGGTGACGTTGAAGGCAGTTAATCTCGGCATCTTCCCCAGCACATTCTCAGATCATCAAGTCTTCAAACTAGAGGCTCTTAACGCACAGGCAAGATTCGCCGCGAGCATGGAAGATAAACGTATCCATAGTATCCTGGGCATGACTCTCGGGCAACTGCGCATAGGTCTCGCAGGTGTACGTAGAGTCGAGGCGCCCAAGGCAGTCAGCGAGATCTCAGTAGAAGACGTAGTCGCAAGCGCCACGGGGTCAAGAGGCGGCACTATCCTAAAGGTTCCCAAGGTCGAAGCTATGATGCAGACGTCGCAAAGCCCGGAATCCCGCACCATCGAGTACATATTCAAGAGCTCATTCGAGGGCAAGGTGGAAGTGGGATGGAACTACTCGCGCATCAGCTTCATCCGCGGCATGTGGGCGAACCACACCAAAGCGCTCGCGCAGACCTGGGGCCGCGAGATCCCGACCATGTCCGCGATCAAAGTAACCGGGGTTCCCGAGGCAGAGCAAGAGCGCAAGGAAGGCGGCGAAAGGCAGAAAATCACGGCCGAAGTCAATGTCCCGCAGTCCAAGTACGAATATGTAGCCCTCGAACCGCCTGTTATCGAAACGCCGCAGCTCAGGGACATGGGCGAGGCAACGCCGCCGCTGGAGTGGATTGGGTTGCATAGAGATCGCCTGCCGAATCTTACGCATCAGATTGTGATCGTCTCGCTGCTGGAGCTGGCGGGCGAAGTCGAGGATGCGTATGCGAAGATTCTCGGGTCGTCGTAGGGGAAGAAAGAAAAAAAAGAAAAGGAGGAAGTACCTACCTACCTAAGCAATGAGAATGTATTATATATATAATAGGAGAGGTAGACGGAGAAAGGGATGGATGGATGGAATCATCTCACCCTTGTTTTCTTTTAATCAGCATTGCATGCATAGCAGGGCGCAACAGAGAAAATAATATTTGTTTGTTCGTTTCAGAAACGGGGAATAGGAATAGGAGTTTCGGGGGATAACATATATATATATATATATACTCTGGTACCCAAGTACCTATAATCAAAATTGGTATTCTAGGCCTAGACATAGACAGTAGTTACGCCTTTTTTTTATATATAATTTACCAATCCTAGGTCTATAATGTAGCTTATTAGGCAATATACCTACCTAAATATATATTTTTGGAAACGTGCCTAGTAATATTCTATAACTATCGTGATCCATAAAAATGGTACTTACAGGCTTTAGGAAAAGACATCGCCTATTATTATTAAACAAATCACGCTGATTATTCTTGAAGAAGCTCGTTCGCGGGTATAATATGCCCTTTTCTATGAGAGACAGTTCATCTTTCCATCCTCAAGTATAAATAGTAGCGTATAGATTAGGTACTTAAGGTACCCATCTATTCCCATATATTAAGAACTTCTTCAAAGCTCTTAGGTGAATAGGGGCTACCTTTATACGATTATTTACATGGCATAACTCCCAAGGTATACCAAATTTAGCTTTGGTAATTCAAGTATGCGAAGCTAAATATTAGACAATGCGTATTAATATCCTCTTAGGGTGTTTGAATTTCTATACCTGGCTGAGTTGTAAGATAGGCGCTATATAATACCAGGTATAAACAGCCATTAGTTAAGGGGTTATCAAATCACAAACCAAAAGAACATGCGTATTATCACTTTACAAATCGCAAAATACATCAAAATCACTTAAATTCTTCATCTCAATTGTGTCGAAAGTTACAGGCAAACCAGATGTACGACAGCTAATGAAAGTTACGCCCTCAGTGCCTTTGCATAGCTTTTCTGTATCCACGGCCGCAGGTCATTCCTTTCCGACCTTCTAATGAAAGGCCGCATATTATATCCATGCGACGGACCCAACTAAAAACGATCCGAGCCGTCTCATGATATCTGCCAATAATGGCACTAGGTCGTAGTCTATAGAGCATCGGGGGAACTTGTTTATAGCTTGTCGTAGTACTGTTGTTCGTTGTTAGTATATGATAGACTTTATGAATTTGAAGGTTTTCACTTACGTTGTTGACATCCGGTACTTCGACCTTGAGACCCTTGCGCTTTCGCATGGCCTCGACGATTTGTCCGACCTTTGTGGTCTTGTCGAGGGGAGATCCACCGGGTAGTAATTGCCAGTGGTCGAAGACGAGTTGAGGGAAAGCCTGGCCGGAGGTGGCTTGTCGGAGATCGCCGTTGAAGCCGAAAGACTCCATAATAGGCAGATAGGCCTTGATTGTGAAGAGAGGAGTACCAGGGCGTTGCTCCTCGTTGAAGACGTGACCTCTTCTTCGGGTAAGGACACCGTAGACACCACCCATGGCCTGCTCGGGGACCTGGATTTCTACCAAGTAAACAGGCTCCTGGAGAGCGGGCTCAGCAAGCAGCGTAGCAGCGTACAGAACACGTCGGGCAGTGGGGATAATCTGGCCACCACCACGGTGGATAGCATCGGCGTGGAGGGTAACATCGAGGATGTTGAATCGGATGGCTCGCATCGGCTCCTCGGCAACGGGTCCTTCACGGGAAGCCCACTGGAAACCGGAGACGACAGAGTCCTTGATTTCGTTGAGGTACTGTACGGCCTTGGTCTGGTCAACCAGCAAGTTGGCGCCGACAGTATCGGGACCGAAGCACCAAATCTTTCGGGCATCGGTGACATCCCAGCCGAAGTCGTCAGCTAGGATACGGGCACGGGCCTTGAAATCGTCACGAGGTCCAATCTTGCCCTCCTCGATCGTCTTGGCGAGCTCCTCGTCGATCGGCTCAGCAACCATGTACAGACGGTTGTGCTTGTTGGGGGACTTGGATAGAGCAGTGATGCTGGACTTGCCAGCAACGGTCTCTCGGTACTGGACGACGGGGTCGGAGATGATAAGGGGAACACCAGCGTGGTCCTCCTCGAGATCCTTCAAGCAAATCTCAAGGTGCAGCTCACCAGCACCAGCAACAACGTGCTCACCAGACTCGGAAGTCGTGGTCAAGACACAAGGGTCAGACTTAGACAGACGCTTAAGACCTTCGACAAGCTTGGGAAGATCCTGAGCGTTCTTGACCTGGACGGATCGCTGGACAACAGGGGAGACGGAGAACTTCATGACCTTGAGGTTGTGGGCGGTTTCCAGGGTGGTAAGAGTACCAGACTTGAGTAGGAACTGATCGATACCGACCAGACCGACAATGTTACCAGCAGGCATGTCGTCAATGGGCTCGACCTTGCCGCCCATCATCAGAACAGTACGTTGGATAGCCTTGATGAACAAGTCCTCCTTCTTTCCGGGGGTGTAGTTGGGGCCCTGGATGCGGACCTTGAGACCGGATCGGACGGTACCGGAGAAGACACGACCGAAAGCGTAGAAACGACCCTTATCGGAGGTCGGCACCATCTTGGAGACGTAAAGCATAAGGGGACCCTTAGGATCACAGTCTCGGATACCAATGGCGGCCTCGTCATCAGGGGGACCCTCGTACAGAGTCTCGGCACGGTACTTCTGGGCAGTAACGGGAGAGGGCAGGTGAAGAATCATCATCTCCAAGAGAGAGTCGGCAGCGGGAAGGAAAGTTCGCATAACAGCCTTGAGGAGCTGCTTGCCCTCCTTATCCCTGTCCTCACTGGAAAGCTTGAGGTCGAGCTTGGAGAGTAGAGTGTTGATCTCGTCCTTCTTGGCGTGGTTCACAGCCGCGAAGATCTTGAAGATAGGGTCCAGAATGAACTGGTTGAATGCACGCTCTAGGGGCTTGCCATCGTGAGTGCTCTTGGTGGTCCACTTCTTGGTAGCAGCGTTGAAGTAGTTGTCACCCTGGTTAATTAGTCAGTAGTGTACGAGGCAAAGAGAACGATAGACAGTTGCGGTAATCAAACTTACCCATAGACGCTCCATCATCTTGTTTCGGTCAACACCGAACTTCTTAGCGTATCGGACGGCGAATTGGCGGATAGTGAAAGCCCAGCCGTGGAGACCGGAACCGAAAGCGACAGTACCCTTCTCAGGGTAGACCTGGATGTCACCCAGGGACTTGTCAAGGTAGGTGGAGATGATGACGTTAACCGACTCAATTGTTCGGGAGAAGGACTGGTAAAGGTCCTCCTTGGAGACCTGCAGCTCGAGAAGAGCACGGTCGACCTTGTTGATGATGATAACAGGCTTAATTCGCTCAGCAAGAGCCTGTCGCAAGACGGTCTCAGTCTGGACACAGACACCCTCAATAGTGTCGACGACGACGAGGGCACCGTCAGTGACACGCAGGGCAGCGGTAACTTCGGAAGAGAAATCAACGTGACCAGGCGAGTCGATCAGGTTGATCAAGAAATCTCGACCATCGGCCTTCTGGCCAACGATGTCCTTAAGGTCATCGTCGTTGGGTAGGTTGCCGTACAGGGAGATGGCAGTAGACTTGATAGTAATACCACGTTCCTGTTCGTCTGCTCTCGTATCCGTAGCTCGGGCATCACCAGCTTTCGCGGTGGAGATGATACCGGCTTTGGCCAAGAGAGAGTCGGTCAGGGTAGACTTGCCGTGGTCGACGTGGGCAATGACGGACATGTTACGGACATTGGTAGGCTTGTCCATCAGTAGCCTGATCTCGTCGATCGTGAAGCTATTCGGAAGCGCATGTTAGCTCTGGCCGTAGAGTAGATGGATGTAACGGAAGCTTATCTCCGGGTGGGGTGACTTTGGGCATCATGAAGGTAATAGAAGATATTTCTTGGGGCGCATAAAGCAGCGACGATGGAATGAGACGAGATGAAGCTATATTATGATAGCTAAAGTAAAGGCGATGAGACTTACTTGACCATCTTGGCGGTATTGATGTGAAAAAAACAGCTATGTGTGTTTTTTTCTAATCAACTGGTGATGGATGAAAGCGGGGTGAGATTTGTGTCGATGGAAGTGGCCTTATTGCACTTCACGGTCGATACAAATCACCAGCGAACTCTTCTAGAGAGTATCGAATAGTAAAAAGTGGTAAAGTGGTAAGAAAGGAAGAGAAACAAAGCTTTCAGTGTAAAGTCGCAACCACCGACGACCAGCTTGTTCTTGCTTCGAGGGAAAGGAAAATTTGTCGGGGCAGAGTTGGGAAGGAGGGGTACAAGAGGAGAGAAAATTCACAGGCGGCGGGCTAAGCGGGGCAATGCTTATCCTTCCAAGAAAATCGACCTGCCTGCTGCCTGCTGCCTGCAAGTGACATCAATTTTTGTACTGTTTGACCTGTGTGTGGTAGGTATATTTTTTGTGGTCTAGTGGGGCAACCGCTGTTCCTTCCTTTCCTGTAGCGGCAAATTTACGGGCCAATAATCAAACGGGATAAACCAAATTCAGCTTATCGAGGGTTTTAGCCCTCCCGTTTGACCCCCGTTTAACCCCCGTTTAACCTGCTATTATTAATTCAACTCACTTAAGATAAACTTTACATACAGTAGGTACAATGTACCTAGTAGTACCACAGTACTTGGGATAAACGAAACGGCAAAACAGCATTAAAACAGCATCAAAACATTCGTATTCAAGCTACAACATACGATATTTAGGTCCTGTGACAGTGCGACCTTTACACACTTTTGGCAAGTAACTAAGGTAGGGTGCCCTGTGCGGGTATTGTGGATTTTACGTTCTGGTCTCTTTACGGTACCTATACACGCCTTGATCCATGCTCCTATTCGGTGTGACTACGTACTCTCCATTATGCAAGAAACATGGGGAACATGAAGCCATGCATGTACATACGATCTTCATAATTTATACCAAACCTTGGCTGCTTGGTCTTTATGTCTTGGAGGAGACCCAAAATCTTCCAATGGCCGTGAGGCTATTATTGGGTTGATATTACCTAGGTAGTGTGTCAAATCTTTATCGTAGCTTATACCAAAAGAGCCGGACCATCTCGTTTTCAAACTTGACTATGCCGAATATGCTAGCAATCCTAGAAACCCCCATTTATACTTAGATGATTGGACACTACATAGATGACTCAAGCAAATTAGTTTGCCTTAATTTGAAATCTAGGTAGTCATTGCGTGAAACGCCACAGCTACATCTTGATCTAGAACCATCCTACTGGGCCTTTTAAGCAAGCTTGTGTGCTAAGGAGTTGCGTTAGGGCAAAAGGCCCTTACTGCTAAAAAAAAAAAAAAAAAAAAAAAAAAAAAAACACCCTTAAACCTCCGAACCCAGAGCATATTAAGGCAAACGTAGTTATAACATGTGTGGCGGTATATTGTCCTATTCCTTGTTAGATTTGACGGCTCCCACACAGCCGGTGCATACGATGTATCTTTTTGGATGTTGTGATGAAAGGTATGATTGGCCGATGCCTTGATATTTCCAACTGGCGGCAACCCGGTGAAGATTACCGGATCCCGGAGAGATGTCTCCACTAATTCGGATACGGAAGCGCGACAGCGGGGCAATTCGGCATCGCGTCATAGGAGGGGCCCACGGGACGGTATATATTTACCTCAGCACATGGTTTTGGTTTAGTATCCATACCTAGGTACCTACAGTCGGAGGTTCAAATAGGGGCTCTACAGCTAATACTTTTATGTTTAGCTTCTCTATACATAATTGAATACTCACCTTAAGGATAACGGACTTGGACCTCTTCAACTATAAACTCCAACCATTAACCCAATATGAATACCACATATAATACGTTAGACAGCCATCACAATCTCCTATTATATCGCATCCTCGTGCTCCTTCTCTTGCTCCCAATTGGTTACCACCTAGTTACATACTGCTATCCTAAGTTTGATTTTGCTTCATAATTAACTAACTACCACCAACTACACATAAACCATCCATCGGTTATTACATCCCACCAAGTAATCTAGTGCATAAGTTAAAAAAACAATATTATCATATGCGATAACTACCACTAATAAAAGAACATGGAACCGTGACGTCGAGTAGCGTATAAGTTACTCGCAGACAGAGGAATAACGTGTATGATAACTGACTATCTTCAGAAAGCAGCGTGTATTACCTAAACCTCCATCACCATGGCTATATCACACACAGAAACACCCTTATACCATATCACAAAACCACCAGCTGCACTTAACCTCAAGCACCGCCCTTTCTCTACACTACACTCATTCCGGGTGATGAACAGTATTGCATCGATTTTACCAGTTATGGACTATTAAAAGGTGGCGTATGTACAAACAACCTCTAAACTATTGCCGTGGTGATCTGATTCGATCTGATCTGCAATCGCAGAAAATTACTTATAGGTAGTAGGTATAGGTATCTTTCTTTTGCACTCCCATATTCACTTCCAAACTACGCCACTATCGCCACCCGATGCCCGACAAAGTATGATTTCTCCTAAACTATCTACGTCGTCGACTGCGTCCGCGACCGCGGGTTTTACCCCTTTCCATCGTTCCACCAACAGCTTAAAATCGATAGCTGCGCGGCACTAGGCGTAACTATTAATTGGGATTCCAGCTGCTCCGAGCACGCTATCATCGGGACCTTCCTCCCCAATCGTACTAGAGGGTAATCAATGCATGCAACACCTCTGATTACTAACCAGCGAATCGGAATCGTGCTCCCTCCAGTGCCCCTAAGCCATCTCGGGGCGCAACATATCTTCTTCGGTAAGTGTTGGTGAAGTCCTGGAGGATTGAGCGTATTTGTCGTACGTCACCCGTATCATTAGTACTAAGCTTCTCCTTAATCTTCGTCATGAGGCGATCTACTTCCGTGGCCGAGACGGTCCCCTCGGGTAGCAATCGGAGCGTCTGGTCTACCCACGCCGCCGTCTGATCGGGTAAAATCTCGAATAGTGTTAGCAGGGCACCACTAGCATCAGCAAAACAATCTTTCGGGAATGTGATCATCATGCCAGCGAGTAATCGCTTAATCAATGTCTCCCCCTGTGCCAATAGGAGCTGTTTCACGAGAACCTTTAGCTGTTCAGCCACTGGGGCCGACATGTTGTCGTACGACGGAGGCGAAAATGCGGTACCCCATCCAAGAACATCTCGGATGTAATGAAGGGTAGCAGACAAAGGCTCGCGTTGCTCTAAGACAAGAACGGAGAGGGCGGCTTCGAATACGGGACCAAATATCGATGATGGGATAAATTTCTGAGGGTAATATAATAATCCGTCGACAACCAAGCGGAAGAAGTCTTCAGTTACATCCGGAAGGTCCGTCGGTGATAGCGTGCTGAGGAAACGGAGCACATTTGTAGCTTGGGCTTCGAAGAAAACGTAAATATGCTCTGTCATAGCCGGCGCCACGTGTTCTCGATCATCAGAGAACTCCCGTAGAATAGCACCGGTGACCCATAGAAAACAACCTTGCTTCGACGTCGCGAACCCACTCGCTAGCTGATTCGCCATATCTGGGAGAATTGGTGCCATAGCTCCCCTATGGGCAATCACCATGAATCTCCAGCATCGACAAATCCTTTCGCAGATTGGGGTGAAGTCAAGGAAATTTTCTAGGATCTTGGACAATATCGGGAAAACCTCTTGCCAATATTTCACCGCGGGATCTTCCTGGCCAAGCGGGACAGGGGGCAGGACCACGACGCACTGGGTGAAGAGTGTAATCAACTGTAAATGGTCAGCAACTGCCAGCTTCTTTTCTTTGTCTATTGCATTGTTGGCCTTGGCCATCAGCCTCTGAACTAATGGGTCGCAGAAGAGTTTGAGTAGTTTGAATATCTCGTCCCTCGGCTGCACAGATACTACCATCGCAACGCCTTCAGTGATCTCTTCTTGGCTGAGCGTGGGAAGTTTATCCAGAACTTGGTCGTAGAATTGTTGAAGTTGGACAATCTGGTCGCTGAGCAGATGCTTACAATCCATGCAGAAATATTTGATCGCCATAGCGGCAGCTCCCATAATCTCTTTTGAGTTTGTGTCGAAAGAAGAAACGATGTAGTTAAACTGGGGACTGAGAAAGTCTGGGTGGGCAGCTGTCCACTCTGTGTATCTACCCAGCACCATTATTGTCGCAAAACGCAGTTTCTCATGAGCTGGCATTTGTACGAGAAGGGGCATAAGTTGAGGTAGAACGGTTTCCTCCTCCTTAGTAACCATACGGCCCATAGCTCGCATAGAGAACAGTGGAGCTTCTAATTGTTGCCAGTGAGGGACTGAAGCACCGTTCGCCAGGCCTGCGTATTTTTGCATCCAGATCTTGATGGCGTCAAGAACCTTTGCCAAACACTCGGAAACGCCCATAATCTCGCAGCAGTCCTTTAAGGTATCTCCCATGTGGTGCCGGAACTCGCGGAACTTCTCTTCTGCCTCTCTGTCTCCGTCGAACAAATCCTTTTCGTTACCAGATCCTGAATCGGGATACTCGAGATGCTTAAGTAGAATATCGACAAGTTTCGCATATACATCCACGAGATCCACACGTGACTGTATATATTTCTCTAGTACGAGATACTGCTTAAGTTCATACCAGAACTCGAAAGTGTATTCGATGACTTCTCTGTCTTTGTCTCTTGCGGCGCACTCAAGAATGGCATCGACGAGGGCTCTGAAATGGCTGGGTTCCCGGGCAATGGCAACGGCCCACGAAGAACCAGCCTCGCCTAGCAGCCTGGTGAGAGCCTTGTATGACTCAAAATCTTCTTCTTCGGCCACTTTTTGAATCTTGGGCCGCAAAGCAACAACCCTCGGTAGAAGTACCTGGATGGTTTCGATGTTGTCGTCTATCTCTCTGGTCTCTCTGACCATGGTCGAAATGCACTCAGCAGCTGCCGGGAAGGATACATCGCTTTCAAGGGCGTTGAAGACGATGTTTAACAGAGGGGACTTGACGATTTCATTGATAGGGACCTCACGTAGCCAGGACGTTATACATTCAAAAAGTTGGGGATTTGTCGCAGCCACCGCTATCCTTACATATTAGCCGTGTTTATGATAAGGTTGAATTGAACTTACGCGATGAGTGGGCATAATTAATCAGGAGTTGCACCACCTGTGGAGCATTTTCTTCTAATAATTCGGCGGTTCTCGCCGTAAGCTCTTCATCCTAGACCATTAACCTATTAGACTTCTTGTTCATTTACCGCAACGGCAATAGCACGCCTCTAGAGGAGAAGAGCGTAGGAGACGTGCTGAAATAACCTCGATTTACGTACTGTTAGGGTGATTTTTCGCCCCTCGGTCACCTCTTCTGGTAGAACCCTAAGGAAGTCCAAGATGCAGGCATGGCTTTCGACGTCATCGCCAAGGGATGACACCACGACAGGTAATACGTCTTTCCAGTCTTGCATCTGTATTGCTAGGATTGCTAGACACACACATAGTTGTACCCTGATCGGCTTCGGCCCCGGCGCAAAACGTTTCAAGAGCGCTAATAACTGAGATCTCACGGCCGGGATCTCAGGCGCGGGTACTTGGGTTGACAGATCGTATGTAATCTTGTAAGGTGTTGTTCCGTCAGCTTCGCCGTAGGCTACGGTATAAGTTCTTGTTCTAGACTAACCTTCCCTCTCAGTGTCGTCGCTGCGAATAATTTGACGTCCGCTTCGGCATTTGACTGTAGTATCGTAATGGTTGTGGTCCACGCTGCCGACTATAACCCGTATCAGTAACGACGTACGATGAGGGCTATACGATAAAATCCGGGCGTATACTAACCGATTTCTGGAAGAGCTCTAGATATTCATGGGCTTTCTTCTTCTTATCCGAGTCCCCACCCCGCATAGTCAGCATAGCCTGGTGCACCTCATCGGGTCCGAAACCCTGCTGCGCTCCGTTCGCAGCCATGATGCGCAAATATCGATTAGGTCGACGGCCGTGGGGTGGGCACGCAGGTCAGGAGCAGCAGCGGCTGTCAGTCTGAAATCGATCGCAAAGTTCGGTGGGTTTGGGAATAAAAACTATTATTGGGATGATATACCAACGCCGAGGGATGCACCAGATAATACGGCTGGTTTAAGACGAAACTTGTAGGCAATTTAAATTTCTCAAATTTCCCGGCGAGGTTCTTGAGCGCAAGATTTTATTATACGTGTCGGCGTAGAGGGAAAGAGGGGCCAAAATAAGAAACATCAATCAGTGCTTTACGGTTGCCATGTGAGCCTGAAAGTATGGAGCTTGCTTTCATTCCGTGGCTTGAATAGAAAGATATGGAGGGGTCAATGGAAGACGGATTTGTGGCTGAGCTAAATAAAGAGGTATGCGTGCTGGCGTCTGGCGTGCTGAGTACACTAGGTCTAGTCTAATTAAAGTGGACTTAGCTTGCTAGTTAGAGCTACCTCAGCCTTCTTTCTGCCTCGTCCAATTTACTACCAAAAATTACCCAAAGCAAGATACACGTTAATACGCACACGCGCCATCGTTGCATTTTTCGATTCTACGTCCAGCCAACGCGCCAACAAGGAATAAATATCTAGTACTAAACTCACCCTTAAATACATCAAGATGACCGGTCGTGGCGGCGGTGGCGGGCGCAAGATTTTGCTTCCTCCTATCAACTTCATCTTTAAGCTCCTCCAGACACACGCGACTGTCAAGATCTGGTTATACGAACAATTGGCAATTAGAATCGAGGGTAAAATTAGGGTGAGTCACCGGCTTTTCTGCTTCCTCCTGTATCTATTTGCTCCTACTAACATCCGTTTGCCTAGGGATTCGACGAATTCATGAACCTTGTTATTGACGACGCGGTCGAGGTAAAGCAGATCACAAAGACGAATACAGAAGAGAAGAGAAGACCTTTAGGTATGACTACGCAACCGGGGTTAGTGTTGTCCTACGTGATTAACGGTTTTATAGGACAAATTTTGCTGAAGGGTGACAACGTGTCGTTGATCCAAGAAGCCGTATGAAAAGATTAAGAAACGATTGCAGTCTGAAAATTTATTGGGGATTACGCTCTCATGCATCTCCACGAGGGTACTATTGCGGATAATCGTGGATAATCATGGACGCCCAAATTTAGTTAAGGTGTGCTCATTTTAGTTTGCGTCGCCGTTATTCGCAGACTCTTTGATTTGGCCATCTCCGAGAAAGAGGCCATCTATTGGTTGATCATGGGGTCCAACCGGAACAGATTCTCCTGAAGACGGGGAGAGGAGTTGTTCCTTCAAAGCTAGAGCATATAACAATACAGCTGGTCGACCATTTCGTGTCTTCTCTTCAGGTGAAGCAGCCAATGCATATCGATGGAGAAAGTAGTCGTAGAAACCCTTGCCGTGACCTAGCCTCCGGATGACTTTAGACTGTGGATCGACATCGAAAGCGACGCCAGGCATAAGGATCAAATCCAGCGAGATATCCTCAGATCTTTTCCCATCAAGCTCACCCACGCTTCGCTTTCTTTCGTGCACCGTAGAGGCGTCAACACTCGGGATACCCCACTTATCTCTTTTTAGAGACTCGTAGTCCTCGACGTCCTTTAGACTTACCATGTCCATAAGTCTCGCCGGTCCATCATTCGGTTGTAAGCCGGATCTGTGTAAATAAGGTACGAACACCTGCTTTCCCGAAGATAAGGCATGTCTAACAATAGGATCCGTCTGGATTTCTCCACCAGGCATAGACAGGTAGACCGCTACTCTCTTCGCATCAACGTATGGTCCGAATTTGCATAACGTGTCGAAGACTCTTGCGCCTATGTAGGAGGATAATTAACCATGTATCTATATATGTATAATACTCTGTTATATGTATATGGAGGTACTTACTCTGAGATAAAATGGATTCTTGTGAGAGGTCCGCGAGTCGCTGCTTCATTAATGAGCGAAGCTGTAACTTGGCAGCACTCAAAGCAGCAGAATTCATCTCCGGTTCCTGTGACATAGTCTAAGAGCTACTAACGTATTGGAACCGAGTATAATCCGTATAAAATCCCCGCTGTGAGTTGTGAAGTCACACCTGTCATCCGACCCACGTTCTGCTGCGTTGAGACTCGAATTCTTCAGCGGCTAAGATAGCAACCGCAAATCGGAACTAGTGTTGACCGAGCCCCACTAACAAATTAGGGCCTATAACACAATAAGTCTGATCTATCTTACCTTAGCTGCTTAGGTGTAACATCTGACAACTATTTAGGTTACATAACTTGCATTATCTATGATGTTATCGTCGAACAAATAATGGATCTACTTACCTGTATTAGACAGATGACTTGAACGTTGGTCAGGTGTTTTGCTAAGCAACTTAGCAACGATTTACCTGCCTGTTTAGCTTCAGTTGGAAAGCTTATAATTATAGAGCTTGCATAAATACAGGCGAACCAGTGTCTAAGGTATGCAATAGTATACGGTACTAATGAAAGTACTATGTATGGTTATCTCATGCAGGTAGGGATCAAGTATGTATTGAAGTCATAACCGCCACCCGAAGTTCGCTTTTCCGTACAGTATCAGAATATTATCTTTTTAATCTAATCCATCTCAATCTAATCAATCAATCTTTTGATCGTACGACCGTGTCATCAAAGGGATTATCAGCGGAGGAGATCCACTTAAGCGAGGGTTGATTAGTGGTTGGAAGAGTCTCCGTGTTTGGTAGACTGCAGCGTGCTGTATGCTGTTAGTGCAGCTTTTACGTAGGCTCTTCCCGCTTTGGATGTCACGGCCGCAGCTAACTTTTCTTCCCTTGTTTCAATCCTGCTGTTGTGATACTAGCCTTAAGCCCTTCCCACATATAAGGACTGGACTTCAACTCCGCCATCTTCAATTGGTGAATTGAGAAAAGGTATGTAAGGTACCACATTGCCAGAATTAATTGCGGTATGCTTAAGAAAAACTATAGGTAGCAATACAGATGTGTCTTTGCATACCTAATACATATACGTGCATAGCTACATGTATACAAACGGCAGCAAGAGTTAAGAAAAGCAGGTAGAGACTGGAAGTAATAAAACTCGGGTAGGGTTTGCCTCCACTCTTTCCCGTTCAACCTCGACCTTTGAATAGCCCCAAATCCACTTTATTATTAACATTAACTCTATGCACAGTAGGCAAGTTACACTGGTGACGGACTTTAGGTTAGGCAGCCTAGTAGCCTGGTCACTTCCCGGATAGCTCTTGCAAATCAGCAAATCCAGTTGCCCTTTCCGCGTGGGATGGTATGGCCCTTAGCAGCTGCAGCTACGTAACGATAGACTAAAAAGATGCCTGTTGTTTCCTCAAAAAGCAGGGATAATGGATCGCTTATGTCTTTAGACCCCCATAATGTCCACAATGACCACTCGCAGTCCTTCCCATTACGACCCATAAACACCAATGCTTCTACTGGTAGCTCCGCCCTACCCGTCGATGTCTCAGACCCCACGTCGCCAACCTCTCCTCATGGTACAAATAGTGCTGCCTCCTTGTCAAGCTCGACAGAAGCTCCTATTAGAACACCTCGCTCCCCGTCCAGTACGAGCCATGACTCCGACCACATTCGAATCCACCCTAGCTCTAGTCGTGGATCAAGGATCATGTCGAAAGCTCCCCTCTTGATCCGCTCCTCGCCCGGATTTGGAACAGGGTCATACGGAGCCGCTCCTATACATCCTGAGATTAGGGATCCGGATAGCGATGGCGAAGATCCGGCGCCGTCAAGGAGACGAAGTAGCTCTGAAAGTTGCCGCTCTAGGAGGCGGTACTCTACCGACGCTAACCGGAGAAGAAAGAGCCTATCCGAAGAGATTGGGGGGTCAACAGTAGTCGGTGGCCTCGAGGGTCGATTTGGTGTTAGCGATACCGCTGTAACAAACGACATAGCTCCGGACTCGAAGTCAAATAGCTCCGCTTCAGGTGACGAAGACGGTTCCGACGATGCGAACGAAGGAGACGACCCGGACCCTCCCGATAATTCACCTTATGCTCAAGTTCGAGCCTCTGTCTCGCCAATTGATAATACTTCTCTATCTATAAACACCCCTCGCATGTGGACATTGTCCACATTATTCTCTATACTTGGTTCTTCCACAAATCTCTTCTTTTCCTTGAGATACCCTAGCGTTGCAATTACACCCGTCATAGCGTTGCTTCTTGTTCATCCCCTTGGTCTTTTATGGGACTATATTTTAAAACGATCAGACGACCCGCCAGAAGAATTTGAGGCTGGCGTACGGATAGATGGGCTTACCTCCTCAAACGGCCAAACGCCGGTCACTCTTAAGGAGAGAAGCCGTGCTGGGCGCCTCCGCTTATGGCTTGCCCAAGGAAGTTGGAATGAAAAGGAGCATAGTTGTGTATATGTGAGCAGTAATGTATCTTTCGGATTTGCATTTGCAACGGACGTTATCGTTGAGCAAACTCAATTTTATAAACAAGATGTAGGCATCGTCTACCAGCTACTACTCACCCTATCGACTCAGATCCTAGGTTATACCTTCGCCGGCCTAGCGAGACGGTTCTTGGTACGCCCGGCCGGAATGATCTGGCCTGGTACATTAATGTCCGCTGCAATGTTTGCCACTTTACATAAAGAGGAGAATAAGCCCGCAAATGGGTGGACGATAAGCAGGTGGAAATTCTTCTTCACCGTCTGGATATCCGGATTTATCTTTTACTTCCTCCCGGGACTGTTAATGCCAGCACTAAGTTATTTCAATATTATCACCTGGTTCGCTCCGGACAATGTCATAGTAGCGAACCTGTTTGGGGTCGTATCCGGCTTGGGGCTCTTTCCGCTCACTTTTGACTGGGCACAGATCGCGTACATCGGGTCACCCCTCCTGACGCCTTTCTGGGCCGCGATGAACGTCATCGGCGGTTTGGTGATAGTAATGTGGATTATCGCACCGATTGCGTATTATTGCAATTTATTCTACTCATCTTATATGCCGATTCTCTCGGCGTCGGTCTTTGACAATACTGGAAAGATATACGATGTCAGCAAAATCTTGACAGAAGATTTTTATTTCGACAGAACAGCCTACTCGAATTATAGTCGTGTATTTCTACCGATCACCTATGTTCTCAGTTATGGGCTTCAATTCGCCGGGCTCGCGTCACTCCTAACGCATACTGCTTGCTGGCACGGCAAGGATATCTACGTACAATGGAAGCGTTCATTGCAAGAAGTAGAGGATGAGGATAGACTGGTGTATCAACCACTAGAGGGAGATATCACCGGTGTCACTAGTAATGGAGATCAACCTAGCGTTGCTAGGACTAGTTCCACTTTCGATGATATTCTGAGCCACGAAGATGTTCACAATCGCCTCATGAGGAGATATAAGGATGCTCCGATAACGTGGTATTTGTTGACATTCATATCGATGACGGCGATAGGCATCTTCGTCGTCGAATAGTAAGTCTACCATATCCTTATTTAAAAGGCTTTTACTTACGCATGTATAGCTATCCGATACATTTACCGTGGTATGGTTTACTTCTTGCTCTTGGAATATGCGCCGTGCTCTTTATACCTATCGGTATTGTCATGGCTGTAACAAATCAGCATAGTAGTATCTACCTTATTTGTCAACTCATTTGCGGTGTCATTTTCCCCGGCAGACCGGTCGCTAATATGGTCTTTGTGACCTACGGTTATATATCGTCCGCTCAGGGCATCAAGTTCGCAGCAGATTTAAAACTGGGACATTACATGAAGATTCCACCGAGGCTTCTATTCTCAGTTCAGATGGTCGCAACCATCGTCTCGTCAATCACGCAGATCCTTGTCCTCAACTGGATGTTCCGTAACGTACCTGGAATCTGCACGCCCTCGGCCATCAACGGCTTTACCTGTCCGATCGCCCGAGTTCACTTCAACGGATCTATCCTCTGGGGCGTCGTTGGGCCAGCCGAGTTTTTCGGACCGAATGCAACTTACCGCCCTCTTATATGGTGTTTTCTCATCGGAGCCATCGCCCCGATCCCGTTGTGGTTGTACGGCCGCAATAAAAAGTCCAGCATTGTTCGCAAGATTAACTTACCCGTCCTCTTCGGGTCTCTCAGTTGGATCCCGCCGGCGACCGGGCTTAACTTCTCGGTCTGGGCTGTGGTATGTTATATCTTCAATTACGTGATCAAGAACCGGGCAACAGCATGGTGGGCCAAATACACCATGACTCTCAGCGCGGCGTTGGATTCGGGTTTGGCATTCGGGATTGTTATTGTCTTCTTCGGGTTCATATACCCAGGCTGGATGGAAGGGTTCAGCTGGTGGGGAACGGATGTGTATAGACAAGGTTGTGACTGGCAGGCTTGCTCGTACAACACGGTTCCTAATGGCAGTCATTTCGGTCCAGATAAATGGTAGATTGCGACGTAGCATATATTATGATCGCGCGAAGTATGTATATGTTGTCGTTGTTGTATTTTTAACGCCGGGGGGCACGAAATGCCAGGCCTCCTATGGGGTATATAGCGTGTAAGGCTATACATTTCTATATATATTTTATAAATTAAACCCGAAAGTATATACTATTTAAGCCGTTTTTATTTGCCTCGCCAATTGGCCTCGTGTCCGGTGTTAAAATGAAAAATTTATCTCTTTACGGGGAAAAAATATAAAATCGAATACGACGATAACTTATAATATTTTCCCAGGTTAAAACGCCTATCACGTTGTAATACGGGTAAAATAATTAATTTCCTTCGTAGTGTTAAACGCGTCGAAAAAAAAAACCATTATTCTTATCGTGTTAAGGACCGGCTCCTTTTGTATAGGGTTGCGCAGCTATTTAGCAGCCGGCCTCAGCACTGCGTTAACAGTAGATGCCAAGAAAAATAATTTTGAGGGGAAGGTGGAAGCATGTATATGCAGGGTATGGATGGATAAGATTATCATAGACATTTATCTTTTAGATCCTAGAGCTTGCTTCGAAAAAGCTAGAATAAAAAGATCTGGTTCGAATATGATGATATTTCTGGTGGCGATTATACTATACTATACTATACTATACGAGGAAAATGTGAATGAAAGATGCTTGAAGAGTTATCTACCTAGGTACGCATTACTTCCCATGGACTTGGAAGCATGCATTAAAGATGCTCAGTAACTAATTGTATCCACGTATGGTTCGTGATGATAGGTATGTCCTCAATTGTGCTTGGGGGAGCGGAAAGGGGGATATATGTGTGGTGTGGAGGGAGGGGTACTGGAGTACGGAAGGTACCGCGTGGTTGCCTGGTAATGGGGTGAGAGGTGCGACGGTGACCTTGGTGATGAGGCTTTTGGGATACGTGGTGGATTTCGTGTGCATGGGTGCATGGGAATGGGTGCCCCGCTAGCTAAATGTGGCTGTACGGTAAGTAAAGACAGGTAAAGTATGCTGTAGATGAATGATATAATTAAAAGGTGCCTAATCTATCAATGATGTATGTGTTGTTGGTCAGGGGTAAGACGTACGTAAACCAACCCTTATTCCAGACATAACTCAAGCGGCTCCCAACACCGTCATATGTCGCCACTAATCCATGGAATCATACCAATCCCTCGACTTTAGTCATTCTCCCAGGTAATTACTATACTCCGCGCTCTAAGGAATGCTACTGCAGTTATATTTTAGGTCATATTTATTTCCGAGTCACGGATAGGGGCAGAATCGACAGACTGAGAAGTTACTCTTGTCTAAATTATTACTCTTTTATTAGTTGTGCCTCTTACCTCTTAATACTTGAGCGAAAATGGACCTTTCTACTTATAAAATTTGTAACGCTAACCCTTGACGCGCTCCGCTCCGTAGGACATAGAAGTCATTATCGCACCTCCGTAAGAACTGAACCCGACCTGACTAACAAAAAGCTAACATGCGGTACTTGTAAGAATCCATCAATCGAACATTCAGATCGCCTTAAAATAACATGCTTCCAGGATGGAAAAGATGCAACTGTTTGGTCGCCGAACAATATAATGATCTGATTTCACCGACTTCATTTTTTAGGCTCAATCACCTTCGAGATCCCAGCATTAGGTGCCTTATCATTAGTTGGGGAGGTAGTATAAGAAGCCGGAATATTGTTTTGGACAGTCTGTCTCGCGTGGCGGAATTTCTCGTAACAGCCAGCGAGGGCCGCGTTGATGTCCTGATCGACAGGCACGAGGGCTGTGTCGACGATAGATTTTATGTGTTCTTCGAGCTTATAGAACTCATTCCTGTCTGCACGATACCGGGCTGGCAGGCCACTGTTGTGTAGCAAGGCGAGAATTCCGCCGACACAGGTGTTGACCGCAGCGATAGTAGTCTATTCACAAAAAAAAGGTTTAGTGCTATGGGAATTCTGACTGAGAATGAGGGGGGTAGCCTATAGATAGAGGCCATACTAGTTGACTTATGTTAGATTGATATAACTGTAGAAATAACTTACGATTGCTGTCCCGTTCTTCGATGGTACTGATCCAAGAGCGGTCAAGACGGCACCCATTGCAATCTGGAGAAGCATCAAGAGCCAACTGACAATATCCACGGAATGAAAATAGTACGTGAACTTGGTCTTTTCGGTGAGAACATCTCGGTACAAACCATCTCTGAACCCCTTCGGCGGCCACAGCGTACTGGTTGGACGGATGACCTCTTCGCTCTCATCATCCATGAATACACCAACGCCTCGACAGAACTGAACCCACTCGTTGTGCGAGAGGAGGCGGTAAGTATCTTTTCCGGGGTCCTTAGATTTTGGAGGAGTACTACCATTGCTATTGTTTGGGTTTGGTTTAGGAGAAGGTGGTGCTGATGGCGGCTGAGAGGCCATTGCCGCGTCGATGTTAAGGCGTGGAATATGAGAACGATGAGGGTTATTATCCTTGGAATTATCCTTGGATGAATAAATTGTAGACGCCATTCTCAGAGTCTAGATGAGATGAGATGAGATGAGATGGAATGGAATGGGTTCAAAGAAAAAACACAAGTGTGAGATCTTAGAATTAACATGTCCTAAGGGGAAAGCCATTTCCAATCAGGACTTCTCCTGTCAAGGGGATTCTTAAGCTACGACTGCCTCACGTGTGATTGTTTTAGGAAGCGGCTTTAAAGGATGCTTGCTATCCTTCGAGGAGTTCTTATTCAATCGGTAGTCAAGATTGAGGAGGAATGATGAGCTACTGTCAGCTTCTCTCGTATGGTAGGTAGGCGCTGGAGCTCAGACATTATGTCCAAGGCACTTCCTAGATAAATAGTATCTATAAATATAATAATGACAATTGTGAATATTGGTAGAAGTAGCTGCGCAGATCTGATATGTTGGAATACAGGAACAAGGTAGAGAAAAGCAGCGAGCTCTTCCTTGGAGATGATAGGTTCAAGAAAAAGATGATGGCACTCATGCAGAAATAAGTAAGGTTCCTTCTATTGAATATTTCCTTCTTTATTGCTGTTTCCATTTTTGTGTTTGACCGACACATTCCGTTTAGTCATGCCCGTATACCTACCTACCTTCTGAAGGAAAGAAGTGTTGAAGGGATATGGCGGTCGTACATACCTAGGTACATGCATGAGCTAGGTATAGCTCTTTTGACCGCCCGGCAGAACAGCTAAGACCCCTCCGGGGCCCCACCCTTCTCAGAAAAAAAAGGTAATTGGAGTTATTCGCGACTTATATGACCTTTGCGCAACCCCGATATTCCTGGTTTCGTCTTCCAATACCACCATCCTAAAACTCAATTGTATGCTCTTTTCACCCTCAATTGCGTCCTCTCGATTAGTGCTTCGGAATGTAAATCGATTTCTTCTTAAACCATATCGTCTTCGAATTGTACGAACCATGGCCTCGGAAACTAAGAACGGTTCTTCGGCTGCGACAACCGATATTCCAATCATCACGAAAGATGGCCAAGAGTTTACGGAAGTTAAGGAGGGACTAGCTCGTATCCTAGTACCATTTTCGGCGAAAGATATCGCAGATAAGAAGTCGAACGTCGAGGAACAGCAAAAAGTCTTCTACAATCCCATTCAGCAGTTCAATCGCGATTTGACGGTTCTCGCAATTAAAGCGTATGCTGAGGACGCATTTGCTAAGAGGCGAGCTGGAAATGCGGAAAAAGCAGCTAAAAGGAAACGTGAGAAGACAGATACTGGTGGTCGCAACTCGAAGAAGGAGAAAGTAACCGAGAATGCAGACGGCGTTACGTCTACAGCTGACGATGCGACTAAGAACGGAGCTCAGTCGGACGACGCAGATATAACCCTTCCAGACGCGCCAAATGGTCAAGATAAAGGATCGCAAGAGGAGAATCCTGAAAACATCCACAGAAACAGCGACGACGTGCCTAATGCCGATCAACCTGCCGAAAGCTTACAGCCAACTGAAGATCAAGAGACGAAATCTACCGAAGCAAGAAATAATCAACCTACACCTAAGTTTACCATACTCGATGCTCTGTCGGCTACGGGACTTCGAGCTCTACGATATGCTCAAGAGTTACCATTTGTTACATCAGTTACTGCAAATGATCTTAGTCCCTCGGCCGTCCAGGCTATCAAGCAAAATGCGGAGCATAACGGTGTCGAATCCAAAGTAAACGCGACATCGGGCGACGCCCGTGCGCATATGTACTCCTTACTTACCTCTTATGAAGTCGCAGAAGAAAAAGGAAAAAACAAGAAGGGCGGCAATAAACCAAACAAACCAAATAACAAATACAATGTGATCGATCTGGATCCATATGGGACCGCTGCTACCTTTTTCGACGCAGCACTTAACGCCGTACGAGACGATGGGGGTTTGCTATGTGTTACATGCACAGATTCAGGCGTCTTTGCGTCACATGGATATCCCGAGAAAACGTTTGCTCTTTACGGCGGCATTCCCGCGAAAGGATGGCACTCTCACGAAGTAGGGCTGCGCCTTATACTGCACGGCCTTGCTTCAACAGCAGCGAGGTATGGGCTAGCCATTGAGCCCCTGCTAAGTCTATCGATTGACTACTATGTCCGGATCTTCGTCAAGGTTAGGAAGTCGCCGGCAGAGGTCAAGTTCCTTGCGGGGAAGACTATGATCGTGTATAGCTGCGACCAGGGATGCGGAGCCTGGGAAACGCAGTTCCTGGCACGCAGCAGAAAGGCACCTAATGCGTCTGGGAAAGGCGTCTTCTATAAACACGGACTCGCTATGGCACCAACAACCGACCGGCTTTGTAAAGAATGCGGTTCAAAGATGCATCTCAGCGGCCCAATGTACGGCGGACCGTTACATTCTCCAGATTTCATCAAGAAAATCTTGGATGACCTTCCTAACGCCTCCGACGAGATCTACGGCACGAAGCCGCGGATAGAAGGAATGCTACAGACGGCACTAGAAGAGTTCCTTACACCTCCAGAAGATAGGATGGAGGGTCACAGGGAGGACGAATTCGCTGCGATCGAACACTATCCGTTTTATTTCCACCCGGCGAAGCTAGCGGGTACTCTGCATTGTATGTCTCCCGACGAGGATAGTTTTAGGGGCGCTTTACGGTCTTTAGGCTATGAAGTTACTCGTAGTCATTGCAAGGGCGGTAGTATAAAGACAAATGCGCCATGGTCAGTCATTTGGCATGTCATGCGAGAATGGGTTCGCGAAAAAGCTCCCGTACGTGTCGATAGAATTAAGGAGAACACTCCAGCGTATACCTTGCTCCGATTAGGCAAGACGGACGAGACTCCGAAGGAAGATCCTGCAAAGGATGCAGAGCGCGAAACGATCGATAACTTAAAGGTTGTCTTTGATCAGAAACTTGGACGAGACGTATCTAAAAAAGGCCTCGTTAGATATCAGACAAATCCCAGAGAGCATTGGGGTCCTCAGAGCAAGGCGAAGGGTCATTAATGGTGGATAGTAGTGATGTAGAAAGGAGTGAACGAAGGTTTGAAGTTCAATACCACGACCGATTCTGGATCGGTCAATGATACCCCTTTATTTCCCTCTTCCTCGTTTACTACATATACCTGTGAAGCAAAAAATAGGTACCTAGGTAGGTATGTACCACAAAAAAATAGGGGAGTACGAGTCCCACTATACTTACCTAAGTAGCCACTCCGTCGGAGTCAATCAAAACGCCTTGCATAGCCTAAAACGGGGATTGTGCAATGAGACTAATGCAGCACATCATGAAGGCTTCCGGATATCTGGTTTGCTCTATCTAGTTTGCTCCTCACGAGCCTTGCATTTTCTTACTAAGCCGGATCTTGCCGCCTTCGCGCTTTTAGAAGTAGGTCTCTCTCATTAATGTCTTACTCAACTCCTCCACAACAGATACCTACAGGAGATACCGGCGCTACAACTTCATGATATATTTTGGGTATCTATAAATAGCATTTGGTTGCGTACCGCGCGAAATATGTCTACTAAACCCAGTGGCGTTTCTGCTGATGCCAGTCAACCCGAAGTAGGCAATACCCTTGATAATATTTTCAAGGCTGAGGAGATCGTATTCATTTCAAGACACCCTGAAGCGCCGAAGGATTCTAATTTATACGATGTATTCGGCTTAGTAGAAGAAGCCGGAGACCAGGGTACAATCTTCAGGCTACTTCAATCTCAAATCTCTAGCATACCGCAGCCGTTCCTAGATGAATTTTTAATCGAGGGTCTTCCGGACTATTTACAAAGCAGTCCGTCGCGGCGCATTCATGTTGTGGTGTCGGCCGGGTCTGGGACGGGCCTTGCGCTGGACTTTTATAACAGGGTCCTCTGCCGGCTTTTACCGGGGGGCGAGGTGTATCCTTCGGATCCGAGCATGAACTCGATAGAAAGACCTGAGCCGAATCCGCACAATCTGGTTGTTACTCAGAGTGCTGATAGCATACGCGAGTTCGCACGAGAGATTAGTCGCGAGGATGAAGATGGGGTGCAGCATACCGTGGTGCTGCTTAGCGGTGATGGGGGTATCATTGATATGCTTAATGGTTTAGTGTCGGTAGAGGGGGAGGGGCACAATTCGGAAGAGCGTCTGCCCTTGATTGCGGTACTCCCGTTGGGTACAGGGAATGCACTTTTCCACTCCCTTCACAAGTCAGCCAGCGCGACGTCAAGGTTTCCCGCGCCGTCTAGTCTGGTCCAGGGCTTGCGCACTTTATTCAACGGTCGAGCGGCGGCGTTACCTTCTTTCAAGGCAGAGTTCTCACCAGGCTCTCGTATTATAACTTACAAGAGCCCTCAGCCAGTGGAGGACTCCAACACGGCCGCAGAAGTTGAAAGCCATGCCGACGCCGTGTCTCATCTCTATGGTGCCATCGTAGCAAGCTACGGCTTCCACAGCCAGCTGGTCTGGGAGAGCGACACGCCGGAGTACCGAAAGCATGGCGCTAAGCGCTTCGGCATGGTTGCACAGCAGTTACTTAAGGAGAGCCACGCGTATAATGCCGTCGTGGAACTCTCCGGAAGAGATGGATCCAATGTACGGAAGCTGGACCGGGACCGACACGCATATATCCTAGCTACAATGGTATCCAATCTAGAGAAAACCTTCGTCATATCTCCAGCTAGCGAGCCCCTAGATGGCAAATTAAGGCTTGTTCATTTCGGTGCTGTTAGTGGAGAGAAGACTATGGAGATCATGACGCAGGCGTATAACGAGGGGAAGCATATCGGTATGAGGTGGACTACGGAGGATGGTAAGGAGGAAGGAGTTGGGTACGAAGAGACTGGCTTGGTTAAGATCACTACTCTAGAGGAAGACGCTAGATGGCGCAAGGTCTGTATCGATGGTACTATTGTGGAATTGCCTCAGGGTGGTTCTATGACCGTCAAGACGGACGATAGACCTCACTTGCGGGTTGTGGTGGATAAGTCACTGGTTAGGTAGATGCCGAGTCCACATCTATCGACATAATTAATAGCTAAAAAGAGAGCCCAGAGAATACGCGTAGTCCCAACTACCTACCTACCTACCTGGTAACAAGACTACAGCGCAGCTACGTGGTACGTATACGCCGGCCTGAGTCATTACTTCGAGTCCAACCAATCACAGGGTGTTCATCAATGAAACAGAATGAATCATCGGCGCTACTGCAGCCAAGAACGCATTTCAACGCCATCGTATATATGGTATAAGCACCGAAGGCTCATTATGTAATGCGGCTTAAAGATTTATACTACGGTATATATCAGTTCCATTCCCCTTTTCAATAAAGACTTATCAAATTTATATCGTTTATTGTTAATCAAGGCATTTGATATACTGTCGCCAACATGACGTCTATGGAAGCTGAGAGCGTTGCGACTATTGTGTGCACCTCTAAACAAACTCGCTTCAACATCGGGACCCCTAACTATCGCGAGGTAGTTATACTACTTATTTTCCCCAGATGGTAATATTTCTAACAGAAATGATAATAGTTAGATATCGAAGGACTAAATATAATTGTCAAATCAGGATCCAAGCCCGGCGCCAAAGGCAAGGCCAAGGCAAAGAGCGAGGGTACCGAGATCCTTAACAATGCTAAGTTAAGACTCAAAGCTGGCCAGCGGTATGCTTTGATCGGAAGGAATGGTACTGGGAAATCAAGTAAGTTTAATGTAACTAAATGAAGCTATAGTTACCTAGGTTATGAGAGAATTGTAGCTAATAAGTCTATTACAGCCCTATTAAAGGCGGTGGCGGAAAAGCTCATACCGGGCATACCAGAAGAGACCCGCATAACTATCCTCCAGCAGACTGACGTTGGAGATGTCAACGCTGACGAAGGCCCGGCTCCTGCTTCTAGTGAAGGCGAGGGCCCAGAAGTACTAGAGGAAGTTATTGAGCGAGCCACTGCTAAGCAGGAGGTGCAAAAAGAAATCAATAGTCCGTATCCCATCCTAGACTTATAAGTCCTCCAGCTAATCAGCCATAGTTTTATCAAGAGGTGTCGATGGCGGTGACCCCTTTGGCGCTCTGAGAGCCTTTCGGAAAGTCCACCACGGACGCCTTCAAAAAGAATTGTTCCTTAAGGACAAAGACGCAAGGCTTCGTAGCGGTGCGAGAGGTATGCAGGCCCGAAAAGCTCTAATCGCCATGGAGAAGAAAGTTGCCGAATTCCAGTCGGAGTATTACCATCTTTACACGCACAACTACATGGCATATTGCTGACAGACAACTCAGATATGAACAAGAAGATAAGGATATCTCACCCGAGACGCTCGCAAAGGAGACAAGCGAAGCTGCCGATATGCTGGCCGACCTCCAGCTCCAAGTCGAGCCGTCAAAGCTAGCAGAAACCGAGTCAAAGGCAAAGAAGATCCTTACAGGTCTCGGCTTTACAGAATCCCGCATGGCGCAACGCGTTTCAAGCTTATCCGGCGGGTGGAAAATGCGGACAGCCTTGGCAGCCGCATTACTACAAGACACAGACATCTTAATCCTCGACGAACCAACAAACTTCCTCGACCTCCTCGGAATCATCTGGCTGCAGCGCCACCTCACAGCATTAGCCGAGTCGTCCGATCCACCCACCTTAATCCTCGTCTCCCACGACCGCGACTTCATCTCCCTGTGCACGGATCTCCTCATCATCAAGGACAAGGACCTAACGTACTTCCACGGCGACCTGCCGGCATACGAGGCCTCGCGCGCCGAGAAGAAGGCGTATCTGACGAAGATGAAGGAGGCGCAGGATAAGCAGAAGGAGCACATCCAGCAGACGATCCGGCGTAACATGCGCGAGGGCAAGGCCAAGGACGACCAGAATAAGATCCGCCAGGCTAAGTCCCGCCAGAAAAAGCTAGACGATAGGTGGGGGATGGAAGTCAATGCGAAGGGCGGCCGTTTCAAGCTCAACCGGGACTTGGTCGGATACCACCTTACCGCGCGCGCGGAGATCGACATCCCGCAGAACGAGCGTCCCGTCCGTTTCGCGCTGCCCGACCCGTCCGAGCTCCGGTTTCCCGGAGCCCTGATATCCCTGGAGAAGGTCTCCTTCCGATACTCACGGGACGCAAAAGCGCCCGCCGTGCTAAAAGACATTAATCTATCCGTCAGCATGGGCGACCGCATCGGCGTCCTCGGCCTCAACGGCAGCGGCAAGTCCACGCTCATCAAGCTCCTAGTCGAAGAAGCGCGGCCGTCGTCCGGGGCCGCGACCAAGCACCCCCGGCTGAAACTGGGGTACTACGCGCAGCACGCGGTCGAGGCGCTGCTGCTGCAGACGACGGGGCAGGCGGATCCGGAGATGACGGCTCTGGGCCTGTTAATGTGGGAAGGGGAAAATGACGACGACGGGCTGGGCGAAGGCGAGATAAGAGGTCTCTTGGGCTCCCTCGGCTTGCCGGGTCGCCTGGCCTCGGAGGTACCCGTGCGCCGGCTTTCGGGCGGGCAGCTCGTGCGGCTGGAACTCGCGCGGATCTTGCGCCGGCGGCCGCACTGCCTGGTCCTGGACGAGGCGACTACGCATCTCGACTACGAGACGGTGGCGGCGCTGCGGGAGGCGCTGCGGGACTGGGAGGGCGCGGTTGTGCTGGTTAGTCACGATCGGTGGTTTGTGAGGGGTGTGGTGGAGGGGATTGCGGGAGATGATGGGGAGGAGGAGGAGGATAGGGGTGGGGGTTCGGGAGAGGCGGTGGGGGGTATGGGGAGGAGGAGGAGGAGGAGGAGGTTGGTTTGTAGGTTGAGAGCGGGAGCGATGAGTGTCTTGGAGGGGGGAGTGAGTGAGTTTGAGGAGGGGGTTGAGAGGAGAGTTAGGAAGATGGAGAGTGCGTAAGGACATAAGTTGGCAAGTAGATTTTAGGAATATAAAAAAGATAGTTTGTATTTAGTTAACAAGTCTTGTAACAGAGGGAGCCCGTGATAAATATTAGTTACTAACGAATGTTTAAAGCGAGGATATTTTCTACCTCGATTCTGGTTGACCCGTAATCCACCTTTCTCTTCTCGTAGAACTAGTTAGGTACCTAGGTAGGTAGGTAGGTACCTATGCTTTATAAATGTCGGACCAAGGCTATGTCAGAGCTTTGAGACTTCGCGGTTGTGATGATTAAGGGGGTTGGTTTGAAAGCTTAGACGTGAAGCACAAACTGGGCTACTACATAGGTAGGTATGTACCTATATATTGGACTAGAGGTTACCCCCGGGCAACACAAAAGCCTAAGGTTTACACCACACCATGTTTCTATACTACTTTTATTATTTTTATAATTATTAGTATTATATTAGTAACCTACCCCCTATCAAACTAGAGAGCACTCCTACAATAGCCCGAATTTACTGCTACTATACGGCTGGACAATACTCTCAACACCCTCGAAACCTAAGTAATAAAGAAGCTTTAAACAGATGCGTACACTTATTCCTTTGATATTTACTGCTTTTTATAAGGCAGGAAAATTATCTGTAAGGTAGCAAGGCATACTATATTCAGCCCGTTTCCGTTCGCCCCGCCTTTTGGGCTCGTGCTCGGCATTGTGGGTGTTCGTAGTTGATCCCTTTACGGGGGAGCAAGCCAGGATCCAGATACAAATACAAATAGTTACGAAAGGAGATGAGTTTTGCTGTAGGAAGCAGCAGTTCTAGTTTCGGTTTCCCGAGGTGCGTTCGCGCCCTGCTCGGGGCTGAGTTTGCGAGGCTTGACGCTCTACAACCTCTTTAGATACCTAGGTAGGTACCTGTTAATAACAGTCGGTTGAGTAAGTTGAAAAATAAATTCTCACTAACTAGTTGCTAAAAGAATGTATAAATAGAGGGCTAGTTGATAGCCCTGCAGTGATTCCCAACAATACAGAGCTCGTTGTTGTCTCTGGGGTTTAACGCCAGTGCGATATTTACCAGTTCGGATACCTTGCCAGCCATCCTTCAATGACGCTCTCGTTCCATTAAAACTTGGCGCGGCGAGCAGCAACAAAGTAGGGAACGGGGGCCGCGAATAACTCCTTGCTCAAGGGAAAAGTCCCCTTTAATAGGGAAGATATAGTATTCGCGTCTCGTGTACATTCTGGCCCTCCTCTGAGTCAAGATATCGAGCTGTCTTGAAGCTGGTGGGTAGGCAGTTTAGTAAAATTTCGCCATTCTATTATCTTATTTCTGGTTTGTAGCAAACTTACCTCCAGTACAAATTACCAAGGGCAACATTACGACAAATCTCGATAAAAAGGAGTACTTCCCTATCTACCTTTTCGCCATAGGAAGGCAGTTCAGCAAGCGCGGTGTACCAACGTTTGTAACAGTCGTCAATCATGGCACCGATTTTGTCGATAGACTGTTGGACAGACATGCCCTGCTCCACAAGGAGCGGGATTAAATTATGGTCGACACTCAACTCCTTAAGGAATAATCAGCTTATGGGAGTCATCAGTTCACTTTGGTAGGGTCACATACTAGATCCTTACGGTATGATATGATATCATTGACCCTTAGCCTTTTCGTTAGCCGTATGATTAATCCTGGGGTTATTCTGCACTTACATAAATACAAGCTCAGACGATAATCGACGGCATTCTTGCAGAGAGCTATGGGAGACAACCATTTCTGGCAACTCGACGCCTTCGATGCATCGAATTATAGAGATAGCAGGGGTGACCCCAATACTCCCCCTACGGACCTCAATATATGTCTGTACATCACGGCGTAGGACCTCTCCCTTGGCTGCTTGTTGGACTTGTACTACTATCTGATCGAAGTATTCCTTGTGTTGCTCCTTATACTGCTGCCGCAATTCTGCTTCTCGATTAATCGCAAGCCTAGGCCAAGTCGCTCTGCCCGATACATACCTAGGGATACCCTTTGTTTTAGCCACAACCAGCAGAGCTGAAAGACGTATCTGAGTGGGTTTACGTGCGGCTCTATTAGCTGCACATCTTCCTCCATGATCGCCATGGTCTCCTTTATCTCTTCCTGCGCTGCAACGGGATCATCCTTCAAGTGACCTTCATCGAACTCTATAGTAAAGGGGCTGTTAGCAAGCCTCAGGGCAGGATCGATTATTTCGCATACGATCATCAAATAAGAATACCTATGTACCATTCGTCAGTGTACCTTAGTTACTTTCATAGGAAACATGTTTTTGATGTAAGACGCTATAGAGATGGGTAAAAGGGGACTAACCCAGTGGCACCAATCAAGTAACACCCGTAACGATTCTTCATCAGCATCTGGCGCCCATAAAGCACCAAGATAGCAGAAGTCTACTCTTTTGTTCCTGGCGCTTGTTTTCTCGTCCATTTTCATAATCCTTAAAGAACATTAGTTATAACGCCGTCTCTGTGTATTCGGATAGAAGCAGTTACCTTGCAATCCATTCATCGCCTTCAGCTTTGACCTTGGCATAGTTTGGGTTAAGCACTGGTTTGGGAGACATTATAGAAGAAAACAAATCTGGAATCCGAACAGAACGCGTCCCCTCCCGCTGCTCAGCTGATTCAGATGAACCCGCCATCGGTGACGGCTGGGAATCGCTTAACTATGTTGGGCTGATACAGTCTGACTTCATAAGGGGTGCTTAACGTGAAGTTTACAAGATCGTGTTAAGAACCGTGGTGTTAGTAGTGAGTTGGATATTTAATAATTCTATCCCACGTTCTAGGTTCGCTGAAACTAGGTATTTATGGCCCTGGGGATACTTGAAAGAAGAGCTCACCAGGCTATTTTAAGGAATGGATTTCGACCCCAAATATTGAGAAGATTTAGGTAAGTACCTACCTATACAAGAGAGATAATACTATGCGCCTTTGACGCCATTTTGCGGCTCATAACCTCTCACCGGCTGCAACGTTGGTAACACCAAGGAGTTTACTAATATATTGAAACTCTCAAGGTGGTGCTGTCCTACCTATTGCATAGTTCCCATTTGCTGCATGGGGGTTTGGTACATATGTGGGGGTAAGCGTGGCGATGAGGCTATCTATCTCTCGCGTTACTTTATAATTAACTATATCTAGAAAATCCAACGCCTAAAATACAAGTGACATTGATAGAGCGAGTTTACTGTGGTGATCTTACTAATAGGTATATATCGAGGCCCGAGTCTCTCAGTCACAGCTTGCCTAATGTATCACAGCTATCAGTACCCTGTACGAATCGTGGCATGTATGTTGTAAACGTATTCGAAAACAAAGGCATTCTGGGGGCTATCTATCTCTAAGGTAAAAAGGAGGGGGGCTATTCAGGGGGCAGCTCAGCGTCAATTCTTGGCAGAGCTAGACGTAAAGCAGTTCAAGATCGATTACCGCCTTAGGTACCATGTACAGTATCATGTTATTAAACAATGGGGAAATGTGTCCTTCTGCCGAGTTCTCGGCCGAGTCCAGGAGATATTGAAGGGGCACCATCGACCGAAGCCACTTCCCCCCGAGCAAGGAAACTTGGATATTTTCTCGCCGAGTGCATTTGGCTCTTCCCCACCAGACCAGTCGGGAGGTGATAGAGCACAATTCGCTACGGATGATCCTCTCGGGCTTGGCTTCGAGAATCTCGAGGGCGATCTTGGGAGAATCAGGGACATGAGCAGGGTGGTTTTCCTAGATAATAGGTAATATACCTACCCCATCGAACAATCTGTCAGATAGGGCAGATCTGTGCGTGAGAAATAGGTAAAGGCAACGAGAATAATAAGGTATCAGAGTACCGACTGTATATCAGTCTGCGATAGGCGTTCTGACTCTTTCGGTGTAGAGTATAGAGGGACTGTCACTAATAATATCGAATCCCTATCGCATAGCGCACGAGATCTTCCCGGCCTACATATGCTTTAAATCCGAGCAGCAACTAGGCGAAGCAGAGAAGTTCGCCGAAGCGCCATTCTTCTTCTCATCGCGTAAAGTTTCCAGACGCTTATCATGCTCGGTGTAGGTATCCGAGATAATGGATATGGCTACTAGTTCGCTCGTCGACGACGCTTCTGCGCCAGCTGACTTCTCTCTCTTACTCTCTTACTCGGGGTGTCTCATCTTCGATATATTGCCCTTACGCATGTAAATAGCGTCACTCCATCCTTACGTACCTATACTTCGTTCTCGTCGGGAATTCTGCGATCGGTAGTCGCTGTCGTCGCGTAGGCAGCACTTCCCCCACCCATGTAACCGTCGAACGGTATACCTATTAGATTCTCCCAATTTAAAGCAATTTGTCGTAGGTTAGAAATTTCATCGCATATTCACAGCTTGCTACCTGTCGATATCGTAGTCCGAGTTTAAAGAAAAGTCGATTCCGCGCCCGAGAATAGAACACCCGGTAAATATCTGGGGTGTCGATCGCCCCCTGCCTCTTAATGAATGATCAAAGTATGCTTCTAATGATACTGCTGAAAGATGGGTTCGAGAGAATTTTGATAGTCGATCCTTGCGAGCCCCATCGATCGAACCTTATAGTCTCGTCGGCTCATTCATTCTCTTCATGATGCTGTATACATCGATAATATTCGTCCCCCCTCGACAAGTTGGGTTTCATCTCGGACTCTCGGTATAGGCTATAATATCTAGTGCTCGCATCAGCTCGGTATTTTCTGGAAGCCTCGCTCTATTTTTATCATATAGATTGCTATCTCCTTTTTTTTCTCGAGGGTAAATTTCAGTATCGTGGGAGTCCTTTACCTACTCAGGTTGTAGCAGTTTTTTCGTCTTGTTATTTTAGCCTTTGTTATCGAGTATAGCGATACGACGGTCGGACCTATCAGATGCTGTTGCCGGCCGAGTAGTCGTGTGTAAAGCTTTAGATTGTCGAGTTAACCAAGCAATAGCGGGTGTAGGTAATAGTTATCGAAAGGTTCCTCCTCTTGTTGATTGCTTCGTTCTCGTACGTAAGTGACTTAACGTGAGGCTATGAAGTATTGCCGAGCAACGAATTATAGCGTAATAGGCGGTGAATTTTTACATGTTTCTGAAATATTTCTCCTCGATGCCGACGTGTGTTTACGAATATTAAGTCTCAAAGGCACAGCTCTAGGAAGTGTAATCGTCGCTTATTTGGATATATTCGTTTCTCAATGACCTGTCATAAAAGTCGTGGCCCTCCCGAAAACTTTTCCAGCCCCTGATATTTTAAAGGATGGACAATGTCCACCGCCTTTTGGCTTGCTTAACGTTACGAGACACTTGAAAATATATTCTGATAACGGCCCCAGCCTGGTGAGATTAAGTGTTTAGACATTTTACGAGAAGCAATTTAGAACTGGCGTAAAAATGTGAGATACTTTTTCCTAGCTGCTTGATTGTACTCATTTGTCTGCTTCCTGCAGCAAAAAAGGGGTAATGAAGATCCACTGAGTAATCGAATCCAGTAAGATAGGTGTCCATTGTGTCTGTGTGGTGCAGATACCCGTCTCCAAAATCTTCTCTCTCCATTGATATTCTCGGTATCTGAATTATCAATTGCTCTTACAGGGAACAACTTGGGGTACCTTGACACGAGCCTGAGGACTAGGTAGATTCCTTTTTGGATTACTGCATACCAGCCACTGCTTATTGTCGGTCCCTCGTGCGAGCCTATGTATAGGAGACTAGGGGGGTTATAACAGAACAGAGAAGTCATGTAGGTATTCGATACATCCTGATAAAACCCTGCTGGGGAGCTTCACAAGATCTTGGTTAGGAGGTGGACCCGATGTCTTAGGTACCTAACCCACGTGTCGATGGTCGTAGTGTTGTACAACACATGATGGCGCAAGCGGATAAGACAGGTAGCTAGGTAGCAACTCACAAGATATGTATAGAAGCTCATATTGAGATCTCTCGGCTGTACCCATACCCTGCAGGGTTCTCCAGAGGACATCTCACCCACAAGAATTGGCTTGCGGATAAGGAGCTAGCAAGCACAGTTTCAGCCTTAGGCGACGGTGTGGTGGTTGTGGCTCTAATTAGATGTACTTGCAGTCCCTGAAGTAGACTCCGGTAATCTCATAATGGTCGGCGAGTGGTGTATATTAGGTATACAATGGGATATAATTGTCTTGTCTAGGTAAATTTTGTAACATAAATACGAGGCTGAGACTATATTTCGAGGTGGTATTGATATCTGGCTCGTCACTTATTTAGGTGTATAAAAAGGAGATAAGTTAATTCTGCATTTATGAGCCCACGTCTTTAATATGCCTTTTGTTGATACTCCCGGGCAGTTATAGACTCAAGTCATGTAAATGTTTTTCTCATGTTTTATTTTATTTCCGTTAAACTAGATAACAGCATGGACTCAGCACGAGATAGGTACGTTGCTTTTCGATAAAGTATTCTCCGTTCATACTAGTCTCGGTAGGTACACCTGGTCCCAGAATAGTTAAGCTGTGGGTAGGAGTATGCAAGTGATAGAAGCGGAATGTCACAGTGCGGACCTAAACGCGGACCAGCTTTGCTAGGAGGTAGGTAACTTTGTACCTACCTACCTGATCTAGGCAAGGAATAAGGAATCTAACTTGATTCGAACGAGAAAAATCCCGTTCGGTCGTGCGTATGCGCACGGTCCATTATAGCACCCCCTATATAGCCTCATGAGCGTATTAGGTATGTATAGCGGTGGCAGGACAACCACCCTCGGTACTGGTTTTTTCCGTTATCACTTTCTCCTCAATTCCCTCTTTTCGGTGGCTGGGCTGGGGGATCCTGCCGCCATTCTTGTGTCTTTGACACCAACTGCAGTGTTGGTCAAGGGTCTGAAGCAGGAGAGAGCCCAGAAGAGAAATAATTAATAATTGTCAGTCCCGTCTATCCGCCAATGTGATATATCACCACCATTCTATCTTAGGTACCTAGGTAAACAACTCGCGTTGGAGAGCCCGTGTGACAGCCAAGCTTTAACCTTCTAGACTGGTCCGCGAATAGAGAAGAAAAGGGAGAAGAAGAATATGCGGTTTCGTCTCTGCCGTTCTATTATTATGGTATTGGTACGGCAATCTGTCTTGTGTCCGCTACTTGCATGATGAAACAGATATCTTGCAGTACCTAGCTCATGTTGAGATCTCTCTCGGCTCGTTAATCAACGCTGCACGATTTCGGGGTGCGACGTCTACGTGCGTGCTACGTAGTAGTAACGAGGTCCGTCCGCAGCGGCTCGCTACCAAAACAGGACAGCGCTGCTTCGTTTTGGGACGGGACGGGATGTAAAGGCTAGGGTGCCAGTTACAGCCTGGGCCGTCCCCTTTTCTGCGTACGGCATCGTGCCTGTCGGTTCCCGATATCTTACCAGATATGGTTGACAGCCTCTCGTGGATGCATCATTAGCTTGCATCTGTGCATAACCTAGCACATCAGAGGTGTGTGCGCGCCGTCTAGTCGCGGTCGGTTCTAGGGGCTCTGGCTCACAACCTCGACGAAAGCATTGGTGATATTTCCCCCTGCTTAGGTACGAAGTTGTTAAGCCGACGGTAAGGTTGGTGCAGGCAGCACGGCTATACGGTATTTCGGCATTCACAGCCGTTGTTTGTGCCACTCACGTTGGGTAACTTGAAAA